GNTGGGCAATGCGGCAAAACGAACCCACCGTTTAAAAAACACTTATATAATCCCTTTAAGGTGCTGATAGTGAATCGTGTCCGCATCATTTACGGGCGCGAACGTCGTGTATGCGTTTTTCCATTTTCTACTGCACCGAAAACCTTACAACGTTTTTTTCGCCATCTTTATAATAATTCTTTTTTTTCTTTTTTTTTTTTTGGTCAGTTCCCTTTTCAGTTACGTTGGCTATAATTAAGGCCAGGTGTGAACAGCAATCAAAGTTAAGTCAATGAGTAAACATTCATCGCTTTGCACGTGCTTTGACCTCATTATGTGATAACAACCCAAAGGCATTCGTCAAAATTTGACATTTTAGGGCACATTTTTATTATATATTTTTCTCTCGCTTATTTGTCCATTTTTGAATGCAAATAGTTAAAAGAAATTGCAAAATTGAAATACCTTGTGAAAAATAAGTATTTAAGTTTGATAATTACAAAGTCGTAAAACTGTGAAAAAAAATCGACGGGTGAGAAAATCCAAAGGCGTTTTTATTTAAAGCGACATACACATCTAAATATTCACATGATACCGGTAAAATCCGCATACCCGAAAGCAGTTTAATTAAAATTAATCCAAACTTTCGTTCCGTTTTTTATTAGCTTTAATTTTTGATTTAGCCACATCCGTTAGAGTCTAAAGACGGGCCTCTTAAACATTCATCAAAATAACCTTTTGACCTAAGCCTGCTTAAACCAATCAAATTCCTTCATGCTCACAAAGCGCCAGCGCTGAAGAAGGGCAGAAATTGGATTTGTTTATTAGACTTGACGGAAAGCTTATAAACAAAGCAACGTCACTTCCGTCTGCAAGGTATATTGAATGGTAGGCGAACCGGAAATCAAATTTTTCTGTAAAGGGATAGGCTTAGTGGAAATTGCACTCTTTCTGCTGGTAAAACAAGTGGACTATATGCCTAAAGGTGTTGCAGAATGACAAAATAAGCATACACTGCCCTAAACGAATCCCCTTTATTGTCAGTCAAAGATGGTTGAGTCCAAACTATTACACCGGCGATTCAAGTTGATTTTTGGGGAAGAACGGTAGTAATGAACACTAAACTAGACCAGCTGCTATAGTTTCTAATACCAGATTCTACCCAATTCTCTAATGGACTGTTCCTATCTATTATTTCCTTAAGTTGTAAGAAATTTCAAAAATCCTTTGATAAAAAACAAATCAAAAATCTTACTTCGTGATAGTAAGCAAAATGTCAACAACGAAAACAACCGACGAATCAAAATCAAGGAATTGCTGTGATGAGTTTGACGGTCTATTAACACCTTTGGTAAATTCCTTTTTTCGAACGCCTGTGATTCAGCTTTACCTACGTGCAAACCAAGTAGAGACCATGTGATTTCAACGACAAATCAGTTAACTCAGCAATAAGTATTCAGTTCGTGAATTTGAGCCAGAGCGTGTACGATTAACTTGTGCTTGCAACAAAAATTTTGTGATTTGGTTGAATTTGATTCATTGAGAACAGTTAGAATAAAACCCCCTAGATGACAACTAAAGACGTATTCTTACAATCTCGTGCAGCGGATATCGTGAACGTAGTCGACGACGATGACGATGATGATGATGGCGAAGATGATAAAAATGGTGAACATACGAAGGATTTACATCTTCCCTGTTTGCTTGATAGCGTTCACACGGAAAGTGTTACAGATTTGTGTTCTCCGCAAATGTTTTTGGATGACCCTTATTACAGTTCACAGAATTTGTCCAATAACTGGGTACGTAATGAATGAATGAATGACAACTGCATGACTCTGTATGGACTAAACCATTGGATGACCTAAAAAGAATGAATGAATGAATGATAACTGTCGTAATGAATGAATGAATGATCCTTAGGACATATTCGTTCCCAGCCCGTCTCAATGATGACCCAGAGTTATTTAGTTATCTTTTTATTCACAGCTTTTTATTCACGGCTTTTATTGCTGTAAACAACAAAGAAGTTAACTATATTAGGTTCAGGAACCGCCTTAAGGTGCGAATAGGCGAGGCTCGGTGTCTTATACCTTGACTGCAATAGCTCCTACTCTTGTATCATGAAAGTTTGTAAATGCAGTGATTTGGTTGGATTGAACGCTAACGAATACAGCCAATCAGGTGCCTTGACAGAAAGTCTGCAAACACTAAGTCATCATGTTTACAACCTGTCTGTGGCTCCGATTGGCTTTATTGGCTGGCGTACAAACCAATCAAATCGCTGCATTCTGCGATACAAGATAAGTGGCTAATGCATTCAAGGTGTGAGATGATTGAATTTCATCACGTAGGCCCTATACCGAGAACCTCAACAGTTGGAAATTGAAAAGAGTAGGCTAATGTCGCCTCATTTCGCACTGCTTGGCGTTGTCTGTCAACAGAGCCGTATTAGGTGCAAAAAAGCAGGTCATTTACTTGAATTTGGTAATTTTTTGTCAAAGACTATTTTTTTTTTTTTGGCTTCCAGAATGCTCCAGAAGAACCAACAGTTCCAATTTCCCTGATAGTCGCAGACGAAAGGAACTGTGCACGATTAGAGAAAGTTATCGGCCCTTGCTTGGTGGATCACGTGCTACACTCGTGCACGTACGACGAGGCCTACGATATGTGCTGTAAGACGGCGTATTATATGATATGGTTTTATCTTGGACGTCCGATTGATCATGGTATACTTGCCCACACTACTTCTATTAGGTCAGTAATGTTTCTAGAATATTGGTTCTCCAAGGGCAGTGCGAGTTCGTTTCCAAGCAACCCTTGCATCAATACGTCGATATTCTAATTTATGTACGTTAGATTATGTTTCGACCAACGTGATACCTGAAAGGCAGCACGAGTCTGTTTATATACAACCCTTGCACCAATACGTCTAGTTTATACGTTAGACTGTTTCGACAATCGTGATACCTCAAAGGCAGTACGAGTTCGTTTCAAAGCAACCCTTGCATCAATACGTCGATATTCTAGTTTATGTACGTTAGACTATGTTTCGACAATGACACCTAAGTTGAAATTTCCTATAATTTATATACGGCTCGGAATTTCTTCTTTACGGTTCTATTTCTTTTTTTTTTCAGATATGCCTCTAAAACTAGCAGGAATACGATATTAGTCGGAGTCACCCCTTCCCAACTCTCTGGTAAGTTGTTTTATGGATTGTTTGGGATTCGGTGCGGTGTGCGGTGCGTGATCATCGATACAGTAGAAAATAGAAGTCACGAATCGTGTCCGTCACTTTTTTCGTTTGTGTCTATTTGCGGCTTAAGTCATGAAATAATATCGTCGGATTTTTATCCTGGTTTCCTAACGTTTGGATCGACAATAGGCTTAGATCCTCGAGTGCTACAGGCTATACACGCCAAAGATGCCATAGCAGCTAGAAATCAAAAAGGAAAACTTGTCTTCCATTGTACACAGAATCATTTTTTCTCTTTTATAAGCTTGTTGAGATCCGTTGTATTTTATTTGCAACACTTACTAAAAGACTCCGGAATCATAATTTGTCGAGACTTACCCAATGTTTCTATTCCAAGAATGAAATATTTTTTGTAGATGATTTGGGTTTACATGGTTTAGCGGAGATAGTGGTTGAACCGATAACTAAACCTTATATCTTTACTAAATACAGAAGATGGGCATCACTTACTATAAAAGGTGCGGTTTTAGATTTTTTTTGGAAAACTCAGTCGCAAGCATGTCCGTAGTTCGTTCAAAGTCTCATTGGTGGATGGGGTTAGCTCAAATCTGTCGAGGGTGGTGGCCTTTATATTACTAATAAAGATGGGTCTCCTTATTTTCATTTATGAAAATGCAAATGCCAATACTTATATGAATAGTATTTAGAGTTGTTCTTATGACTTGGAAAAATACCAGTTTGTCTCACATGTCCATAATTAATTCATAATTAGCTAAATTAGAAGAGAATCACCAGCAGATTTACAATGAGTGACCGATCAAGAAAGGTCAAAAAGTCCTTTTTTTTGTATCCCGGCTGTACATACATGAACATTTATGATTGGTTAAAACTCTTAATTATATGCAATAAGAACATAATGATATGACTAAGAATACATAATAATTCATCGGAAACACCTAAAATCAAATAGTTTGCTTAATTTGACTCTAAAAAATAAGGAAACCAATCTTTAATCGTCAAAATCTTCGACCTTTAGTTACAGACGAAAAGAGACAATCCCAAAAAATGAATATTACCCCCATTGAGCAGAGGATGGGTTTGACTAAAATGTTCACCATTATTTTTGCAGATGAGAAACCGTTAAAACCCCTTAAAATAGACAAGATACCGGAAGCTACGTCATCAAACATGGCGACCAACATATCTCCAGATATCCTAAATAACAACACTACTATTGAACTACCGATTGTTACCACGAAGCCTATCGAATGCATCAGTAATATTAGGTACGTATATTCACACCACAGACAATGCGGTTTGGTCGATAAGTCGATTTGGTTTTCTTCGGTCTCCAATATAATCTAACAAGTTGTCTATCACCGTCCCGTTCTAATGACGTTATTTTAACCAGTCAAAGTGGTCAGCTAGATAAGAATGACGATGTTTGAATTTCGACTGAACATTGTAATCTAACAAGTTTCCTACCACCGTCCCGTTCTAATGAAGTTATTTTAACCAGTCAAAGTGGTCAGCCAGATAAAAATGACGATTCTTCCACTGAATCTTGTAATCTAACAAGATACCTCCACCATCCAGGCCACGTATTCTCGAAACGATCTCAGCGCTAGGATGTCCTAGGTTCTTGCAACGTATTCTCGAAACAATCTTAGCTCTAGGATGTCCTATGTTCTTATCTTCTAACATTGAATCTAGGACATCCTAGCGCTAAGATCGTTTCAAGAATATGTGGCCTTATCTTCTAACATTGAATCTAGGACATCCTAGCGCTAAGATCGTTTCAAGAATATGTGGCCTTATCTTCTAACATTGAATCTAGGACATCCTAGCGCTAAGATCGTTTCAAGAATATGTGGCCTTATCTTCTAACATTGAATCTAGGACATCCTAGCGCTAAGATCGTTTCAAGAATATGTGCGGCTTTATCTTCTAACATTGAATCTAGGACATCCTAGCGCTAAGATCGTTTCGAGAATACGTGGCCTTATCTTCTAACATTGATTCTAGGACATCCTAGCACTCAGATCGTTTCGAGAATACGTGGCCTTATCTTCTAACATTGATTCTAGGACATCCTAGCACTCAGATCGTTTCGAGAATACGTGGCCTGTTCTTATGACGTCATTTGTAACCAATCAAAGCTTATTACTGTCTTGTATGACGCGTTTCTTGATAGCAAACTAAGGGAATAAAAATCCAATTCACTTCCAAATTTAATTTCAGTAACGTGACCAATTCGTTCGTTCCTCCTACTTTGGAGAAAAAAACTAGTAGAACGAACATGGTACCGCCATCCAAGCCCGATAACCGACCACGGAGCAGATCGAGTACCAAAACAAGTTCTTCTACTCCTCCAGAATCTCCCAAATTTCCCAAGAATTGTATGGCGGCTGATCATACCATTAAAGAGAAGATGCGAAGGTAGGATTCCATTTAATATACCAAATACCCAATATTAGCTATGTGGACTCTCTGAAAATCGACATCTCAGTCACTTATTGGCATCGGGTGTACCGGAAGAGTAAACACTTTCTGCTTTGCTCGTGACACCCTCGTTAGAACTAACTATCGAATTGGACTGAAGTTAAAGCTTCTAGGTTTCAGAATGGCTTCGAGAGAGCTTTGGAAAAGAGTCATCGCTCTATCTCTTTACGTAATTTTCGTAAAACTTACTATTCTGTAGGTTGCAAAGCAGTAAGACGTAAAACTCCATTTCATTTCAGAGAAAGAATCAAAGACAGTTGTGATCAGTTGAGGGTTTTGTTGCCATATATCAGGGGAAGAAAAACAGACATGGCGTCCATCTTGGAAATGACTGTAGATTATCTGAAGCTAATCACATCGTCACTTCCGCCTGATTTCCAATCCCAGGTAATCTTTGACCTTCGACCTTCACCTTGGTTTGACCTTGACCCTGTTGTGTTGCAACAGTGAAGACTGCCATACAAAGCTTTAGGGGACACGACGCTGAAATGTTTCAAGGCAGAAGCGTAGCCTAATGGAGGCACATGAGGCAAATCTGCTGTAAGCTCATAGATGCTCTCTAAATAAATTTACCAAAATATTGTCCAAATGACCTCGTTCAAAGTTGACCAAATGAGTATTTAAAAACAGCTCTTCTTTAGCCCCATCGCATTTTGTATTGTAGATTATCGCCATGATGACTGCAGGGACGTTAGTCGAGCCTCACTCCAAATCAGACTCGACTTCTCGTTCGTCAACTTCGTCATCAACATCATCACGTAAAAACAGTCGTTCTAAAGATCCGCCATCTCCCTCCCTCAGTAAAGTTACCTCTTCTAGTGACATCGGGTAAGTGTTTCATTATTCAATGCAGTGGTGCATGAAATGTCTCCTCATTGTTCACTGCATGATGTTGCATGTTTTCGAAAGCCTATTCTGGTGCAGAAAAGCAACAGGTTACTCATCGACACTACCTCTTAATAAAGTGGGAGGTCTGCTAGGGTTTTGCTTACGGAATCGTCCGAATGTCATTGCTCGACTGTAATCCATTCCTTGAATTCTTCATTCCAGTGTCGAGTCCACGGCCAAGATGGTTGACATAGAAACCGACATCAATGGAAATCTGACCGAAATGAACAGGACCATGCCACTTCCGGAATCCAGTCCAGGGTCTTTTTCTAATCTGAAACGTACCGACTCCATCGACGTCACCGACGCTATGCCCGCCAAAAGAATGTTGATGTCTTCCGGTCCTGCGCAATCGAGTATGTTGTATATAACATCTGATGACAATAGGAAGGAGTGTGGTATCACATTAGGTTTGTGGGATATTTTTAGTTTTATTTACATTTTCAAAGCACCATGTTTTATTACCTTTTCCGCTTTCTGAGAAGGCATTGCACGTTAAAGATCCATCGACAGTCGGAAATCGAAAAAGAGTAGGTCAATGCTGCTCTTCCCTCATTGCACACTGCATGACGTTGCTCGTCCTCATACAGGTGTAGAACAGAATGACATAAAACTCCATTTCATGTCGTACTTGGTTTTGTTGTTAAGATAATCGCAGAAAAGTTAAAACTCCTCTTAAATGACCTTCGATATAGGTGCTTACTATGACGTCGGGGTTGAAATAAAAAAGGGAAAATCTAGATATGCAGTTATCTCCCTTATTTTGATATGTAATAATATGTTAAGTGAGACGAGGCTATCTTTGCACAAAATATATGTCAGTCTTGTATACTTTCAATTACCGAGTGGTGCAAACGACCCACCGCGAAAGTTACGCAAGCGCTCTGCAACAGCTTTACGGAAATTGCCGAGGATTGTCGAATGTAGATAGTGTTCAGATCTGCATAAATAAACCTGTCCGACTATAGTACATGAATATTTTTTTTCAGATAACGCCCACGATGATGTGTTTCAAAACCACATTCAGCCGATACGTGTACCTCAATCACACTGGACCGACATGTACTCCATGTCCGGTTACCCACAACTCGCTGGTCCGGCTGGCTCTAGAATGACAGCACGTGATCGAGACAGCTATGGGATGTTTATGGATTCTTATTACCATTACTATACTGGACAGCAGTCGTCTGGGTACGGAGGGAACCCATTATCAGAATACGTCAACCCGAACGCAGTGCTACCCATGACTTACACTCGAATACCCGAAAATTCCCGCGCTTATGACGACAATGACCGGTTTACCGGAAGTTCGCAAGTTGATGACGTTTATTCGATGTCCTCTGCTACGAATCCAACGTAGATGACTCGATGGGTCGATTTTAGCCTGAATATTTTAATGGCGAGGGCAAAATTGTGTCTATTTTTATTTTATTATGAGGTCATAATGTAAGCCACATTGCATCGCCTATTGAGTTGATTCTTCGAGGCTGTGCGAGTCAGACAGACATATGACCTTTGCCTCATATTTTTGTCACTTATTTGATTGGTTGAAAATTCAGTTCTCAACCAATTAAATTCTGCGATACAACCGAAATGTTCGAATACTTCCCAAATACCCAATAACAATTAGCTTAATTCGATAAAGGCGTAAGTAACATATGAGTTTGTGGTCTTAATTGAAAAGAATATCAGCGTTATCAAGGGTTATATATATCATCTCACTCGTACACCGTTGAGGAATCACAAAGCATATTTTTGTATTAACCGTTCTCTCGCAAAAATGATATCGTAGGTCTAATTTATGACATTTTTTGGTGAAGTGAGTTTTGGTTTTTGTGATCGGAATGGATAGTAAGTTTATTTGCCAGACCCCTTATGTGATTTTTGTTATATTTTCGACTTTCCGAACATGGTACTTGATGGTTCTATATACCAAGTATCGATTGATTTGTCTTATTTAATTTTTGTTTATGACGTCAGTGATATATGAGGGCTCTGCCGGAAGTGGTACGCTGAATGTGAAATATAAAATATTATCACGTGGCATTATACTTTAAGTGCCACTTCCGGTTTTATTACTTCCGTTGACGTCATATTAATTACTTAATTTTATAATTGCTCTGTTATTCTTTAATTCCGTCTTATTAAGTTTGGTTATTTTTGTTGATTTTTCTCGTGGGCCATTTTTTATTGTTTTAGTGGTATATTTTCAACACAGATTTTGTGATTTGTTACGTCATAATTATGTCTATATGAAGCCACGTCGGCACCCTATGTCTTTGTATGTGAAAAAAAAAATGAAAAATATGTCCTTGTTGAATCGACTATTGTTTTGTTTTGCTTTTTAAAGTGAGATGTTGGTTATATCCATCCATTGCGTTGGTTATATCCATCCATTACGGTGTGTAAAATCTCAAAATAGCCTATTGCCTCCGAACTCGAGATACGTCTTTCTTGGTCATGCTAGTTCCGGTGGCCTTGGTCTAAAACAGAAGTTTGGAATTAATATATACTTTACTTCAGAAATAAACTTAATTCCTATGATATCCGGTGTTATTTTATGAAAATAAGTTGGAATTATGCTATTTTCGTACAGTACTTAACTGTACTTCTGATGACTATTTACATATATATTCACGATTAAAATCAACCCACCAAAATGGCGCAACTGTCCCTTTAACAACAACTTGTCAACAGCATGAGATGCACTTGTTTCTTCATTTAAGATCGGGTGTAGAATTGCCCAAATAGTTTCTCAAGTCACTGACAGTAGATTTAAACAGTTTGCACGGTATTGTGGGTAATTTTAATTGTTTATATGCCTGGTAACGATGGCAACCACCAAATGAATAATAATAATTCCCGCCTTCTCGACCAGTGATCCACAGGACATCTATTGGAGGAACGTCGTCTGCTGTTTCGGGATTCTGAAAATAAACAGATTTCACAGATTACCGACAATGGTTTGGTCCGCAGCAATTTTGCAGGCAGGAAATATTGTCATATTGTGGTCTGTAATAGTCCCTTAAAATGAGTTACTCCCCTTCCATTTAAATACATGTAGAGTTGATTTTGAATCCCCTTGAAGACATGAACATTGTCATATTGTGGTCTGGAATAGTCTCTTGTTAACAAGAGTTACTTCCCTTCTACCATATAAAGTGGCTTTCTCTTGCCGACAGTTGTAGAGATTGGATTGTTCCAAATCCGATGATTTCGACTCGGATGCCAATGTCAACATCTTATTCCTGACAAGTCTGCTAATAAATGTCAAAAGATATCACAATTTCGCTAACAAATGTCAAGTAATGCCAATAAATGTCAAATACTGCTAATAACTGTACCTGTATGGTTTTCATTAAGCTCTCCACTTTATTATTATCAAGGCCCTGCGATACTAGTGGTCTAATTAGTATATCGATAGGGACATTATGGATTTCTTCTATATTTCCGGCTTGTATAGTTTTATCTGGTCCCAATTCCGCGTCGTCCTTCATTATCGGTCTTTGAAGTCAGTTGATCGGAGTTTTACGTCCCTTAGCCTCCAACATGTATATATATAACTTATCTGAAATAAAAAAAAATATTCGAAAAGAGTAGATCCGATTTAGTTGGCACTGAATAGGATATCACTACTTTTGATCAATATACTATATGGGTCTTTGTTTTGAAAAGGCTTTGTTATATTAACCCAAAGCCAAGCGCACTAAACCGGTGTACGGCTAGTCATTTGGATATATCATAACGTGCCTTGATGTTTGTTGACACTGTGGAGTGTATCAATGAAACTCATCAATATACTATAAGAGTCTTTGTATAGTATAGGCCCAAAAAAAAATATTCAGTACTCACTACATAAGATTAGTGAATCCTCCCTGAGATTCCAAAGCATTCCCCAAATACGTTCTGTCAAAATTTTGTGAGTGAAATTTGCAATATCATAACAGCGTTTTATTATATAAGCTAAAAATAGTTTTTTTTGTCTTGTAAATCGAGTCTTGATTATTTAGTAGTCTAAATTATCAAGACACAGTCCAGACGAAACTTTACAATGAAATCTACTACTCTACTACTTTTTGCAGAATATTGTAACACTGCTTATCATTCTCGTTTCATCAAAGTCTAGGCGTTTCATTGCTTGTGGACTCTCAAGAGGCTTGAAGATGAATTGCTTTCAATAGCCCCACCCCATCATATTATTAGAAAGAATTTCAGTGACTTAGCATTGTTTTATTACGATTAAGAATCGATGTGTGCATCCAAATCAAGAATATAGATCGTAGCCTTATAATAAGACAACCTAGAGGGTGTAAACTTAATAGACCAAATACATTTTTATGCCCAAATCAATAGTGATACTATGAAAATTTTGTATTAAAATGACTATAAATTACAACTTGCTAATTAGAAAAAAAAAATTTTTTTTTTAATAATTAAAGTCCAACTGCCCTCTTTAAAAATTTGACAGTTTTTTCGCGGAAAGGAATCCCACAAAATGATAACAACAATTCGTCGAAATGTAAATCGAAAGTACAAAATTCAACGTTTGTTTAAGTCTTTTCTTTTTAGAGGGGATATACATTCCACGAATTCCTTTCAATTCACAGACGCACGTTTAATTACTTGGTAGCAGACAAAGAAAATTATCGACCAAATACCTAGAAAAACAAAATAAAGATTTTAAATTAAAATGGACATATGTCTAATTAATTACACTTTGAAAAAATCAATCAAGGTTCGCTAATGAGTGCCATTTGCAATAATTTTTGTGCAAGCTCGAACAGATTGGCCTTACACTTCAAAGACGCCGACATTCTAGTGCATTGTGGGATTGTATGACATCACCAAGCTTCATTTACATATCGCCATTGATCGCCATTTTGCTCGTTCGCGACTTTGGACTGAATATTGTGTTGAATCTAACTGAAATCCAGGGCCATCCGTCCGTTTTTCACACATATTATCTTATCAATTTGTTCTGAAACTAAACCCAAAAGGAACGGGCCGGCGTAAGTAGCATTTTTTCCTCTTAATCCGTCATTTATTATGCAACGAAATAAATGGCTGCAGCACTGCAAATCTATGATCAGACAATGTACTTTTATTAGCTTTAGAAAAACGATCGAGTTGCCGAAATTGGGTCAGAGATGAGGGATTAGAATTTGCTAGTGCATGTACTTTTGATTTCCCGATAAATGCACACCCGGTCCTTTGTTATTGACGTTTTTGCAAATGTCAAAAGTGAAGCCAATTTCCATTTTGTTTCATTTCTTGTGTTGTATTTTTGATTGCGTCTGTATGCAGGCCTAATTTTAATAAGCTTCTATTGGATGCGAAAAAAGATAGATGAAAACAGTTTACACAATAAATTTTGGCACATCAACCGTCCAGACATCCAGACAAGATAATCATAACTCTATTTTTGTCTGCTACAACCTTTATTTTCTATCTCTCTTTCAACCATTTTTGTCTGACCTAAATTTGCACTGGTTGTCTGGTTTCGTTCATCATCCATTAATTAAAACCTGGAAATATTTCTTCAGACTGAACTAAAACTGTGATCAAATGAAGGATATTTTTGCTTTGTTGTCCTAGTTGAAACTAGTATTTATTTTGTTGCAACTGAATTGTACAAATTTACCTTAAAACTTGACTGAGTGAAGAAGCCAGTTATTTTCAAAACAGACTAAATTTTTTTGGATGCAGACACACACTCCTTTATCTTTCGAACATAATTTGGACTGATCTATAAATGCATAACCTTCAACAGCCCTACTCAATGAAATGTTACATTTCAAACAATTGACCCTACATCTAATACAGTATTGTAAGCTTACTCTAAATCTTTCTAAATATTGGAAAAACTTTATTTAGATCAAATCAATGTTCAAGATTTGGGTTAGTAGGTGAACAAGTTTGGCAGATTCTCCTTTAAATGTTTTGACTTCTGTTTATGTTCTTTACTCAATTTGTAGACCTACATTTTTACTATGGAATTAATTTTGAAAGATTGTCTGCCAATGCAATTTGGTGGCTGTTGTTGCTTTGAAAAAAGGATTCTGTTTCTGAAGAATTATGAAATTTTCCAATTTGTCTAAAATGTCAATGTTAGATGTCAAGGTTTGACGTCACAGGTGGTTTAGTCTGTTGGCAAAATTTCCCTCATTGCACTCTGCAAGGTGTTGTCCTTCATACTGTATTCTGTCTAAAGTAAACATTAACTGCTTGTAGACCACCTTAAAGATGACTTGTTGTCATGACCATCATCAGGATAGTAAATTTGCTAATGGCAACTTCTCCCATTGTTTACAGATAAAAGCTGATCCCGTCCACAAGGGTATATGATAATAAAGACTTCAATGTTTGTTCTTCGACAAAATGTCCTCAGTTGCGGGGCACGGCAGTAAAGGGGAGAAAGGCAAGGGAAAGTATACAGCTATCAATATCAACAATCTATATAAGGGCAAAACAACAGAAACACAAAAAACTACTGGTGAGTACAGATGACACCCAAGTTTTTAATTAATTCATTTATGAAAATTGTATACACTGAAATGATCCTTTGGAAATGTTAATACTTTTTTTAGCAGCATTGTTTTGGGACTGGTTACACAGTGATACCAAGGGATTGATAAATTTTTAATGTGGATTAGGGATAATGATTGTACAGACTTGCACAATTCCAATTATCAGTCAATTATTCGATCTTGCAATTCTGCTAAAACTAACGCTAAGAGCCACAGATATTGGATTACAATTTGTAATGATGTTACAGTCAAACATCATAAATGGCCTAAAACCAAATTGCTGCATTCTGTGATACAAGAATAGTGGCTATTATAGTCATGGTATAAGTGTAAAGTTTGTATAGCTTGACATTGTGAAGATGTGAACTTCTTTCTCTTCCTTCTCTTCTTTCTCTTGATGCAGCAGGTAAGGGTCTAGACATCTCAACTTGTGTGAACAACTCTGTTTTTCATTTCAGTTACAAGACAATATGGCTTGCAAAGTTTGGGAAAAGTGGGTAGTGTCCGGCGTATGCCACCACCAGCCAATTTACCAAGTTTGAAAAGTGAAAGTAGTGGAAACGATCCAAACGTCAATTTAGTACCAACCGGAGGTTCAGGTATGTCCAGGATATATTTAGGGGGTTTGTTGGAATTTTGCTGAAAAGTATTTGCAACCGATGCAAGTTGCAGTTAAAAAGGAATTTGACTTTTCTAACTGCTAATGTAATGAATACAGATTTGAAAATCAAGATGGCCAGTGAGACTCTTCATTGATGTGAAATTTGACTATTAGAACATTATATTTGTTCGATAACTGATCCCTCCATCCATTTGTCCACAATTGCTCAGATATACCCTAAAAGGCACAAAGCTATTAGTCTTTTATGCTCTACGCCATCAAAAGTAATGGAACTTTCGCAAATTCAAGCTTTAAGTTTAGATTTAGTTTTAGGGAGTGTAGGTCAACACTAGGCCGATAGAAGCACTAGCCGTGGCAGGTTAAGGTATGGTTTTAATTTGTTGTAAAATTTCAGGATGGGGTGCGAAAGAAAAGGAGAAAGATGGGAGTGGTGTTCAGAATTCATCCTCTCCATCAACCAACGTACCAACTTCTCAACAACCAACACAACCATCAGTCAAGGTAGGCAACTCTTAATAACTTTGCTTCATTATTCTCAATTTCAAACACGACTATCAAGATAGACAACTCTTAATAAATCTGTTACATTCTTCTATAATACTAACAAAATCATCAGCCAAGGTAGGCAACTCTCATTCAATCTGTTAAAATGTTCTATAATTCTGTCACCACTTTCAGCAAAGGTAGACAACTCTTGATAGAATATCTTCATTATTCTTAATTTCAAACACAACCATTTCAAAATATTTTATTTTTCAGACCAGCACACCTGGGGGCACAAATGCAGGTGTAAAATCATGGAGCAGTGTTACAGTAGGTGCAAATATTCAAGGTAAGCACTCCATATCAAATGTGTAAAATTTTCAAAATTATTTCTAAAAAGTCCTGAAAAATAAAGTATTGTACTTTATAAAATTTACCGAAAGTTTGATTGTTGAATTCTGAGTTTGTTTGTTTTGTCTACAGGGGTAGTTGTCAGTCACCAATCACCAATGTTCAAAGAGGAATTCCCCACATTAGCTGGAGACGACAAAGATGGCAAAACACAGAAAGAGGGGGCTGCAGAAGAAAAGGATGTCCCTTATGGACCCGGGCCAAGCTTGCGACCACAGAGTAAGTTCCTTGCTTGTCTGTTTCTGTCTAGACCAAACAATACAGACTAAATTTTGAAAATGAAAACAAATCGGTTCGTTAATGCTGGATTGGTTTTCTATTAGTATCTCTGAGAATTTATTAAGGCCACTTTCTTTGCTTCAAAGCGTTTTGTCAATTACCAAAAACAAGTATCTTCAACACATTTGGGTCTTTTCAATTTGCATAAGTTCACAGGTTTCATTTGATACTTTTAACTAAAATCTAAACCTTGGTGACAAAATCGTGTCTTTTGGTCAGGAAAACGTCAAATAAATTGTTTTGTTTCTCTTGTTTTTAGATGTAGGGAGTTGGCGAGAAGGCGGAGGAAGGGCTACACAACAAACTCCCAAATCCGACTCTACGACATCGCCCTCACAACCTACAGTAAGCCAGACCGAAACACAAGCGAATGGCCCCCAGACCCCGACATCCGTTAGTGGCCAGCAGGTTCCCATGCCCCCTATGCCAGGACGACCTGGTGCTAATCAGGGCCCACCACAAGGTCCGATGCCTATGGGGCCCATGGGAATACCACCACAGTACAGGGGGATGATGCCACCATATGTAAGTTGAAATCGTTTTATCGTTTAAAACCCCTTTTGAGATCCAAACCGAAATGAATTCCAGAATTTAAGGAACAGTCATCATCGGAAAAAAATCTGAATTACAAATCGACCAAATGGACCATTTAATTCCTTTACGTAACAAGGTAATGTCAAAGATCATTTTGTCATTGAGTATATATTTTCTATTTTCCAGATGTTTGGGAGAAATTTTCCAGGACCAGGCTTTCCGCCAAATTATCCTGGAATGCCGCCAAGACCTTTTCCATATGATGGAAGGTAAGAAAGAAAATTATTTTGTCAGTATTTTAACCGGAGACATTAATTTACCTTTGTTTTTCTGGTTGCTTTAAGCAATTTGGGACACTTCTAAGTTGCATCTGTTCGTCAAGATGGGCCAATATGTTTCCTCAGTGTATTGGATATAATGTATACCCCTCAACTTACTAATGAACACTTCCCGACTTATAATTTTTCTATCAATATCAAACAGTTCATGTATAATTGGAAGAGCTCATTTGTTAAATTAAGGGTGATTATTGTCTGTCAAATTTATCTTTATGAATTTTTTTCTTTGTTGTCAGGTTTCCGCGAGGTCCCCCGCCACCCCAGAATCGTCAACAACTACCGCCACCTGGTGGTAATAATGATGAGGAGAGAGATCCCTCTTTCCGTGCAGCTATCATTACAGATAAAGACTTAAAAAACTTTGACCAGATTCTCAAATCTGAGGCTAGTGACGGGGGCTGGGCTGGAGCCCAGGGTGAAATAGATTATAGGTAAGCATGGTTTATATTTTGAGGGGAAGGGGTATGGGTTTAAGGGACTACCTTAAGAAGACAAACACGCCATTGGTTGAGGGAGAAAAAAACTGCGAAGGGCGATGCATTATGGTTCCAATCTCCATTGAAAACAGCACATTCAAAATCTTAAAAAAGAATTCTAGGTTAGTTTAGGTTAAGGACTCTTTGGTGTTCTTTTCAATTCCTTTCTGTCTATTTTGATGTGTGTTTGGTGCAAATTTTAGGATTATATGTTAAAACTTGTGTTGGTGGTGGGGGAGGGGGGATATTGGAGGGCAATATCTACCCTGACTATTATTAGAAATATATGTAACAATTTATCTATTTTCAGTGCTAAACTAGTATTTAGTGATGATGAAGATGGCGGCGACCCAGAAAAAAGGCATGTTTTCATTACTCTTAATTCAAAATGACAAAAGCTGTATAGAAATATTTAACTTTGCCAGTCCTGTAAGGGAAAAATGAAAACAATAATTTCGAAAGATAAGCCTATTGGTTTAGATTTAGTAAAGTAAAAGCCACTCCATCCATTTCATTTTGTTTGTTGCCATTCATGGCTGAAAGCAAGTCTTTGTCTCATCAAAATTCTTTTCCTCCTAACAGAAGAGAGCGTAAGAAGAAAGCTAATCGTGGTTTTGATGTTCGAGATCACCGTGGTGATGGTGAAGATGATTATGATGATCGTCACACACCAAGGTCAGATCGTGATAGAGTTGAAGGTCATAGACGTAGTCCCCTTGATAAAGATAATGACCAGGAAAAGGTATGTGCTTAATTTCATTCACTTTGGTCAAATTTTTCTCATTGCCAACTGGATGGCATTGTCAATAAAGTCTTTAACAGTAGAACACATGACTTCTGTCTTTGTTTCATTTCATGGTTTTGCCTTGCTTTGATAAGTTCCTGGAAAGGTCAATTTGGCTCTGGCCACTAAAACTAATGCATTTTATGATGTCACTAGAGGGTATATACCGGAAGCTATTATTAATATCTATGCAGTTCCTTTCTAGTGACGTCATAAATGGTGCAAATAGATGCTATCAGTGTCCCCGATACACCTCATAATTCCCTTAATGAAACTTGTGCCTAATGATGTCCATCCATGAAATAAGATTAAGGAGTTTCAAGGAAACTTCTGGAAAACCAAATCCCGTCTTCATTAGCCCTCATGATGCAGAAAAGTAGGACGTAAAACTCCATTCATTTCATTTTATTACTGGAAAAGCAAGACAAAAGCCTCATTTGTCATTCTATGATTTACAGGATAGCCCTAGTAGTGGTAATATAGCAAGAGAGAATTGGCATGGACCAGTTCCTCCTCAATTTAGAGGTCAACCCAGACCCCCACATCCTGGCATGGATGGGGTAAGTTGAATATTTTTTTTAGGATTCCTTTTCACTTTATTCCAATAATTTGCTCAATACCTGTACCTCTATTCAGAATGAACAGTGTAAGAGTTTTGGTTTGTCTGTAGTTAAATGAAAATTCAGTCTTGTAATCTTATTGAAATGCCTTGCCGATAAAACTTTTCAAAACAATTATCTGGAGTAAGGTTCACCTGTCATTAAATTAAAAGATACAACTGTCATTAGTTGAAGATCTGTAATGTTTTGATGCATAAGGTAAGTGTACCAAGTTCTTTAATAAGATTATTCCCTGTCCTGGAAAAATTTCCCTCATTCAACACTTCAAAGGGACAAACTGGAAGAGAACAATAGGTCCGAACTTCATATCATTTCTGTTATTTAGAAGAAATATTTTTTTTGTCATTGCAGAGAGGTTGGCCAATGCATCCTTTTGATTATGGCATGAGGGCACCATTCCCTTTTAGAATGCCACACCCAGGCCAGAGACCCCCATTCGGTCATCCATCTGGTCCCCCACCCCCTCAACAACCATCCCCGAGTAAAAAATCAACTGATGATGACGATGAAATGTGGCAACAAAGACGTCAGCAATCGACGGAAGAGGTGCATTCTGCTGTTCAGCGAGCGCGTGCTCGACGTGAAGAGAGTGAGAAGAAGTCTGAGGCTGAACGCAAAGCTGCTGCTCAAGAAAAATTAAAACAATTAGAGGAACGAGTCCGCAAGAGGGAAGACTCGGTAAGTTGAGCTTTATAGACTACTAATAGTGTCATTTTACCTTATTGCACACTGTGTGGAGATGTTGGTCTGAATTTGCCCAGGATGTAATACTCCATTCCATTTCTTTCGAACTGATTTTAGCAATCTTAAATAGTATACTTGAAATTCCTAATAGACTCATGCATTTGCGTTGTCTTGGTTTCCCTCATCACACACTGCATGGCATTGCAAATAAGCAATTTGTCATAACGTCGAGTGCTAGAACATATCTCATTTATCAATTTCTAAATTGGCACTGAAATTTGTCCGGCAAAGAAAACATGACTGTGAAACAACATCCCTGTTTATTATAGAAAACAGAAGATGATGATAAGAAGAGTGAAGTCAGTCGAACCAGTGAGAGCAGTGAGAAAGATCCCAGGGAAAGAGACCCTCCTAGAGCTGAAAGAGTACCCAGCCGCGATGGCTCCAAGGTATGTTGAAATGTTATGCATTCAAGATTTTGATGTCTGAATGTTTTTTGAGCTTGGGTGTAAATGAAGATATTTGGACAATTTTACAGAAATTATTTAAAAAAAATTTGTTTCCAGGGTAACCAAAGTAATTATAATAAATCAAGAAACACAGTGCCACCTCGATTCCAGAAACAGCAACAAGAACAGATGAGGCAGGGTGGAGGTAGTGGACCCACCTCTCAGAGTCCTACCACCCCTGGTACCCATTCTGGTATGCCTCCACAAGGCTTCCGACAGGGGCCACCCCCACCATGGCCCTACGATCCTAGAGCATGGGGTGCCATGCCCCCTTTTATGGATCCAAGATATGCTGGGAGACCTCCAGTTGATATGCAAGGTAGGACAATAGAATTTAATCCTATGGCTTTGGGAATTATTGGGTTCTTGAAGTTGGATTGTCCTTTTGTCTTTTTAGAGCTGCTATATTTATACCCTCTCTCTTTAAGATAGTTGATTTATTGTCTTTGTGAGCCCAGTTAGGTGCAGGACATTAGGGTGTAAAACTCAAAATCAATCTATTTCTACCAAACATATCAGTGTGAGGTAAATTGTACACCATTGGTGTAGTGTTTCAATTGATTTTCCTCGAGGTTGAAAAATGCGTTCAAATGGCAATTGATTTTGAAAGCTCCAGCGTGATTTATTGTTGGGTGGTATTGTAGATACTATTCTATAGAAGCAATGGTCAAGGTCATATATTGTTTTATTTCTATCACAGGTATGCCAATGTTCCCAGCACCAGTCAGACGTAGAACTGATAGTCACGGTTCAGGTGCTGATAGCCAGGATGATAACCGACCACCATCGGAGGGGAATTACGAGCAGCAACAACGTGATCATAGAAACTGGATGGAAGGACGTGGATTTCCTCCACCACATCCAGGTAAGTGTGGTGACTCAGTTAGATACATGAAATGCTTGATTGCTTACCTGAAGGTAAAGTGGTTTAACCCTTTCATAGGTCAAGATGCCCCTGTCAGTGATGCAGGTCGGAGTGGCTGAAACGAAAAAAAAAGTCTAGTTGCTCCAGATGTGTTCTCAAAAGATACCGGAGGAGATAATAGACTTATGCTATTGGCCTGTTAGAATTTCTTCCATTGCGCACTGCATGGCACTGTCCTAAGCCAAACTAGAGCAGAAAAGGACCAAAAACTTCCTGTCTAAATTTCAGGAGCATTTGATGAAATGAGAAGAGCTCAGTATTATTATCAGCAAGAATATGAACGTTACGAGCAACGCAAGTAAGTATCTTTTACTTTCAAAAGTTTCAAGAATTCTCAAAGAAAGAGACCACTTTAGAGTTGTTGCATTCAGTTGGTGTATATTAAAATGCATTCAGGTGTTTCAAATATGAGGGATTCATAAGATACATTGCCGTTAATATATATGGTGGTTCAGTGAGTTAAAATGCTTGTTTGCTTATTCAGTCGCCCATTTGATATCCACTTCCAGCTAACGGCTATCACAGACTAGGTAGTTGTTGGTAGATGACAAGTTAACGCAAACTTCCAGCAAACTGCTATCACACACTAGGTAGTTGTGGTTGTTGGAGCCAGGATCCAACATCAATGGATGGTTTGTACTGTAGTTAAGAATCACCCTTGTTATGCCACCCATTTTAATGCCACCCATTTTAAATTGCAGTTCTCGTGATTTTGAGCGTCAGAATACCACGGAAGAAGATGTGGAATCAGCTACTAGTGAACACGATAGTTATCATAAAGAGGATGACGACCATAGAGATTCATCTCGAGATGTCTTCGATGAAATAAATGATAAAAATGATCGGCATGATCATAAAGGCGAGGATAAGTAAGTCTTGAAACGTTTTGTGCTTTTCTCCATATTTTGGCTAAAACGTGGTTTTGAACACTGAGTGGATACCCTGAACTCCTAAGCTTGAAGCATATGACGTCATTGTTTTGTGACATCATTGTGAAGGACCTTATATGGTGGCGCCATGGTATATATCCCAAATTATGTTTCTGGTAAAACTGCCACCAGTGGCAGGCTAGGTTGAAAGGCTAGATAGATTAGGATATGTTCAAATTCACAGAGTTGACAGCTACTGAAATAAGAGTTATTGCCCTTTACTAATCATAGTATCTGTTATGTGAGATAGTAGGTGTAGAGATTGATAATCATCCCCACCTCAATACAAAATCTTGAAAAATTGAAATTTAGTGTTCAAATTCACAGAGTTGACAACAATTAAAATAAGAGTTAATCCCCTTTTCTAATTCTATCCATCATTGTACATTCAGAGTAAAAGAAAGCCACAAAGACAAAGGTCGAGGAGGGGAAAAGGAAGAGAAGAAGAAAGACTCTAGGACTAGTGGAGATGACAGTATAGAAGAGAAGGAAGATCGATGGACTGGACATGGTCAGTACCCTTCGCGACCGGTCAGACATGGTTCTTCTCCAGGATCTTTACGCTCTTACAATAGTGAGCACGAGAGACCTAGTAAGTATAGTTTTTAGTTGATTTACTTCAGAACTATGGAAGCCAAAGAGGTCTTGTTTTGAGTAGGGCTACTTAAAAGGCATGTTCACCATTTATGATTTAATTGGGGGTCATCTATGGCTTCAATTTGCACCATTCTAATTTTCATTATGTTATATAACACTTAGAGTTAGTGAAATTGCAGGAACCACAGATGTCTGACTGGAAATTAGAATGGTGCAAACAGATGCTATAAGTGTCTCAAATACACAAAATAACCTTTAGAATATATTGATTTACAAGCTGTCCTTGTCTTATGAAGGCCAAATACTACTAAGAACTTTTTCAAAGGATTTAAATTTATTTCAAAAGAAATAATATCCATGTTATATTTCCAGGAAGAGAGAATTACCACTATTGTCCACCACCCATGCCCCAACCACAACAACCACCTCCCTCGCGGAGTACCAACTACACGTCGTTAAAACGTAGCGCATCCAGCATGTCCACCAGCTCAAACACTTCTCAGGAACGTAAAAGTGATTCACCCAAAGAAATTTCTAATGAGAAGCTTCATACGCAGAAGGAATCTCCTAAGGTTCGTCGATTTTTTTTGTCCAGAGGTCAAACTTCTTGTGAATCCTCCTGTATTTAGAACAAGAAAACAAATTCTTTTCCTTTTTGTTTTTTCTGATATTTTTTTCGTCACCATTGTGATCTAACAAGTCCTTTACCACAGTTCTGTTCTCTTGTAGCTAATATTAACCAATCAAGATGTGTTATGTTAATCCAAAGAGGCTGCCATATTGCTCAAAATTGGGTTTCGCTATCCCAAAATTTTTCATTGTTATCTAGTTATGGATAATTTTGAACAAATTTAAACTCAAGTTGTTCTGGTTGACCAGAAATTAAAAGTCTGAAGATCCACATTTATATTTTTTCCAGGAAACCATAAGAGATGTTAAAATTCAAACCAAAGATTTGAAAAGTTCTGAAAGTCGAAACGACAGAGACTACGAGAAACCTAAAAGAAATGAGGTCTCTCATCGCAATGAGTCCAGAGATGTCCGGCTAGACTCCCGAGACCATCGGCAAGATCCTAGAGATCGTCAAGACTCCCGAGATCATAGACAAAATCACCGTGACAGCAGACCTGATACGAGAAATAGTCGTGACAACCGTCAAGATCGTGATCACGACAACCGATCCGAGCAGAATGATAGTCGCCGTGAAAACCATTGGGACAATCGTCAACAGCCTTCACCCAAATCCAAATGGGACAAACCCCCCAGCAAGAACGATTGGATCGGCAAAACCAAGAAACCAGAGTGGGAAAAGTCAGGCAGAAATGATCGTGATACTCGAAGTCCCAAAACAGAAAATGAACCAAAATCTCAGAAGAATGAATGGGAACCGAAACCCCAGAAAACAGAAAGTTGGGAACCCAAGAATAAAGAGTCGAATACGTGGGATAGTAAACCAGTTAAACTAGACAGCCAGGAGACTCCAAAACCAAAAGCTGAAGTTGAAGTAAAACCACAGAACTACTGGTGAGTCCAAAATTCTTAATTCCAGAATATCTTGGGAACCAGATATGTATTTGATTAAATGATGCCAAGTTGGTGATCACATTTGTCATTACTGGTTGTAACACAGTTGGTAAAAGCTCTAGAATCATTTGCTTACTTGAATCAAACCAGTGATGACCTTGTTATTCCAGTCGACCCAGCTGTAAATGGGTACAGAGGAAAGATCAGTGCCAGGTTTTGATAAGGATCAGCTGTTAGGTAGGATCCTCTGGAAGTTGATATCCTTGTAAAAAATTGTGGTTTTGTTCAAAAATTTAGAAAATCCTGTCCACTTCTGATATTGTGAATAATTCTATATTTTTAGGGAGAGAAACAAAGAGAAGCAAGAAGAACAGAAGAGAGCTGCAGCAGAAAAGGACAAAGAAAATGTTGAAAAGCAAGTTGAAGAAAGTCCAAAATCTCCAACAGAAAAGAAACAAGAGCATGCGAACCAGTCTGGAAGACCACCAGTGAAGCGAAAGAAGGACGAAGATTATCGGTACGACAGTCGTCAAGATCGTTACCGAGACGATGGTCGTATGTCTGGACGTGGTCGCGAATTCGTACGAGGTAGAGGGCGTGGTAGAGCAAGAAGCCAAAGAGGAAGTTACACTTCAAGGGGACGAGGTCGTGCTGATTATCGCAGCTACGATAGATCGTATCAAAGCAGTGGTCGCTCGGACTACAACGCGAAGGGAAGTATTGGACGTTGGGGAGAGAATGAGGATGAAGCTGCCGAAGACTTCGAAGCGTCCAAAAGACGTCGAGGAAAGGATGAGGATAGCGACGTGTCTGTGGATGATACGAGTGGTTCCTTTAGTGAAACGTCAAGTGAAAGAACTTCTGAGGCACGAGACAATTCTCGTCCGAAAGATTCGTCAAAAGACTCAAAACCAAAAAGCGCTAAAGATGACACGAAGCATCAGCCAAAGTCTGAAAATCGTGATAATCGTGAAAAACGTGATAGCAACGAGAGGAATTCTAGTCGGAACAGCCATAATCATCGTGATCACCGCGGAGGATACAATGACAAGAGGTATGATGACAGATATAGGAATAACGAGCATCAAGATGGTGGACCCAGAAATAACGCCTTTGTTCCCAGAGGGGAACCTTCTCGACGTGGAAGAGGAGGTAAGTTAGAATTTTTGATCTTCTACATAAGCTTCAGAAATTAAACGGAATGGAGTTTTACATTGAACTTTTTTGTATCTGTCTTGGTGAATTAGGACAAGTTGGTTCTAGAGAAATTAATTATGTGCTGTTAGCTCACCATGTTGCAAGTTGGGTTGTGGTCTACTGAGCAATAAGTGCCATCATGCCATGGGTCCAAATCCTCAAAACCAGTACTTTCAACATCTAATACGGTCATTTACTGAATGGTATTTGTGTTGGCTAGGGCAATTCCCTTGCATAAGTACCAAGCTGTTCAATCCCAACATATCAAGCTACCTTTTCAATTTTCCTACAATTTTGAAATTTTGTTTTCAGGTAACAGTGTACCAAGAGGTGGACCTCGTGGTAAAAGATATATGTCTGGACCTCCTAGAGGTGGATTTGGTCGACCACCCAGTAATAGTGGAGAATCACGCAATAGAGACAATCAAAATGATAGCAGGTAAGGACAGTACCATCTAACTTATTTATGGGTTCCATTTATCTGATTGGTCAATCCTCAAAATCAATTTCATAGTTTGTTACATCAGTTTTTTTTTTGATTGTGTCTTTGTTAAAATTTTGTGGAACGGGAATTGTTTTTGCTGCAAGGGATTCAAACTCCATCCAATTTTATTTTCTGACAAGATTTTTAAGAATCCGTTTCTAAACAAGTTCAAAAAAAAATATCTCCATTTGTTTGTACACAATGATCTCTCATGATAATCATTGCAATATATAGGGACGTTCCATTTTCAGGGAGTATCGTCGATCTGAAAGAAATCAACCGCCACCAAGATTTGCACGACGTGGGGGGTTTCAAGATCGAGGGAGAGGCTATGAAAGAGGACCACGGGGAAGAGGAAGGGGGCGAGGATCAAACTCGGCACCCTCGAGACCTCCGTTAGCCAAGCAGATGTCAAATGAAGGAGAAGAATGGGAGACGGCATCTGAATCCAGTGATTTTAATCGGGATTCAAAAAACGATAAAGATGGAGGTGGAAAAGACCGGAGAGAGCCTCCAATGTCTAAGAAAAGTTTCTCCAACCAGCGGCCATTGAACGATCGTCAAAATCGACGAGTTCCTACCGACAATAGAAATATGGGTGGAAACGACAACCGAAACAACAAAGAAAAGTCCCCAAATCCGACAAAAAACGGGACCGGGCCCCCTAGAAATGGCAACGGGGGTCCAAAAAACAAAGCCTCGATGCACTCGAACTATAAGGAGAACGTGAATGTTTATAGAGTCGATAGTATCGTACATACTGACCAAACAGCTATCAATAACGCCATTAATAATATCAGCATCAAGTAAGTCTGAAATTTCTTTTTCACCCCTGTCTTCTGCCATATTCCTTTGTGTCTAAGATGCTTGCTGCTTACCTGTAGGTTCAATCTTATGACTTTTGAACCCACTTATAAAAGTTTAGGCTAGTGCTGGTGTCCTTGCTTAATTCCTTCATTGCACAGAGCATGATGTTGTCTGTCCAAACAAGTCTAATCTTGATTCTTTCATTAATGGTTTCTGACTCACTCCTTGCAAAAATTCAGATTAGTAACATCTTTGTCCAGTCTCACTCAGACACAGAACTCCCATTGTCGCCATTTTAACCATTACATCCTCACATATTCAATGTATTTTACAGGAAAAGAAAGAGTGAACTGAGTGATGTATCTAAGCCATTACCTACAGAGAAAGAGAAGAAAGATGCCTTAGCCAATATAGACATTAATAACTATGCTAGTAAGTTAATCTTCAAGCATATTAAAAATCTCTGAACTGTCGGAAATCCTAAAGGACAAGGCAATTGCTACCGTTTTGTAAAATTTCCCTCATTGCACACTGCATGGTTTTAGTGTTTAGATTTTAGTCCAACAGTATTCGCTAAATTTGAGCAGAAATGTACTTCTGTTTTGTTTCTGCCCTTGTCCGTCTGCTCAAGTCTGTTAATAAAAATTTTCTGCGTATTTTGTAGGTGTAGTGGTAATTGATGATCAACCAGAGGTCACCATTGATGACCCGACTTTTTTATTTGAGAAAGATGATGGGTTTCAGGAAGTAACGTATAAAAAGGCTGTACCTAAGAAAAAACAAGAGACTGAACTAAAGAAAACGGAAGTGAAAAAGGGAGCTAAAGTAAGCATGGGTCTCCTTAAAATAAATTTTAACTAAGGTTAATGATTTGATTTTTGAGGGATATAGATTGCTGTTTACCAGTATGGATTAGGCTGCATTCGATACATGCTGTGAAAATAGTGTTTATGACTTATAAATATATTCTCAATTTTATGGTCATGGTGGGCGAAGAGGTTGTGTTAGCAGTGTTAATATATTTCTATGTACCAGTTCCAAGCTCTTTATCAACTTTTGTTGACTGTCAATTAGATCTATTTGGTATTGTTTTCTAGGTTGTTGCCAAGCCAAAAGGAATGTCGTCTGCTAAGATAGATCGTCAGCGCTATGGTAAATCTAGCCGTCTGCCGCCACGTCTGGCCAGAAAGAAAGAGGAGGAAGAAAAAGAGAAGGAAATGAGTAAAAATATAATGCCAAAAATAGAACAGTGGGATAATGACTTGGCCAATGATATACCAGCTAATTCTACCAGCCTAGACATAGACTCCACTAAAAGTAAGTTCCAGGAACATTTTCATCGGAAACATTTAGTGAGATTCTATGGTACTTACTGAAGGACAAAATATTAGAAGCAAAATGACAAAACTGACTTTTGATGGCTTCAAGAGTGATATTTTCTTAATTTTCTTTTGAGGGAACAAGCTCGTGCATATCTTGAATAACAGAATTTTTATTCCATGGCCGGTGTTTTGAAGAGTTGGACCTGTGATGGCTTTTGATCTAGGAAATCTTGGGCTAGTTAGATCGTTGTCTACTAAGACAGCCATATTGTCAGTAGCGAATTGGATTGTTGTGTGTCTGGGTTTTCTATGTAGATCTCTGCCATCCAATTGCAGAGGCTCTCGCTCTGTTTTCCCTATCACCTCCAAATGATTCTATATTTATTCAATTGTATTTCAGGCATGACAACCGTCGCCGTGACTCCAGTTGTCAAGACAACCACAGTGAGCGTGCCCTCGGCTCCAGCTCCCGTACCTACTGTCAGCGCCTGGACCAAACCAATCAACTTCTCAGTCAGTGCTTCCGGGCACGAAATGAAGTTTGAGAAGGGAGGCAACAATGATAACCATGACAGTGGGATTGACGTAAGTGACCGGCCTAATTCAGCTGGCTCTTCAACTCGCAGCTCCCCCAGTGCAGAAAACAAGCTTAAAGATGACAAGAAGGTACCTGGAATCGAACTCTTAGCGCCCTGTTAACGGGTGACGGGCATACTGCATGAATTATTTGTATATAATCGTTGTTGTAGACAACCCAGTAGCAAATTTAGAAAGCATTATATTTTATCAGGAGTCTTTTAGAGGCTATGATTAGTTAGAAAGGTTTTGGAAATTTTGGAAATGCGTGAAGGATGCCACAAGTTGAAATTTTTTGTCAATATTTTGCTAAAAAAATATTTGATTCTTGTTTCAAATATCGTATAATCCTTTTGATTTTTCGGAAAATAAGACCATAGATTGCTAAAAAGTTTACTATCTTATTTTGAAATGCCAAAATATGGCTATTGCAGCTTGCATTCATGGCAAATTTCCCTTATTATACACCGCAAAGTGTCCTTGAAAAATGCAAAGTAAGAATATTCTCAAATGATAGTATGAATGATTCAGCGCTTCCATTTAGCAAAAAGTATTTTTATACTGGCTTAAAAAAAAAATAACCACTGAGGCTTTCCTTCACAAATTTCTGGATATTTTCAGTAGATAATCAAATTTGTTAAACAACCTTAGAAAATTGAAAATCTGCAAAAGCACTACTAATTTTTTTTTTGTAATTTTCTTAAAAATCTTTTTCTTGCTAATTCCTTGTTTTCAAAACACTTTAGCACTTTCAAACTATTTTTTATTAACATTTTTTTTTTTACCAAATTTTCTCCATGCGAATTTAGACTTGTCTTCTAAAGCAGCACGATCAATAAGCTTGTCTCTCAACTGTGCATTAGTCGTAGCTGAGTAGGTCTAGCTTTACATTATCTGGCTTCAACACAGGAGGTACGAGTCTTATAGAACTAACCCTTGATCCAACATACAGATTTTTTAATCCATAGTCTTAACCAATAATAAAGGTCAAAGTTGGTGGAAATGGCTTCTTTTTGCATCATTCAAATTCAGATGTCTGTGGTTCCTGTAATTATAGAAATTCTGAACAGGATATGAAGACACTTAACGCTCAGTTATGGAATTGCAGGAACCACAGACATCTGACTTGAAATTGGAATGATGCAAATCAATGCTATCAGTGTCCCTGATATTCATGAAAAATTTAGAAAACCTCTTTACAATCCCTTTAAATGGTGTTTTACATATCTACTTGTTGGAGCAAGGGTTTCAAGATGAAGACTCAATCCTCCTTGAAAGACGCGAGATGGCTTTAGATATAGCTTTAGGGTACCAAACAGGCTTTAAAAAGTGTAACCAGAAAATGACCTGGCACTAGAAATTGTACAAAGTGGCTTAATGCTTTCTATTTTTTTTTTTCTTAATTAAAATTAACAAATGAAAGTTTTTACAGCTTTGAATACTTATGATTTCAATGTTTTTTGTATTTTTGTTTTGTTCAGTGATTATTATGGGCTATTTATTTAATTGTAGGTGGTAGTGGATACTTTCAAGGCTTCTGATATGGAGATTGGTGAATTTGAAGCCCCTAAACCACAAAGGCAACCTAAGGTTAGTGAAATCTTAAGTAATTTTTCTGTTTCCATAGTTCATCGCTACTAACAATAAACAAAAGCCCTGTGTATCATTAACATTTCTCGACCGTTGATAATCAAAAAGGAGGTTCATGCTGGTGTCCTGCCAAAACTTTCCCTCATTACACACTGCATGGTGTAACCGTCTTCACAAGCAAAAACTGGCGCCGAAAAGGTGAAATTTCATTTAATTTCTTCTACAAAGTCATAAATTCTTGTGATCCCTTATTAGTTGAAAATCAAAAAAGAGTAACTCGATGACGCTGTCCTTTCAGAAACTTTCCCTTTTTGTACACTGCATGGTGTTGCTTGCCCTCAGTAGCCTTAAAATAGGCACTGAAACTCATTTAAGTTCTTCCACCATGGCATCCATATAATATTAATCTGTTTAACTCTTTTTTTTTCCAGATAAGTACAGGTTCAACCTCAGCTCGTGGAGTGAAACCTATAACTAAAGATATCCAGGTTGTATCTGTAGTAGATGACTTGAAGAAACAGTCTACTGAGATTATTAAAGAACAGCGTAGAATCACTACCATAGAGAAAACTGAACCTATACAGATGCCAGCTTTCAAAGATACGCTGTTTGGAAAGGTATGTCAAGAGTTATTGCTCTTGTTTAACCTGAATTTACTCATTGATGTCTTGGAATGTAATGAAAACTCTTTGACTTGCTTTTAGTCCTAATTTCTTTGATATAATTTTTGAGAGTCAACATTGGTTTGGAAATAGTGTTAAAATCAAAGAAAAGTGTTGGTTAATTTGGAAAATTTTATCTAATTGTGCACTTCATAGTGTGATCTAATAGGCAGAAGGAAAGGACATTAAACAAGAAATCTGTTTTGTGCAAAATATTTGCTAAATAACTGAACCTTCTGCTCTATTCTCCCAAGGGGGGCTACTCTTAAAACAGTCATAGTTTCCAGACCACAATAACATCACTAATTTATTCCATTGTAGGGTGACAACACTATGAATTTAGATTTTGAATTTGATGCAACGTTGGTGAACATAACCGAGACAAGAATAGAATCGGAACAAATTGTGATGTCTTCCACAGATGTATGTAAGCCTGTCAGCACCAGCAGCGTCACAGGCACTAGTCAGCCTGTCATTACGTCACCTACGTCACCTTCCACACAGGATCTCAACCAGAAGATAGCTCAAGTGAAGAAAGTCTGGGAGAGTTCTTCTATGAAGACTGTTTATGAGAAACCGTAAGTAGAATTCGAGTTCCTATTTTTGGCTTTCAATATTCTGAGTTAACAGTATGTTCTTTTCTTAATTCAAAAAATTCCAGGATGCTTGTATGCTCGAAAAGTTCCTGATGTTGAATAAATGTTCTGAAATTGCAGGATGCCAGAGTCTACGACGCCACGCCAATCCATCAGTTCCTCCATCGACGAGAGTTTATCAAACAGCAACAATAACAACACCTTTGACTCGTTTCCGACTAGCGAGGTAGAGAGGGCGCTCACTCCAGTCCAGAATAACATGGATAACGTTATTTCTAGCCGTAACGATTTGAGCAGTTACCATAGCGACAGTAACAACTTCTCGCCTAGCCAGTCATCTCTATCACCCAGACCACACGACTATCTGAACTTCTCAAACACCATGGATATGAAAATGGAGAATGACCATAAACCTAACTATATGTCGGAACCCAGTAACGTCTGCAAGGTATTTTATTTGAAATCAAAAAGTGATACAGTGATGGGGATGACGTGGAAAAAGAGTCTAGTATTGCGGATGGGACAATAAACCCAGGCCCTGTCTGCTACAGGCTGTGCACGTTAAAGACCCCTAGACAGTGGAAATCGAAAAAGAGCAGGCTAATGCCGCTGTCCTCCCAAAACTTCCCCTCATTGCACACTGCACGGTGTTGCTCTCCTTCATTAGTCCATTAAGGTGCAGAAATGCAGGGTACAATCTTCCATTAGCTAACTATTCTGAGAAATTTCCAATTGGTTGTTCCATGTGGATCATGCAATTGAAATGGAAAGTAAACTGATTGGATGATGACGTTCTGTCTCGCAGACGATAAAACAACCAATGAAGTTTTATATGATAAATTATGTCTGCAATGTGATAATCTAGTCGTGGAAGCGCAAGGACATGGGAGATTTTACTCTGCCACCAAGAACCTTTAGGCGATGGGTCTGTCTAAGTGAAAACTGTAACTTCAGATGTTTAGAAGGAATATTTTCTTTTCTAGGTGAAACCCCAGCAGTTTCAGACAATAGATTTCATCATGTCAAATACCAACAACCTGATGTCTAGTATGTCTGCTGTACCCAGTCCTCCAGTCGTCGTCCAAAATCAACCTCCGCCATTTCAGACAATACAGCTGGGATCACAGTTACTCACTCCTGAATCTAGGGTAGGTGTTAGTTAACATCCTCTTGCTACCAAATTGTGCAGGGTATTACCAATTGTACCATGATAGATGGTTACATTATGTTTTGCCTTGTGCATTTGATTTAGATTTGTATTGAAGAGGGTGGGGTGTAGCGCAGTTTGTTATAGCGTTGGAATCTTTACACGATGTCATTAATTTGTTTACTTCAAGCAAATGGTGGTCATGTCAGATTTTCCCAATTTTTACTTCCAGTTTTCGCAGCCAAGTTTTGGGTTCAGTTTGTCTCAAAACCAATCACAACTTGGTCAACAACAACTTGGCCAATCCTCGAGTTTCTCCCAACCAAGTCTCTTCGTACCAACACCAAACCAAGATCTGTACCAACAGCAACCATCACAGCTAGCACCCTTTCAACGTAACCACAGCTTCAACCAAACACCCCAACAGAATTACGGACAAACCCAACAGAATTATGGTCAAACACAGCAGAACTACGGTCAGACGCAACAAAATTATGGACAGAATCCTACCCATAATACCATAATGGTGTCATCGACATCATCATTAATGTCCACCTCCATCAAACCACCCTCAACTAATAATTATGGTAAGGCCATTTTCTTACAGCCACTTTTTCGCTGGTAATGACATGGCCTAAATGATTTTGATTTCTGCAGGGTGGCCATTAAGTTGCTCTAAAGATAAAGCTTGCAAATTACTGTGAGCTAATTGTTTGGGCAGATGTTTTACTGTTGATATTCTGTGATGCTGTCTATGCAGAGGCCACTTTGTAGCACTCTGTTATGTGTACATTTACTCTTTTGATCTTGTCTTGCAAAATTTACTTCATTGCTCAATGTACATCTTCAACAAATAAAAAGTGACAAGATGACTGGCCCTACTAGTGACGAAATCACACCAGTGTGTCATGTTAGAGGAACTAGGTAAGGCCATAGTTGGGCTAGTAGAAGGAAAGAGCCATGTTTTCAGCAATTTAAAAACGATTCCATTCTTTCCAGGCTCCCTACAGAAGAATATGTCCAGTGGTTCAGTACAATATAACCAAGGATTGAACAGTTCCTCAGTTCATCAGCCCAGTCAGATGTACATTCAGTATGAACCCACAACTCCTATGTTCGGTAACAACCAGATACTGACAGCTTCCAATCAACCCAATCCTTCCCAGAATGCATCACAGTTGATAGGATCTCAACTGGTGCAGCAGAGGTAAGTAAGGCTCTTCATTTAATAAGATTGGAGGTAGAAAGAGTACAGTGCATTAATTGTAATTATGCCTCATATTTTGATAAACTATTTAATTGTAATTATGCCTCATATTTTGATAAACTATTAATTGTAATTATGCCTCATATTTTGATAAACTATTTAATTGTAATTATGCCTCATGTGTTGATAAACTATTTAATTGTAATTATGCCTCATATTTTGATAAACTATTTAATTGTAATTATGCCTCATGTGTTGATAAACTATTTAATTGTAATTATGCCTCATGTGTTGATAAACTATTTAATTGTAATTATGTGTTGATAAACTATTTAATTGTAATTATGTGTTGATAAACTATTTAATTGTAATTATGTGTTGATAAACTATTTGATTGTAATTATGTGTTGATAAACTATTTAATTGTAATTATGTGTTGATAAACTATTTAATTGTAATTATGCCTCATGTGTTGATAATTTATAATTTGTACATTGTAGAAGTGGAGTACATAATGTACAGTCTGTACAGCCTTCATCTTACTTTCCTCAATCACAACCTACATTATCTCAGACTGGTTACTTCTCTTCACAATCTCAACCATCTTCAGCCTTACAGGTATAGTTATTAATAATTCTACATTGAAATATTTCCCTCATTGTACACTGCATGGCGTTGTCTGTTTATTTCTCAATGGGGTGCAGAATAGTAGGATGTAAAACTCATTATCATTTCTGATTCTTCACTAAATCTTCCTGCCAGTAGTTGATGTATGCCATTCTGCTACTGGGATTCCTTTCAGAGAGTCCACATATTTTATTTATGAAAGAAGTACACCATTGAATTTACCCAGGGCAGAAAAGGATTTTGTTAAATCCAATTCTTGTCTAAGATGGCCAATTGAATTGAGGGACACTTGTGTCATGGCTATATTTATTTTAATTATTGTTTCAGGGAGCACTTCAACAAGTAGCAGCTTCAGGGCCACAGTTCTCTATTCACACGTTTAATAACGCTGGACAGGGGCTAGGACTGGCTCTCCAGCAGACATCAGGGGCCAACACCACGCCCCATATAAACCTAGGTAACACTGGTTCTAACCAAGCTGGCATGAATAAACCTAATAACCAGTTTAGCTCATTTATACAGCAACAGTCACAGTCTAATCAAAATAACCAGGTAGATTTATTTTTTTTCTTTTAAAAGAAGGACATCTTCACAATGTCAAGCTATTAAGAACTTTGTACTTATACCTTGACTGTAATAGCTATTTTTCTTGTATCTCTGAATGCAGCAATTTGATTGGTTGTACGCCAAAGATGCAGCAAACATAGCCCTATACAGGCTTATAGTTTTCTGCATTTCTCATTACTTGTGTCCATGAAGACTGGAAGTAAAACTCCATTTCATTTCTAATTTCAGATGAAGTCACCCTCCCAGAATATAACACCAAGTAATATGTTGAACACAGCATTGTCAGCCTTGAGTCCCAACTCTAAGGTGTTCACTTCACAAGTTCAACAGAATCGACCCCCACCCCAACAGAGATTCCCGGGCGTGACTCAGTTACCCCAGGGGAATAAGTTTAATAACGCTGCTTTCGTAGCCCAGCAGTTGTCTGGTGCAGGTAAGAACTTAAACTCCATATTTCAAGTTTTCTGGATTGATCCAGAGATTTTTCTTCCCAATTCCCCTGTCAGTGATGCAGATCGCAGGGGATGACATGGAAAAAGAGTTTGGAAGGAACAATAAACTGGGATCCTTCGAAGGTTGGAAATCGAGTATGCTAATGCCACTGGAAAATTTCCCAAATTGCATGACCTTGTCTGTCTTCATTAGCCGAATTAGGTGCAGAAAAGTAGGATGTATAACTCCCAATCATTTTATTTCTGTTTTGACAGCTGGAAGAAGATAAGTTGTGAATTTTCTGAAGAAAACTTGCTCTTAACGCGTCATTGTATTCACAGAAGTTTCATGCCTCTATTCTTTCTGTTACAGCTTCAGTGGTACGACCTTCAATAATGGTAGGAGGGATGGTGAGACCCAACACGGCTCCACCCCAGCCAAGTCGAGGTTCCTTTCCACCTCCCATACAGAGACCTGGGCTGTCTAACACGGGGGTAATAACCATCCCAACTCAGTCTCTTACGCCAGTGATTCCTGCAGCTCTACAACAAGGAGCCACGCCTTCCATGAAGGCCTTACACGAGAAGCAAAGAAGAGAGGTGTTAGCTCATGCCCAGAGTTTTTTAAATCCTCAAAATAAACCGAAGGTCAAGTCACTACCGAAGAGTGACATCTCGGATGAGAAGAGTCCAAGCGATGCTGTAAATACAGCGGAAAGTAAATCAGAGAGTTCCGTTACTAGTAAAGAAAAGTGAGAAATAAGTTTTTTTGTGACATAAACTGTTTTTTTGACAATTTTGTCTTTTGTGCTTTTTAATTTTATTATTGGATGTGAAGTTAAATATGGACTTGGACTGATAATCTTGATACGTATATAGAAGTAGAGACTTTGTAATGTTTTTAAATGTTTTTTTCCGAATGGATAAACTTTTGATTTTCGTTTGTGATGGACTTTTAACATATTATTTGAATGGCCGTGATGCTGGATGAAGAAAGGATATATAGAAAATGAATCAGGCGTTATAGAACCAGGACGTGGCACTCAAGACATTTATACTGAACGGAATTTCTGCCTACGAGATTGAAAAATGAATACGTAATTTGATTACGATAAAATCTCGAAAAATGGGGATATTCTTCAAATTATTTTGAAGCCGATGTAAATTTCTGTTTATTTATTTCTTATTCTGAATGTGTGCCAAAAATGAAATCTCACTAATTTCGGGAAGCAATTTTTGAAACGCGCGTGAAAAATTTGTATTTAATATTTTCCAAAGCTCCGTGTACAAAGATGTAAAACTTAATTTTCATAATCCTCTGTAAATTGCCCATTTTTATCTACCCTTAATCATAATACTGGTATCGCAGACGTTTCAAAAGTTGCCTCCCCTTTTTAATCATTCATATATTGGACCATATTTTTAGCGGTCTTTCGCCATTTTTGTGGAGTTGCATCACTTAAGGATTGTGAATAAAAATACTTGTGATATTTATAATTTGTATTTATATGTACATAATTCGCTTTGTACATAATGCAGATATATTAGTCACAATTTATTCCTTGAGTATAGTGAGGACTCTTTACGGCACAAGTGACGTCACGTTGATGTCACCAGCATCAGAAATTTCGTCGAAGTATTACCTCTTAATATCCCCAAGCGTCATTATGTACATTTTTGGGAAATTTTTCCTCATGTTTGTACAAATGTAAATCCTGATGAAGGATTTCCTCAAGAAATTTGTAATTTTCTGTAGTGTTCAGGAAATGTTCAGATATAACCAAGCTTAAAGCAACGCCATGTCCTGTTCACTCGCCTACAGATTCAGTCATTTTATAGCGATTTCTACGAAATCCATTCATATAGCAGAAATTATAGGCAACCATTCTAAATGGACTTGTTTTCATATTTTGCTGAGGAAAGTTACGAAGTATTGTAAAGGCCTATCGTTTTGTAAAATATTTGTATCATATGGTTTGATTAATTGTTGTATTGGTGAAATATAGCTGAATTTCCTTCATGAGTGACCTGGGTCATCAGCCTTCGCTTGGTCATAGGCTTGGTGGACTGACCGAGGTCACAAGCTAAGTTAGGTAACTCTGCCTTCCTACGACTGTAATCCATTATTGGCCTATTTAATTATAAAATGCTTTTTTAGATTGCTCAGTCAGAAGTCTGCCTTTGAAGTTTTCAAGCTTGGATGGTAGACTGTGCCCCAGTTCCATCCATAGCTGACATCTGAGCCCCATTTTGCAAGCTTGTCCTATGAGGTGCCCCATTTTGCAAGCTTGTTCTATGAGGTGCCCATTTTGCAAGCTTGTCAGATGTGGTGCCCTATTTTGCAAGTTGAGCATATGAGGTGCCCCATTTTGCAAGCTGAGGATATGAGGTGCCCCATTTTGCAAGCTGAGCATATGAGGTGCCCTTATTTGAAAATTGAGTCTATTTGGTGCCCCCCAGTTGTGAGTAAAGGTTTTTAAATGGTAAGGTTTATGTTCAAAAGAAGGGTGTGGCATGCCCTCCACTCCTCTCCCCTGATGTAAATCTTGTCATTTTAGTTTTCAATGTCTTAAATAGATGTTATTTCATTTTTTTTAAAAAAAAAATACAGATTATTATTTATGTTCAATTGTAAATGTTTAGACTTCGTTTTATTTTTCTGATTTGGTCTATCTAGCCAGCAAGATGTCATTACCCCCACAAATCCGGCTCTACACAGATGTGATTGTCCTGGTTAGGGCTGGGCCAGACCAAAAATAGATTGGAATACACTCCCATAAAAAGTGGGTCTGGCCCTAACCGTGACAATATAGCATTGCCATATCACATACCAGGAACATGTAGGGTCAGATCTGTCGAGCTGCCCCATTACCCTGCATTTTGTGTTAGTGTAGCCTTGAATAATGAGTCTCAATTGTAAGTTATTGAAAAGGGACAATGGCTTAATAAGCCACCTGGATCAAGATATTTGACCCTAGGATAAGCCACCTGGATCAAGATATCTGACCCTAGGATAAGCCACATGGATATCAAGATATCTGACTAGGATAGGCCACCTGGATATCAAGATATCTGACCCTAGGATAAGCCACCTGGATATCAAGATATCTGACCCTAGGATAAGTCACATGGATATCAAGATATCTGACCCTAGGATAAGCCACATGGATATCAAGATATCTGACCTAGAATAAGCAACCTGGATATTAAGATATCTGACTCTAGGATAAGCCACCTGGATATTAAGATATCTGACTCTAGGATAAGCCACCTGGATATTAAGATATCTGACTCTAGGATAAGCCACATTGATATCGAGATATCTGAGCCTAAGAAAAGCCACATGAATATCAAGGTATATCTGACCCTAGGATAAGCCATATTGATATCAAGGTGTATCTGACCCTAGGATAAGCCACCTGGATATCAAGATATCTGACCTAGGATAAGCAACCTGGATATTAAGATCTGACCCTAGGATAAGCCACCTGGATATCAAGATATCGGACCCTAGGATAAGCCACCTGGATATCAAGATATCTGACCCTAGAATAAGCAACCTGGATATCAAGATATCTGACCCTAGGATAAGCAACCTGGATACCAAGATATCTGACCCTAGGACAGGCCACCTGGATATCAAGATATCTGACCCTAGGATAAGCCACCTGGATATCAAGATATCTGACCCTAAGATAAGCCATATTGATATCAAGGTATATCTGACCCTAGGATAGGCCACATGGATATCAAGATATCTGACCCTAGGATAAGCCACCTGGATATTAAGATATCTGACCCTAAGATAAGCCATATTGATATCAAGGTATATCTGACCCTAGGATAAGCCACATTAATATCGAGATATCTGACCTAGGATAAGCCACCTGGATATCAAGATATCTGACCCTAGGATAAGTCACATGGACATCAAGATATCTGACCCTAGGATAAGTCACCTGGATATCAAGGTATCTGACCTAGGATAAGCAACCTGGATATTGAGATATCTGACCCTGAGATAAGCCACCTGGATATTAAGATGTCTGACCCTAGGATAAGCCACCTGGATATCAAGATATCTGACCCTAGGATAAGCCACATGGATATCAAGATATCTGACCTAGAATAAGCCACCTGGATATTAAGATATCTGACTCTAGGATAAGCCACCTGGATATCAAGATATCTGACCCTAGGATAAGCAACCTGGATATCAAGGTATCTGACCCTAGGATAAGCCACCTGGATATCAAGGTATCTGACCCTAGGATAAGCCACATGGATATCAAGATATTTGACCCTAGGATAAGCCACATGGATATCAAGATATCTGACCTAGGATGAGCTAAATGGACATTTGTCAACATTAACAGAATTATAAAATATGTAAACAAAGAGTCCATGAAACACTATAAATAGTAACAAAAATCTACATGGTACAATAATAATAAAAAATATATCTATAACATCTATAAAAGGAAAAATGAGGCTTCACAATGAATTTCATAGAAATAATGAAAGGAATTCTATTTAACTAATTTCTACACAAGAGTTAAAAAAGGATTGTAAAGAGGTTTTCTACAATTTTCATGTGTAATAGGGATGCTGATGGCATCAATTGGGACCATTCCAACTTTCAATCAGACATCTGTGGTTCCTGCAATTCCCCTCAAACTAAGTGGTCACTTAGTCACTAATTGCAAAGGGCCTGATGTGATACAAGCATATTTTGACATTAGCGACGTTATCAAGCCCTAAGTTTAAGTGGACTTGCAGGAACTACCACAGTGTTCCTGATACACATAAAAAAAAATCTACAAAATTTCTTTACATTCCCTTTAACATCTTCTATACAAGAATGAAAAAGAGCTTGAAGACAAAAAAATTCACAGCTTTCCTAATTGAACAAAAGAACATACTATTTATTCTCCATAGAAAATTGAAAATATTCTAGAATTTACATGAACTATGAATCCTTAGAAAATTCATTATTTTTCTACTTAAATAAAAAACAGTGAAATCTTGAATCTATTTAACTATGAAGCAAAAGTAGACTAATTGAATTAAATGAAATTTTAACTGATGAATGGTTCAGTGCCCAAAATGTGGTTATATATGAAAGAAAACAGAAAATACAAAATTATATACCGGTATAATAAATTCTAATAATTCCCTTCAAAGAGAGTATGAAAATAGACTTCTTCAAGATATAAGCCTCAATCCAGATGGGAGCTTCCATCAAGAATGCCTGGATAGGAGCTTCTATTTAGACAGGGGCCTCTATCAAGATTTAAGCCTCAATCCAGATGGGAGCTTCCATCAAGAATGCCTGGATAGGAGCTTCTATTTAGACAGGGGCCTCTATCAAGATATAAGCCTCAATCCAGATGGGAGCTTCCATCAAGAATGCCTGGATAGGAGCTTCTATTTAGACAGGGGCCTCTATCAAGATCGAAGCCTCTATCCAGATTGGAGCCTCTATCAAGATGGAAGATTCTAATAAGATGGGAACCTCTATCAAGATGCAAGCCTCAATCAAGATAGAAGCCGCTATCAAGATGGGGGCTTCAAACAAGAGGAGAAGCCTTGATTAATACAAAAGCTTAAATAAAGATACAAGCCTAACAAAACAGAGGCCAGAAACAAGGTGTGCCATTTCTAAAATTATTCCTGAGAAAACTACATGATTCATGCAAAACAAATGAAGAGTGGTTCAGGTCAGACCAGAGACTCCAACATTTCAACCCTCGAGGTCACATAATTACGCAATATATACCCGAGCGGTGGTTACCAAGTGACGTCATACAACTATAACATCATATGCTTTGAGTTATATGACTTAAAGTTCAGGGTATATCACTCAGGGTTCAAAGGTTTAATTCACCTAATGGAAACTCGAGCAAAGACATTAATAAGTGATACAGTCATCTAAATATTTGCATAATGGTGCTAATTGATGCTATCAGTGTGCCTGATACATATAAAAAATTTAGAAAATCTCTTTACAATCTATAGAAGGCATGAATCACAAAATAATGGTGTTTGAGACACATTATGGGACTTGAATATATTGTTAAATAGACCTGATAATAATGAGGTGCTAGGGTGGGGTTATGGAATGAGGTGGGGGCGGGAGGGGGGTTCATAATTTCTGACAAAATATAAACATAAATACTTAAAAAAAAAAAATAAACTAAAAAAGAAATATGAAAGCACGAATAGGCAATTGCCACAAGCCACATTGCTGCAGAACTAACAAATATTATCCAATCAAAATAATTGGACAATTTTTGGACAAGTTTTTCCCCAAAAAAGCCCAATGCATTCAAAAGCATCACAAAACTAAGCCTGAAAATTTTTTGCAAAATCTAAATTTGAAAGCACTAAAATTTGATTACTTTTGATTTACATATCTATGGAAAAAAATCTACTTAAAGTGATACTGTCACCGAATTATTCTATAACTATATCCCTTTAAAGGAACGTGACTTTTTGTGGCGTTGATCCCTTGGTTTGACTATGCGCACAATTAAACATGCACATAGCTAATATTGTGGTTTTATATAAAGGTTTTTTAAACTGTTCCCTATTGTGGTTTCAATCAATCCAAATAAACTGCAGGCACCTTAATACCTTAAACAAATCAAATCCAGATTTTAAGATATACAGTAATTTGATTGGATAATAAAATTTTATTTTAATGATTAACCAATCAGAAGACTAGAATACTTAAGTCATCCATGATCTGACAAAAACTTTCTTTAACTTGAGTTCAGATGAATTTTGACCCAGTAGTGCAAAGTCAAGCAAAGTTGACCAGACAGAAAACACGAAAGTTCTGGGGCTTTCTCTTCAAAAACTGAACAAAGACTAAATCTACATTTTAAAAAATACAGTAATCTGATTGGATGATAAAACTAAATTTAACATTAGTTCAATGATTGACCAATCAGATTACTGGACCACCAACATCATCTTAACCCTTAGAACCCTAGTGGCCACATATTCAAAGCTGCAGTATATATCCAAGCGGTCGGTAAAGCAGCCGTTACCAAGTGATGTCACACAACTTTAATGTCATACGCTTTTACTTTTATTACTTGGGGTTCAAGGTATAAGATGTTTTATTTCATTTACACTTCAAAGTTCAAAGGGTCAACGAAGTTTTCAAAAATAAGACTCCTGCATTCTAATTGGATTGGTTTTCAACCAATGAAATCTTCACGATTATGTTGTTTCTTTCAACAATGATATAGCACAATTGATAGATTCTTCTAGATCTTCGAATATCTGTACGCCTTCTTTACTGGCCATATCACTCAAATACATACGCCCTCGGTTATAATCCTCTATCGTACAGTCACTTAGCTGGAAAATCAATACAAAATAATGGTAATGGGGTACTGGAAGTTTTTATAAAAATCAAGAAAGGGAAAATTTGGTTGATGAAGGACAAGATAACAACTTAGGTCAAGAAGATCCTGTCTACCATCTGGTCCTTGGCCACACCTCTTGGCATTGATCTTTTACAGATTAGCGTTACTCATTTATAGCTGGGTCGACTGGAAATATGAGTAAAGATGACTTTTTCCAGGTCACTTTCACACACTGACCTAGATTAGAACCCAAGACCATCATTTTTTACATGGTGTAACCAAGAAATAAGCTCAAGGCAATTTTCAACCAATATTTTGAACGTTTTTGATCGATATTTTTCAGAGGAAAATTTCGTTTTTTGATACTTACATGTTCTCCAGACACCAGTGAACCTTTCTTTAAATACTGAATACACAAAACAACACGACACCCTCTCCCTATATAGTAACCAGCCTGTAAATAGAATATTCTTCATAAGATTCTTCAATACTGTCCAGTGAGTTCTATTAAAGGAATTATAAAGAGGTGATTTTATATGTGTATTGTGGACACTGATAGTATTGATTTGCATTGTTCCAATTTTTCAGTTAGATGTCTGTGGTTCCTGAAACTTCACTCAGACATCATTATGGCAATGGCTGCTATTGATATATAAGGGCCTTTGCAAGATTTAGCGGCATGGCAAAAACCACAGACGTCTCATTGAAAATTGGAATGGTGCAAATTGATACTATCAGTGTCCTCAATACATATAAAGTTCTAAGGAAACCTCTTTACAATCACTTTAAGTTAAGTTTTGGAGAACAAGGCTCCTGATGAGTATTTCATATCTGAAACATTTGTCAGCAGCTTATCAACTTCGAACTTTGAACTCAAAATGAAAGACAAACATACCTCGACCATGGCTGAGAAAGATCGGGATTCTTCTGTTAAAATATATAACAGCAGACGACATTTTTCCCTGGCTGCAACTTGCATTGGTATCATATTGAATATCCATTCACTTACAAACGGATTGAGGTAGGACAGGCCATGACGTCTGAAATCAATTTCAAATTTATGAAGAAAACTAAATTAATCGAAAAGAAAGAAAGACTTATATTTAACAAGGATAACAACTTAGATTCACATCTAAGAATCCTTTCTACCAGCTGGAACTTAGGCAAATCTCTTGGCATTGATCTTTCCTGGATTATCCGTACCCATTTACAGTTGGGTTGACTGGAATTATGAGTGAAGATGACTTATTCAAATTCATTGGACTATCACACGCTGATCAAGAATTGAACCCACAGCCGCCATTCGCTCGATGTAACCAAGCAAATGACCTCATGTAAAGAACCATAGATCTAATCGACTGTGTTATAGAACCTTACAAGTTGATTGAGACAATGCTAAGAGGTTTGGACAAGGACCAGCTAGTTGAAAGGATCCTCGTGATCCTAAGTTTTTATCCTTGTAAATGATTGTTGTTTCTTTGCTTTCTTTCTCAGTACAAATTTATTTTCATTTTCCTAGGCAATTCGTTGGCAAAGAGGTCCAGGGTTTGATCCTGGTATAGATTGTAATAATTGAGATTCTCAGACTTGTTTCCCATTGTCAGGGTTGAAGGTTTGAGGGGCTAAAAGGGAAGTCTGCTTGGCAGACTGGAACATAAACTGATGCCCAAGTTGCTACAGAATGTATAAAATTTCCCTCATTGCACACTTCATGGCCTTTATTAATAAAAATTCCATAATGAGTAATTACCGTAACATAGGAATAGCTATATCTTCTCTCCAGGATGATTTACCACAACTACCTCCCAGATAAATATCTCTAGTACCATCATCATTATACGATTCCATAACTGGTGTCGGCCCTCGAACTTTATCTGAAAATATAGCGGCAAATCATTAATCATGTGATAGTGGTATGATAGACGGTAGCTCGTTGAATTGACGTCTGCTAGGCAGTGAGGTGCTGTGGGTTTCCAATACTTCCTGATGGCAAGAAAGCAGATTGCAAATCATACAGCAACAGATCTACATTTGGTAGATGTTCAAGCATCTCTTAAGAGAGTTCACATAGCTAATAATATCTCTTTGCCCTTGTATTTGTCAACAAAGCATCCCTTTAAGAGAGTTCACATAGCTGGTAATGTTTATTTGACCATGTTTTGGTCAACTTAATAGAGTCCACAAAGTTAACTCTTTTGGAGAATCCACAAATTTTAAATTCAAAATAAAGTAACTTACTAATCAACCAAGTTATGGGTGACAATAATTTCGTCAGAAATGTAGAAATGGTGGAGGGTCTCTGAAATTTGAAAAACAAAATTACAATGGCTCCTGCTCTCATGCTGTTGACACATGTTTTAGATACACAATCCTCATCAGGACAACCTAGTGTTTGCCAGCAGATCCGTAGCTAGACCAGGATCTCAGGGGGGGGCTCAAATATAGCGACTCAACTAAGTCATCTAAATATTTCTAGATGCGGGCCTGTTTGCTGGTCATGTCTGGTTGAATCCTCAAAATGGCTTGTAGACTTTCAATTCAATGAAGTGTGGCATTAATTACATCTAAAATGAAAAAAATTGAAATAAAAAATGGACGCTCTAATAGGTACCTGTCTTTTAAACTCAGAAATTAAACAGCAAAGTTCTTCAAACGTGTATGACTTCTTCTTATGTTTCAACCAGTTTGACGGCAGTTGCTGATTGGTCATAGCTTTATATGCCAGTTGAACCTACAATTAATGAATTATTGTCATATTGTAGTCTGAAAATAGTCTATTAAGAGTTCTTTCCCTTGGAAGAGCAGATGAAATTGCCTAACAGATATTTTTCCATGAGTTATCTGTAGATTTTTCAAGATGCCAGTTGAACCTTCAATTAATAAATTATTGTCATATTGTAGTCTGAAAATACAAAGTCTATCAAGAATTGTTTCCCTTGGAAGAGCAGATATGATAGCCTAGTTGGCTTATCACCATGTGATCTGTAGATTTCTCAAGATGCCAGTTGAACCTTCAATTGATTTGTATTGTAATATTGTGGTCTGAAAATACAAACTGGAATAAGAGTAGTCTCCCTAACTAAATCTAAAATGTCTAACAGCTCCTTTGTAGAGTAAGCTCAGGATTATCTTTGAAAGGTTGAAACAAAAGATTTTAGAATAAAAGTTTCTGAAAATAAAATGAACTCACATCTTTAAAGCTCATCCTGCCTTCATGTTTACAAGTTATAGAGTTAAACGTTTCTCGTAATTTTCTGAAAAATAAAATCAGAAATAAATATGGAGTCTTACGACCTACTTTTCTGCACGATGTGGGCTAATGAAGAGGGGCAACGGTCCTGCAGGGTGCAATGACGGAAATTTTGCCAGGACAGGGGCATTAGCCTGCTCTTTTTCTTTTCGATTTCCAACTGTTGAGGGATCTTTAATGTGCACAGCCTGTAGCACACGGGTCCTCCGTTTATTGTCCCATTCGAACGACTAGACGTGTTTTCCATGACAGCCCCTCTTACCTACATCACTGACAGGGGAAATATGGAGTCAAACATTTAATTTAGAAACAATATTTGTCAAAACAAGGACGATAACTCATTGAGTAAATGGTGGGCAGTAGGGTGAAAAGGATCCTGTCAACCAGCTGGTCCTTGACCAAGCTCTTAATTATACCTAAGATTATCTGTCCATAAATTTTAAATAACTCACAGCAAGGATTCTCCAACCTCTAAATGGCCATATCTGACAGGGCTGGCTCCGTGTTGTAATTGTAAATCTTGAACCCGAATGCCCTGGTGGAGGCAGGTCACTACACAGTTTAACGCTGAGTGAACATCGCTAAAAACGGGTATACTGTTTCTCTCTACTAAATCTATCAATATATTACGCACTCTCATCAAATCAAATCGCTCTCTAAAATTAAAGGTGATTATTATGAAAGATAGTGTCACATTGTGTGCAATGGGGAAAATTATTTCTCACTACCAAGTCGACTCGAATCAAATAAGAACAAAATAATATTTTAAATATAAAGTTTGGTTCAAATATAAAGTAAAAGGTAGTGGCATGCTATACAGTGTGCAATGGTGAGAATTTGGGATGGTAGAACCCTGAATTGACAGACACCATCTCAGTTCCTTCGGAGAATCATGAAAAGCATCCACCAGTTTGAAATTCAAGAAAGTAACCTTACGATTGGGAGATCTGTTTTCCATTGATTAAAATTTCTTCATCCTTTTCATAAGCATTCATAACCACAATAATCTGTCTGTAGCAACCTGAATTTAGAACAGAATCAATCTTTCAAAAGACTTAAAGAAGTTTTGCGGTAGTTAAAAGTTTTTTGAGCTTACAGGAACCACAGACATTTGACGGGAAATAGGAATGGCGCTAAAAGAAGCTTCAAATCTTTCCCATTCCATAACTGGGACAATTATTCGAAGTTGACAACATGTAAACACTCCAATGCTCCAACCAAATGGACTACAGCCCATCTCTAAAGGAGTAAAATGAGATAAAATTCCAAAATTTGAAAGAAATCTTCCTCTTTTTTAGTTGGGTCACTCTGATATGAAAAATGAAAAGTTCCGTACCTACTAAATAAGCTGTCTCTATCATAGAAACTACAGCACGTGTTTGATTATCAATAACAAAACATAGTAGATCAGCTGACTGAAATATAAATAACCAAAACAGTCATCATAAAGAGTAAATTATGATCACATGAGTCTTGTGGTTCAAACATCAAAGACTGGTCGTTCAGGACTACAAGTGTTTGTAAAAAAGACATTAGCATGTGTCAGAATTAACCCCTAAAGGCTATAAACTATATTCGGATGGCATCACTTGACAAATAATTGGTCGATGCCAAAAGTAATGAGGTGCCCAAGAATAAAATCTTCCAACACCATATTCAAATCAGCTACAGTCTGTCTTCAAAACCATTGTTAATTTACCTGTTTAGCTTTATCTTCTAGTTCTATCAGTTCTTGTCTCCATGTGTTCACTTGCTGTAATCAGAAAACATTCATTCTCATTATGTCAAGTTAGCACAAGATATGTCTAATACCTTGACAACATTAGCCTTTTTTTTGTAATGCAGCGATATGATAAGATTGTTCGCTAATAAATAAAAGCAAACAGAGCCCTCAATTTTCTGACATGGCTGACTTTCAAGAGCACTAGCCATGGCATTGAAAAGGATTCAACCCCACGGCACCTAATCCCTGACGTCAATCCAACTCTGAGCTATTCATCTGTCTCAGCAGACAACAATCTAACCCATTGAAGACTAAGCTATTCCTTTGCTAAATGGTGCTATCATTCAATGCAGAATATAGAAGAGCGAAAAACAAAATGGCTACCTACAGGGTTATAAAAGGTGATGACTTCTTTTTTTAGAAATGGTATCGCTATGTCTCGTCGCCATGTTGTAGGGTTACACGAACCACCCAAAAATACTTGAAAATTTGATTGACTTTCTGAAATACATGAAAAAATACAAAGGTATTATGGAGTTTTGATTATCGGGGGCATTGATTGCACCATTCCATTTTTCAGTCAGACGTCTTATGAGTGTTTCAATTCCACTGAAACTTAGTGTTTTATGACGCTATTATCACAAATGTGTTATCAGCAGAATCACATGCAAATAGAAATCATTAAAGGCCCTAATATATATTAAAAAGTTAGAAATCCTTTACGAACCCTTTAAGAAACTCACAAGACAGTCAGTTATTTCAAAATGAAATAATTCAAGCTTACCTTTTCTTTTTCGTCTTGTGTCTGTTCCATGTTCCCATTTTTTCTTCAAGGATGACTGAGGACAGGTGAAGGGCAGGCTGGAGAAATTGGAATCCAAATTATTAGTCATCATTTTTTGATAATCCTATAAAAACTTCACGTTATGGATTTATTCCAAATTATTCACAAATTCACAAAATCAAAACAATTTACGTTTTATTCATTGTTTTTGTCTGTCTTTCAATTCTACTTTTCAAAAAGAAAATCAGCTAAAAACATCCATCATTCTCAAAAGAAAATTTGATCCATTTTCAACATTAAATTCCTTAGTTTGATACTGGAGCAATATATAGTAAGAAGACCGAAAGACATGCAATTATAAAATGTATCCATTTTGCATCCAGTTATTAGATGTCACACTGTATATATTACGCAATACTTATTTTTACCTTAAAGTACCTATGTCATATATGACCAGTTTAAAGGTATCCTACCTCTTATAATGAACATAAAATTTAAATATTTAAAATTGGTCCATAAGTGTATATATTCATCAGTGAACTTAGCTGATGTTGCTTAAGATAGTATAGAATCCATCCTTAATCTGATCAATCCATAAAAGTAAGCAATTCATAAAAATTCAAAATTAAACAGGCATTCTTTCAAACAAAGAGGTAGTATGTTTTATGGATTTATTGGATTATACAGAGATTCTGTTCAGCCCCACTACCAGGGATGAATTGGTGCTGGGGCTCAGATTTTGTACTCAGAAAATTTGCAGTATTAAAGGCCCACAGAACTCAATTTTGGGTTGACAAAAACATATCAAAATCTAAATTTTTTTATATCTTTTATATAGAATTTTTGTAAATGAATCAATCTCTGTTGAACTGGAGAAAAGTTTGCTGGGGCTTAATTCTCATTGGCTGGGGCCAAGACCCCACGGATCACACCCTAACTACAGGCTGATTCTGTTGAATAGTTATGATATCAGGTAAGTCTACTGAAATAATTAAATTTTGTTGACATCCTAAGAGGTAGTATACCTTTAATTCTGTTTCCCAGTGTTCAACAACATATAGGTTTTTGTTTATCTTATAGTCAATTTCTCTTTGCAAACAGAGGGTGGTCATTCTGGTTTAAAGGTATTGTAAAGACGTTTTCTGATGGTAGGTTGGTTACGAATTCTCTTGCAGGAGCTCCGTTATTTCCAGTTAAATCTTTCTGGAATTGCAGGAACCACAGGCATCGGACGAAGAATTGTAATGTCCCAAATAGAAGTCAAATATGTCCCAAAACACGTAAATAGGCCAGATAACCTCTTTACTATCCCTTTAAAGAACTATATTTGGTCGTAAAACAGTCTGATTTCACAATGACAATGATACAACTCTTTAAAAAATACCCTTTAAATTGGCACACACTGTCACCTTAATTTACTCACAGCATTGAACTTATCTTAGTTTCAGACCCAACCACTTTAAACTCTGACTTGTCAAGCCATATGGATATGATTTCCTATGTTAGCCACTAAAGGAAATATCACCATATGGTCTCTGGCCCTGACTTTATTATGACAGCATGATATCTTTTGTGACATTATGATATTCTTATCTACTTATGGTAATCCCCATTGGCCCAATCTGATTACAATTGCTCCAGATTTTGTTTCACATTTTTCTGTGGGCTATGTCATTCATTCAACCTAGTTATTTCCCAATATGATTAAAATTACTCTAGATTTTGTTTCATGTTTTTCTAGTGGCCCCATCACTAATTCCATATTAGGATATCAGCTTGAAATTATGAAATTCTAAATACTCAATTTAGTTCTCCCCAATATGAATAACATACAATATGGATTTTGTTTCATTATTTTCTGTGGGTAACTTCACTAATTCAATATTTGAAATTACGAAATTTTTAATCTACTTAGGGTTATCAACATTATCAATTTGTATTTAGTTTCATATTTTTCACTGGGCTACGTCATTCATTCAGAATATTTAGTCATTATTATATTTTACCTCAACTTACCAGTATCAACTTTATCAATTCCCAATTTGATTGAAATAAAACTCTTAATAAGCTGTATTTTGTTTCATATTTTTCACTGGGCTACGTCATTCATTCAAATTTTCAATCTACTTATGACTATCAAATTAATAAATCTCCAATTTACAGATTTTTGTTTCATTACCCTCTATGGGCAATAATGAATTTTGCAATCTTCTTATGGCTATCAAATTAGTTGATACTCAATATGATTAAAATATGGCTCTAGACTTTGTTTCATTTTTATCTATGGGTTACTTCAAAAATTCTATCCTCCTTTTCTATCTGATTAAAATACATACTTTCAAAAATGTCTCTGGGATGTAGTTCATGTCAACTTATCTAATCGTGGAGGCTAGACTACAATTATGGTTATAACTTATCGTGACTTTTGATATTCTTTTGGTTTCTTGAAGTGTCTTTATCATAGAATAAAAATATAACATTGCGAAATACTTCTAATCTTAAAGGGAGATAACTTTCTTTGTTTTCTGTTGCACAATCAATCAGCTTTGTCATTCTATAGTCTGTGTAAATTTCAAGATATTTTGTTTCATTTAATTCTATGGGTCAACTCATTCATTCATTTTGAAAGGTTAAGATTAAAATAAGATTAAGATAAAAAAAAATATTCTTGATTTTGAGATGTCTCTATTGCAAATATTATCAATCAAGTGGTTTTTGAAGTATAACATACACAATCTTAAAACTTGAATAGATTTGCATAAATTTGCATAAATTGTCTTACCTTTTATTATAATGATGTTGCAGTTCGTCCACTAGAACACAGAATTCCCCAAAAGTTATGTTATCATCACAACACGGGCTACCATATTCCACGGCACAATGTACCATTTCATGAACTGTTGAAAAATTCAATGGAGTAAGAAATGAGGGAAATTTTGCCAGAACAGCAGTGCAAGTTCACTTACTGTTTTTTTAACTGTTCAGAAATCTTAACTGCATATTGATTGAATGCGATTTGATTTTGTCCAACCAATACTAAGATGACAAAAATAAGCTCCATTCATTTAGATTGACAGCTCCGTTGCCAGGAATGAATTGGTGCTTGGGGTAAAATTTTGTAGGTACTCAGAAAATTTGAAGAATAAAAGGCCACGAGGTGCCAATAACGTATCAAAATCTATATCTTTTTGATTTTGTACAAATACAATGTAAATGAATCAATGTCTGCTGAACTGAAGAAGATTTTGTTCGGGCTTAATTCTCACTTGCTGATGCCCAGCCCCCACGGACTCCACCCTAACGACAGGGCTGTGGGTGGTGGACCATTTTATTCAGGCCCTCAACCACAAGGGAGATAACTTATTATATTAACTTATAATTCAGACTTGATAGCTCAAGACCATTAAATTACAATTTGTCAATCCATGTTATTGGCCTACAATATGATACAAGGCTCTCAACCACCGACTAAAGGGAGATAACTCTTAAAATACAGACTTGATATAATCAGACCACAAATATTACAATATGTCACTAGCTAGAACGACTTCCAAATAAGCTACAAACTTACTCTGTGATTTAGAAGGAAATAAATTCAAATCATGAAAAGCATCGATTAATTTCTTTTCACAGACTCTTCCATCTTCTTCATATTTTTCAAATATCTGACTTAGATGTCTGCAAAAAACGTTAAAAAAATGTTCGTGAGGACTTCAGCTTCTTCTTCTTAGCTTTAAGCTCTTGAATCTAAGTCCAAAAACATAACAAAAGTTCATAAGTTGTTCATTGAATTTATCAAATGTAAAATTATTAAAACTATTTAATATGATATAGTCTATACCTCTTTGAAAATAACAGAAATAAAGTTATTGGGCTACATGACATGGTAAAAACATTGACATAAAATTGCGAAATCTCTTATTATACTATTTACTTTGAAATCTCTAAGTCAAATAAACCCAACATTTCAAATACTGATCAATACAAATGTTTGTTTGGTTAGATCTATCTATTTTCTAATACCCCCAGACTTAAAGGGTCAGGTAGGCAATTTTTTTGACCAATCATATTTTAGTCTCAGAAACTGGAATTTTTTAGAAAAAAATATATATAATATATAGAAATAAAGAGTAAAATTCCTAGTTTGAAGTATTTTCAAAGGAATTATGTGATATTCGTACATTTCTAGTACTTCTGAAGACTATTTACATATATTCAAAACTAAAATCAAGCCTCAAAATGGTGCATCTTTCCCTATAAGATTATTACGAGAATGAAAGAAATTTACCCAGTAAAGGGACCAAAAATATGAAAGTCTGTGCCGACAGAAGCAGTTTCATATTCACTATAGCTGCTTGTACTTCCTCGAACTTTTGAGCCGTTCACGTTCACTTCTAATGACATAGGCATCTTGGTCCCTTCTCGGGCGAACTGAGTTGGTTTTCACTTTCAAAAAACGAAACCTGCGGTCGCAGTTTCACTTTTCCTTTCCATAATAAGAGACATATTTCGGTTTTGCGTCTTAAATATACCATAAGTGGGTGAAAAAAAGCAATTTCGAAATTTTGCAATATTTAGTCAATTCATTGAAATATTCAGTTAAATAAACCAAACGTCATGACAGAAAAGGTATGACACATTCTAATTCGAATGAATAGTGAATATGTTTGTCCTCCTCCGTACTCCGCCATTTTAGTTCTACTTGTTTTATAGTCATCTGGGTTAATTTTGAAAATGAAATTGTCGTTTGAAATATGGAACCGAAGATTGAGAAAAAAAATTCAATTTCAATCAAAAAATTCTTTTTTTTATGTTCCAGTCAAAAGATAATCTTGGTTAATTTAGTCATTAAGAAATTTATTGTTTTTAAATTTAGATGAAGGTTTCATTTATATGCAGCAAGTGAGGATTAGACTTCTCTATCCAGTCGTAATTTGAACACTGTGCTTCATATTTGCCTATATGATATGACTACGACTGCTTTCTTGAATGAAGATTCGAACCCATGGCACCAGCCAAACTTTGACTGAGCCATTTAACTCAAAATCGACCATTCTGTTGAAACTTGGAGTAATGACTACTCCAAGGTAGAAATGAATTTTTGAGACTGGATAATGTAGGCTTTTATCAAAGACGATTTTGACTTTTTCATTGAAAAGTCAGCGAAGGGGAATAACTGAGTCAATAATTACAAAGCAAAATTCAAAACTTTTTCGATTTTTTTTTAAATCTGTGAAAATTTGAAAGAGACAGTTAGTTGAAAATGTCAGCAGGACAAATTTGTGAAATTTTGGAGAGGTTGAACATATCGTCTGATCCGCTGAACGATTTGGAGGAATTGAAAACTGTGTTGTACACAATTCATCCTTCGACATTGAGAGAAGCCAATGCTAGTGGTCCAATTTCCAATTTTTCTCAATTGTTCAATTATTTGAATACGGATAAAGTGTAAGTTGTCCCGAAATATAGAGAGAGGTTAAAGGGTGAAGAGTCCCCTTTCTCTAATGTCAGTGTCCACTCTAGTAAAACAAATTGTACCTCAAGATTTTTTGAAGAACAGGGCCCCACCCCATCCTCAGCAATATTGTAGAATAATTATTTCTCTTGTTGTATCAAAAAAACGATATATTTCTTGCCTTAACAGTAGGCTTATCCCTTCTCCAAACTAAAATTTTAGATATAAAAATTTCCTGTTGTTTATCCTTATTTCAGGGACCAACAGAAGCTAGTTTGTGAAACTATAGAAAGACTACTATCTGGTTTACTGCCATCCCAGATTTGTGATAATTTCAAACAAGAAATAGAAAATGGCTTGAACCATTCATCACCTGATGTTAACTGCTTGTGTCTAACTGAGGTAGAATTATAATGACAAGTTTCCTATTAATTCAAGTAAATGTACTGTGGAAGCTTTTTTGTAGTAATATATTGGTCTAAGTGTGCTGGTTTTCCTGGTAGATTCTCTTGACCTTGATTTTAACATAAATTTTCTTGTATGTTGTAGTTATTGAGGATAGCAATAGATGATGTAAACAGGATTATAAGATGGCCTGATATTATATCTAAAATTATCACTCAGTTATCAAATAAATCTCTCTCAGTAGCCAAACTGGCCAGTGATATACTGGTTACTATTGGTAAGTATTCATTGATTGGTCCAAGATTTGATTTGACTTGATGGTACTTCTCATTTGAGGAGTCCACTACTTTACAATTATTGCTACCAATTTTGTAATACTTTGGATGAGATTTTTGTTTAATGGAATTGTTTTGTGTTAGGGTGTATTGAGACGAGTCTCAATGAAAGCACTGGCCTAGGTCTGTGAGGATTTTTTATAACTATTTTATGGTTGATGCACTTTTAGAAAACTTGATTAGCAAGTCAAGACATTCCCAAGACATTCTGTATTACGTGACAATTTGACATTGGGGAAAGTCAACTCATAATTCATTTTTGTGTCCAGGCATTTATTGTCTTGTCAAACCATAGCTTATAGCTTATTGTATTTTCATATTTTTAAAGGTAAAAATAGTAATGGAATTAACAGTATTTATAATAACAGTAAATTAACAGAGGTTATGAGTCAAGATGATACAGTGAAGTTTAGAGTATATCAGGTAATAGAAACAGTATTTATAATAACAGTAAATTAACAGAGGTTATGAGTCAAGATGATACAGTGAAGTTTAGAGTATATCAGGTAATAGAAACAGTATTTATAATACCAGTAAATTAACAGAGGTTATGAGTCAAGATGATACAGTGAAGTTTAGAGTATATCAGGTAATAGAAACAGTATTTATAATAACAGTAAATTAACAGAGGTTATGAGTCAAGATGATACAGTGAAGTTTAGAGTATATCAGGTAATAGAAACAGTATTTATAATAACAGTAAATTAACAGAGGTTATGAGTCAAGATGATACAGTGAAGTTTAGAGTATATCAGGTAATAGAAACAGTATTTATAATAACAGTAAATTAACAGAGGTTATGAGTCAAGATGATACAGTGAAGTTTAGAGTATATCAGGTAATAGAAACAGTATTTATAATATCAGTAAATTAACAGAGGCTATGAGGTTTAGAGTTTTTTGAAAATATCTAACTTGAGCTCTGTTTTTTTTTCAAATTTTAGATAGTTGTAGATTTGAGCAGATTGTCCGAAGAAGGTTTACAAATGTCAGTAGAGAGTGGTCTTCTTCAAAAACTTACAAATGAAATCTTTAAAGATGACATCTTACTGCAACTCAACGCTATTGAAATGTTGTCAGATCTAAGTCAAGTAGAGCATGGGCTTCAGTACCTTGATCAATCCAGTGTTTTAGCCAAGCTAGAAGAAATGATGAGATCCACAGAATCAGACCCAATGTCTGGCTTACTTTTACCTGGTGAGTTGTTTCCCTTTAGTTTGAGGAGTGATCCCCCCTTTTTGGTGGTGTACTCTATGTGTAATTGCATCGGAAACTTTTGTAAACTTATTTTGACATTATTTAGCCTCAAAACAACGAAGATGGTGTAAGGAAGTACTGTAGAGTTATTTCCCTTGACTTCTGCTGATCAAATTTTAGAATTAAATTTGCATCTCTTTTGAGGGTCCACATAGCTTTTCATGTCAGAAAAACTATAATTCACTTTCGATCTTTCTTTTTTTCTTCAGGTTTAGTAAAGTTTTTTGGCGGAATGTGTCGAGTTCATCCTAAAGAAGTGTGTATGAAATTTCCCGCCTTCATCAACATAGTCTTTAATAACCTTGACTCTTCCGACATCAGTCAGAAAAACGTTGCCATAGATACCATAGGGTTTCTGGGAAGTACTGTGGAGGGAAAATTAACGCTGGAAAAACTAGGTAAGAATTCTTTTTTTTACAAGAATAACTTTAATAGGTTTATGAAGATCCTGTCCACCATCTGGTCCCTGGACAAACCTCTTGGTATTGATCTTTCCCAGATTGTCAGTACCCATTTACAGCTGGGTGGACTAGAATAATTAGGAAAGATAACACACTGGACTTGTAACTGCAAACTGAGTTCGTAATACACAACTGCCATTTTCTAGTTAGAATTCCAACACTCTAATAGTCGACGCTACAGCCAGTCTTCTTTCATATTATGTTGAATGAAACGAAATGCTTGTTAATTGTTGGTTGACCTGTTTTAAGTTATTACTATTTTGTAGGACAACAGATGACTAGGGGAATGAAATGCCTCGGTGGCCTGATAAAAAGTACAAAGACAGAAGACCAACTACGAGCTTTGGATTCATTAACTAATCTTATAACACTCAGGGTAAGGAACTTTTGATAGTGGAGGTCTTATTAGTGGGATGCTGTCCTAATTTCTGCCTATGAAGAGGAACTTAGAAAGGGGCAGTGAATGCGTAGGAATGTGCTAAGCTAGCACAACTGTCTAGTACAACTGTCTAGTACAACTGCCTAGGGATCTTGAACATGCACAGTCTGGTGCACACAGGGCCTTTGTTTAAAAGGCACTTTTAAGTTCGCTTTCTCTAGTTTTTCTGATCATTTTCTACTCCCCATCAGGTGTCTGACCAAACAGAAGAATTGCTAAGTTTAACAGAATCCTGGTTCAACCAACTAATGCCAGAACCGTTCCAATATGTCTGGTCGCTATGCCAACGTCCATTTTTAGATATACGGTGCACGGCATATAATACACTAAAAGCTCTCGCGATTTTACCATGGGCTCAAAAAATTATGAACGATACTCCAGGATTTACAGAGTTTCTTTTAAACCGATCCACGGAAACTTCAAAAGAGGGACGCGACTCTAAATATCAAGTTATCAAAGCCATTTTTGAATCGCCAACAGTCTCGGAAATTTTCGGAGATCGTTTTTACGTTAAAGTTGCTGAATATTGTAACCAAGGGGCATTTTACGTCCGAGCTCAAGCAGAAGTTGCCATGGAAGAGGAAAGTTGATCCAAATTCTTTTTGTTTTTCTGTCACCAAATTCTTGAAGATTTCTTTCAGATTTTCTTGCCATCTAGTGGTTCAAATTTATATTCTTAACCAATCATTGTTGTCGATTTCGAAACTGGAATAGGTTGGAAGCTATTTGATTGGACAAATGTCAAACCATTAATAGCAGACTGCTTGAAATGAAAAATGAAGATTTGTTTCCTGGAATTTGTCAACAAATCATGCCAAATGTTGTACTCCATTAATGATAATAATTGCAAGCTTTTGAACATTTGGCATATTTGGTTACATGTTAAAATATGGTGTTTTTGTCAAATTGTTCAAGTTTTTGTTTATGATAGAAACGGTTTTAATTAAAAATTAAAGAAAAAAAGAAAAATTCAAGTTAAAAAGCTTTTGAAACACTATACCCCAAAGTTATCTATGATGTGTGCAGTGAGGTAAATTTTGTCCAGACAACTTTATAAGCCTACATTTTATCCTTGGGATTTATTACGCTAGACCAGTCAAGAGCATGCATGGGCTTGTTTTATTGTCTAATCCGAACAAGACTGATCTGTAAGAGAGATAACTCTATCAAAATACCCCAATATTACTTTTTATTCATTTCTTCTGTCTAAGGATTTAGGTGGATGGCATGAAAGGCTGTAGCTTATTGTCTAATCCAAACGAGATTGATTAGCAAGAAAGATAACTCTATCTATTAATGATTGATTTTATTTCAATTGGTATTTTATTTGGCAAGTCAAGTTAGTATAATATTCAATATAAGATTAAAATAGCTATAACAAGTAAATATTTTAGAAATTGTAAAGAAAAGAAGTTTTCTAAAATTATATATGTATATCAGAGACACTGATAGCATCAATTTGTACTATTCCGATTTTCAATCAGACTTCTGTGGTTCTTGCAATTCCACTAAAACTAAGTATTTGATGACATCACTAATCACAAAGGGTATTATAGGATACTAACATATTTTGCAATTAGTGATGTCATAAAATGTTTACATTTAGTGGAATTGCCGGAACCACAGATGTCTGATTGAAAATTGGAATGGTGCAAATTGATGCCATCAGTGTCCCCGATACACATAAAAAATCCAGAAAAATCTCTTTACAATCCTTTACTTATTTCTTTTGATACTTGCAATTCATTTTGATACAGAACAACTTAAACATAATCAAACACAAATGATATAAATGTACATAATTTGGTATGACACAAAACATTTCCCAAATTTGATTGGAGAAACATATTGTTAGCCTCGCAGCTAATAAAACAATAAAAATAAAAACACACACTCACACATTCATGAGATAACAAAACAATAAAAACACGCAATAAATATTATAAACAAATATAAATCATATTAGAAACAAAATCATTGAAAAATCAGATGGAAGCAAGTAAAATATAGTGGATATTTTCGCCATGACGCAAGTTCCTTTATGTATACGCTGCAGTCGAGTTTATTTTTCGCTACTTTGTCAGCAATTCCAGTTAGCTATGCACAGTATCAGTCCAGATAGATTTGTGGGTCTATTAGAGTCTCGAAGTACCTTGCAGCCTCCTCGAAGGGCATAGTTACCATGGTTTTTGACTGCACGAGGGTAGCACAAAAGGAGCTTAACTAGTAACATCGTAAAAATAAAGGAAATCGTGCCTCAATTCACATGATTTTGAAATATTTACATTAAAGTCAGAAAGAAAAGTTAAATTAAGGTCATTTAACCAGGACAGCAGCATTAGTCTACTCTACTCTTTATCGATTTTCAACTGTCAAGGGATTTTTTAATGTGCACAGCCTGTAACACCTGGTTGAAAAATCTGAAGGTATTATCTCTACTAATGCCGTGATTGAACCCTGGATCTTCAGGTTGGTGAGCAAGCTTCTAACTCATGGAGCCACTGTGGCTCCACAAAAATATTAGAAAAGCGTGCGGAAATCCAAAATGTTTACGAAACTATCCGAAATGGGAATTCCAAAACATATGATTATCAAAATGTTTAAACAAAAGATAGTAATTTCTTACCATCACCCATCAAATTAACAAAAATCAGGAAAATGTCATGACCCCACAGAATCCTTAGTCCAGTAAATAATACAAATGGAATGATATGCCGGTTATTTGCCAGGGCTGTTGATTTGGTCGAATTACCAGTTTGACTTTTGCCAGTCTTGCAACAAAGACTGTTGTTTTGACTGTTTTTGCCAGTCATGTCTGACTATAGCTATAGACTGATAATTTGGCTGTATTTGTCTGATTAGAGCTCTAGACTGTTGATATGACAATATTTACCAGTCATTAGAGCTGTATCAAATCAATTCAGCTGTATTTGCCGATCTAGTATGAATTTACAAATTAAAATTCCGCAAGGAAAGGTCCCAAAACAACAACCCTGATGTCTATTTACGGTGTCTAATAATCTAGACCTAGCTCAGGGGCGTGAAAATTACGTTCACTATGATGCGATCGACTCAATTCATTTTTAAAATAACTAATAGTTCGGTTGATGCCTATCATTAGGGAAACCTGAAAAAGATCAAAAACAAAGTTTTGGAAAAATTCTATATCTCTATTGGACAATGGAATAGCTCAGTATCAAAATATATGCTATATGAAATGTTGTGCATTGTGCATTTGTAACATTTTTCAAGTGGGGCAAAAATATTTCTTAGATGGATCTTACCTTTGGTTCCCAATCTAAATATTTTTTAGCTCGTGTTATATCTGGACGCCGTCTTCTCGGGTCATCTTGCATCGCTTTTCTCTTCTCTACCCTACTACTGCCACCTACAGTGAAAAAATATATTATGAAAACCAGGAAATTCTTCCGTCTTCTTGTAGCTCAGTTAAATTTACAGATCGCAATGTCACTTGTTTGGCTTAATAGTCCACCCAGCTGTAAATGGGTACGGATAATCCCTACAAGATCAATACCAAGAGGTTTGGCTACATATCAAGATTCTGCCAGCTGTTAGTTTGTACCATTTTTTTTTCAATTGAAAAAAAGAATATTGAAGAGGTTTTGCCATGGGCCAGCTGGTAGACAGGATCCTTGACCTACATTGTTATCCTTAAAGCACATAGATTTTCCTGTTCTTTTAACTAAACTGGTGTGGCAAATAACTTCACAGCTCCATGCCTTGACCAAAATGTTTCTTACCTACTAAATCTTTAATGATCCTGGCAAAATCCATGATGGTATGTTCTTCAGGGTTGCCCAGGTTCACTGGTTCAGAATAATTACTGTTCATTAGTTTAATAAGACCATCTACTAGATCACTGACATACTGAAACGACCTGGTCTGAGTACCATCTCCATACACCTAGGGAGGAAATGAAATGAAATGGAGTTTTATATCCTAATGTTCTGTATCTTATTAGACTAATGAAATGAAATGGAGTTTTATATCCTACTGTTCTGTATCTTATTAGACTAATGAAATGAAATGGAGTTTTATATCCTACTGTTCTGTATCTTATTGGACTAATGAAATGAAGTGAAGTTTTATATCCTAATGTTCTGTATCTTATTGGACTAATGAAATGAAGTGAAGTTTTATATCCTAATGTTCTGTATCTTATTAGACTAATGAAATGAAATGGAGTTTTATATCCTACTGTTCTGTATCTTATTGAACTAATGAAATGAAGTGAAGTTTTATATCCTACTGTTCTGTATCTTATTGGACTAATGAAATGAAGTGAAGTTTTATATCCTAATGCTCTGTATCTTATTAGACTAATGAAATGAAATAGAGTTTTATATCCTAATGTTCTGTATCTTATTGGACTAATGAAATGAAGTGAAGTTTTATATCCTAATGCTCTGTATCTTATTAGACTTAAGTCAATCCAATGAAATGGAGTTCAACATCTACCTTATTGGGCTAATGAATTTGAGTAAGATTTTTTTAATTACAAACTGTCACAAGATTTTCAACAGGCTAAGTCTGTAGCACACTAGGCAATTGGTTTATTGTCTCATATAACCTCAAACAAGGCAGATTAATCCCAGACCCAAAGTAAATCTAATAGGCTCAGAACATAATTCTCAACCAAGCAATTTGTGCATCAAGGGTTAACTGTAGAAAACTCCTCATACCATTATAAGATCAATTTGAAAAAAGAAAGCTAACTTACTGTAATGGATTCATTCTGTAAGGCTTGTAAAATAAAATTACTAACTACACGTCCATCGTTCATGTGCATTCTGGGACCAAATGTGTTGAAAATTCTGGCGACACGCACATCAACTTTTTCCTGCTTTTTGTAAGCATAACACATTGTTTCAGCTACCCTTTTCCCCTCGTCGTAACACGCTCTGGGTCCAATAGGGTTCACATGACCCCAATATTCTTCTACTTGTGGGTGAACTTCAGGATCTGTAAAATAAACAAGCAATTGTTAATATTCATAGGAATAATACTTCAAACTCTAAACTGTCTCCCAACGATTGCAAGTTCGCCCCTTTATAGGACTGGCTACATCCCTGTTGTTGTGGGCACATGACAAGTTTACTAATTACTTTGAAGGGATAGATGTGACATTTTGGGAGGGAGAGGGAGGGGGAGTTAATTCTGGACACACAAGCATTTGAAGGCTTATATTTCAACGGTGAACTGTGAACTCTTACTGATTAGCTCAGCTAAAAAAATTCCAGTTTCTGAGACGAAAGTATGATTGGTTAAAAAATGGCCTACCTGTCTCTTTAAAACAGAACCAATAGGCCTACATTGTGATACAAATGTATAACATTCAATTGTTTTTTTTTCTGGAAATTTTCTACATCCCGATATTTGAAGATATCGTGATAAAAATCTGAATATATCACGATACACAAAAAAATCTCATATTGCCCAACTATACTCAAGGGGCTGGGAACCAATGGTCTGTATGAAAGATGGGTATAGCTATATACAGAGAAAAAGTATAGTTTACCTCCGTATACTTCAGATGTCGAGGCCAACAACATTCTACCTCTAACTCTCTTAGCTAGTCCTACAATAGAAAACATGTTACAATTCATACAACAACGTTTTTGGACAAGATTTTTGGTAACTGGAATTGTTTTGCTTGTACAAGTTTTTATTTCAACCTATGTTCCATTTAGTTCAGCCATACTTTAGATCCTGCAGCTTGAATTCTAAGACTGAGAATGCTGAAACTTACCTAACATATTAATGGTACCGATGGTGTTAGTTTTAATGGTTTTGATTGGATTGTACATATAATTAGGAGGTGAAGCCGGAGAGGCTAAATGGTAGATCTGGTCGACTGGAAAACAAAACAATGAAAATTTCAATTAAAACCGTCACGTAAGGGATTGTAAAAAGGTTTTCTAACCTAACTCTAGATTTCTTACTGAGATGTGGTGTAGCCTTCAGAAATTATGAAATATTTTGAAGGTTTTTTATGTCTATTAGAACACATAACACATTAGGGTTAGCATCAATTTGCACCATTCCAATTTTCAGTCAGAAGTCTGAGGTTCCTGCAATTCCACTAAAATTAAGTGTTTGATGACATCACTAATCCCAAAATATGCTTTATCACATAAGGCCCATTGTGATCAGTGAAGGGATTCCCACCAACCTTCTATATATAAAGGATTCACAATATCGTGATGTAATAGTTCAAAATTTTCGTGACCAATCCAATGTTCCACGTTCCGTTTTCTTCCGGTGAAAAAATTATCAGCCACCGTGACCTCGTGACCAGCTAACATTAGTCTGTCCACCAGGTGGGATCCTACAAACCCGGCTCCCCCAGTGATCTGAAAATAGAATAGAAATGGTGTTTGAGAGTGATATATCTATTATAACAAAGCCTCAACAAATAAGATGGGACAGTGGATCACTTTATCCAAATAGCTAAGTATCATTGTCTGAGGTTTCAAATTCTTTCAGTAGGATTCAATAACTTGAATATTAAATTTCATATAAATATTTGAAAATAAACCAACTAAATCCGTGCATAAAACTAACATATCACAACATATGGTAATTTTTCATCAAGATAAGATCATCTATACAATTTCAACACTTAAAGACCAAGTTCACCATATTCAGTGAATGTTTTGAGTCTTGAATATAATTTATTAGTCTTCAGAAGTACTAGAATTAGACAAAAATCGCGTAATTCATTCAAAAATATCTCAAACTAGGAATTCCACTTTCTATTTCTATAAAGTCTCAAGAAAAGACGACTCTTTCAAACATGGATTAACTCTGGACACACATGCATTTGAAGGCTCATATTTCGACAGAAGCTGTGAACATTATTACTGATTAACTCAGCTAAAAAATTCCCGCTTCTGAGACCAAGGTATGATTGGTCAAAAATTTGCCACACCTATCCCTTTAATATGTGAAACAGATGTTTTTCATGCCTTTAAATCATTTCTATAAGATATTTATAGTTTATTTTATTATTAAAAACTTGATACAGTGTTTAATAGAGCATGTGTATTTAATGGAGCAGGTATACCCATCCTTAAAATTGTATTTATTTAACCATACAATAAACTTAGTCAGAGTTACCCACCTTAAATATTAAAGCTTTTATCATCTTTCAAACTTATTCAGTGCAATAATTGAATTAAAAAAAAAACACAAAAACAGAGGTGCTTATCTTTAAATTTCTTACAGAATTGATATAATATAATTAATATATTACTGAAGCTGAGATATTCAACATATATATTAGTCATTTTAAAGATGGGTTCCCTTATTTTTACCAGCAGAATTCCAATAAGTAACCGATCAAGAAAGGTCAAAAAGTCTTTTTTTGTTTATCCAGACTGTACATACATGGACATTTATGATTGGTTAAAACTCTCAATTATATGCAATAAGAATATGATAAGAATACACCAATTAATCAAATAGTTTGCTTAATTTGACACTAAAAAATAAGGAAAGCCATCTTCAATTGAAGATAATTTTGTACACACATGAATTTGAAGGCTCAACTTCTATTACTGATTAGCTAAGCTAAAAAATTCCATCGCTGAGACTAAGTTATGATTGATGAAATGAATAGTGAGCATCTATCTTTAATATTGTTAACAAATTCATTTATATAGTATATTCATATATATTAAAAAGATCTACAGAAATAGAGTCAGAAAATAAAAAAAGAAATGATTCATTATGAATAAATATGAATATACAATTAATCAAAAATAGAAAAATGTCATTATACAGAACATGTGTTTGAATATTATTAATTTCAGACACCACCAGTCAACCAAAACTCTTGTCAGTTATCTCTTCAGTTTGAATTAACCATAGACGTTTTTGTCAACCGATTGCTAGTACAATTTGGTGCAATTTTGATTAGATTAGCAGTAGTCTGCAAATGCGAAATTTGATTTCGCGATTAGGTAATATGGCTGCCTCTACTGACTGCAAAAGTCATCTATTTTGATTATTATTATTATTATTATTATTGTTGAACTTCCACAAGCCGCCATCTTTAAAAAGTCTAATCTAATCACCTAACCACCCTCTAAGGTAAACTTTCTCACAAATGCACCAAATAGCTAATCCATCAAATCAAAGCGGCCTACAAAAACGCCTCTGTATAATCCTATATCTAATCTAACTATCTTCACAATGTCAAGCTATTACGCAATTTGTTATTATTACCTTGACTGCAATAGTCACCTTCCACCTATATCATGGAATGCAGACATTTAATTGGATTGTATGCTAGCAAATACAAGCAATCAGAGGCCACATTAGAAAGTCTGTAAACAATAAGCCATGTCTTTAAATCAAGGGCACTGATTGGTTGTACTCACCAGCATACAATCCAATCAAATCTCTGCATTCCATGATACAAGAAATGTGGCTATTGGGGTCAAGGAAGTTTGTAATAGCTTGACATTGTGAAGATATTATCAGACTCCCTAGGGCTTCTTATCCTCCAGCTCTTAATTTAGATAAAATCCAGATTTTGAATCCAGATACTGTTATGTAATTGGCTAATATGACGAAATTTAAAATCAAATTTAATGATTGACCAATCAGATGAAAGAATGTTAAAACCATTTAAACTTAAGTGTTTGTGAAAATTCTCAGGGCCCTTTTCCTCTGGGCACTCTTGGTACTCTTTTTCATAATATTCATTCAGCATGAATATTCATTACCTCTGTCCCTTATACAAAGTTCACCTACTAAAGTGAAACATGGTAAAATATTGTAAACTCACCAAAATTCTTTTCCGGTCTTTATAGGTTAAAAATTTTACATCATGATACATTTTCTTTCTAAAAAAAGTTCAAAAGTATTTGGCGGTAAATTAAATGAACTCACAAAGGATGATAATAAATGTTTGTGGTCTAGGTCCTAGACAAAGGTTGATAAATTTCAGTCTGTGATATCAGCATCCGTCGAAAGCGGATAATAACTTGTCAATCACGGGCCAAAAAATTACGAAATGTCAATGGTTGTGAGGGAGTCCATTGGATTTTGTACTTACAAGTAGCTACCTGTGGTACTACCCTAAATTTTACTTTTTTTGATAATTCAAATTTTGAAGCTTCACCATGCCCAAACAAGTTGAGGTAGGATGCTGAAATTTTGACACAAAATACTTTCAAATGTTAGCTTTCCAGTGCCACAAACCATGATTCCATAGCTGCACTACTAAGAAAGTTCTAGACTATTCTTTGGCACTTTCTCCCCCCAAAAAAGTGATCAGAATCAAGTTTTATTGGGGAATGCTTTGGGAAGCAAAAAAAGCTAAAAAAAAACCTGAATACTTACCCTTGTTCTAAATGGCTTATTTTGTCCTCCAGAAATCTTAGTTCATTATGTAAGTCTTCATCAAATCGAAGCACTCTACAAAAAGAATTTGACAATGTACTCAAAATGGCTTTATAGTGCTCAAAGCTCACCGTCGAAATTTGAGCCTTCAAATACATGTGTGTTCAGAAATTCCTTGTCTGAGGTACATTTTCGTACATTTCTATTATTTCTGAAGACTATTTACATATATTCAAGATTAAATCAACCCCCCAAAATGGTGCACCTGTCTATACATGTAATTTTTTTTACTTTTCTAAATTTGAAGCTATTTAATAACAATATATCGACAATTTCTTTCAATCAAATTGTCAAGAAGACTAGGACATAACATAATTTCTAAAAACTTGGTTGTACTCACCTGTCATTTTCATTCTTATTGGATATACCATAAACTACTGCAATATAAAACACAACACACAAACTTAAAAAATGGACACATGCCCCTCAAATCATTAGTTAAATCATGAAAAATAAAGGGTGATCACTGATATTTGGCAATGTAAACACAGCGCATTACACATTGAGAAAATTGACACATGTATGCACACGCTATTTATCAGTGAAACCTAATAGGTCTATCTATGAAATATTTTTAACCCAATTACTAAAAAACCACGATTCTCAGTCCACGAGAGTTAAATTAGGCTAGAGTTAGATAACTAAGGCAGACTAATTCAATACAAAGCTCCTACAGGGGGTGAGGGATGGGGAAGTGAAAATGATAAAAAATCATACAAAAATGAAAAGAAAACAATCACCTGTAAGAACGACTATAAACAGCAAAATCAGTGCAAAACATTTCATTTTTCTTCTCGGAATGCAATGCGTCTTAAGTGAAAACATAATTTTACATTGTCAAACAAATCGGAGTTGTTTTGGACAAATCTGCGACTGTTTCCAAAAAAAAACGTCCTACTTCGTGTTGACTTCACAACAAATTAATCAATCCGGAAGTGAAACTTACAGATGATCTTCAAGGGCAACGTTCGTTTCAACTATCCTATATAAACTCAATCCTAATTTTTATATTTTAATTATTCATTTTTTGCAATATGTACAAAATTTAGTTAACTTTATCTACGATTTTAAGAAAAATTGAGATGTAAAAAACCTAAACGTTCCATTTCCAAAATTCGCATCCATTCAATCAAAAATCAAGAGGTTGATTGATTAGAGCGAACCTAGCCCACGAAAAAAGAAACAAAAATTACCTCCCTTTGTCAAAGTTCAAGGTCATAAGACATCACATGGCTCGATGATATAATATCACTAAGAAAAACATTCGCATTTGAAATTTCTTTTTCTTTTGTGGTTTGTATGTCTCAAAAATATTTTCTGTACTAAATTCAAATAGCTATGATTTTCCCAAACACTGTCACTGTCATTCAATTTCAAATGGAGCTTGGATTTTCTAGATCCATTTAAATGTTTTTTTAGAAGGGGGGAGGTATTCTATTGACAGCTTAAAATAATTCAGGGTAAAAAAAACTGCCACAACGCTTGGGACAAAGAAGGCCATGAGAGATGTAAAATCAACTCATCTACATGTCAACTCGTCAACAGTTAACTGGTCAACAGTTAACTCGTAAACAAACCAAGTTAACTCGTCTACAACCTCGATCAAACGCTAGGAAATATCTTTATACATGGTGTCTGTTGAGAATGAGCATTCAATTAACGGAGATCAGCAGTAAATATACATTATGATAACAATTTAACAAACCAATTATTTGGAGACTAGTACCTTTAATAATGGTATTAGATTTATATGTTGTTTTAGGTTTCTTTTCTCTATTTGGATCGTTAGTACATGGTTTATTTACTCAATTCTTTTAAATCTGATATTTTAACTTTCCAGAATTAGGTGTGTCAGACTATAATGAACTGCTGTTTGAGACTATGCTGTCGTAAGATTTGGTGGCTGAGTGGATGTCATCAAGCAGGAGGGTTCCAAAATGGAAGAAATTTTACCAGCTCTCTAGTGAAAATTGTAAGTATTAGTCTACTGTCTCTGCATATTTGTTGGTTTATCAAAATTGATGAATTTTTTGATTATTTGATTTCGAAATTTGACGTCTGCTCTGGAAAGCTGTGATAAACAACTGTGATTGGTCAAAACAGAATAATAGTCTGATTCTCAATATCGATGATGGACCACAATGTTGTCAAGGCTTGCATTTTTTTTCCAGTCATATATGATGCACGGCCCACCATCAGTGAAATCCTCGCTACGCTACTGCCCCTTGTGCACTTTTTTTAAAGATTTTTTCAAATGTATTTTACAGTATACCACAAGCTACCCTGCCAACAATATATACTCTGGTCCAATCTCCAGACATTTTGGCACCAGTCAGAAACTGAATGCAGCAAAAAAATCTCTGAAAAGTTCCAAAATCAAGACAGAAGAAGAAAATAGGCTGTCTTTTCAGCAACTTGTCTTACATGAATTGAAATCAAGCCAAAGTTTCAAAAATTTGGTGAATGCAAAATTGGAAGACCCAGAATATTTTCAAAATTTATTGTCCAAACTAAAGCAATTAGGGTTTCAGAAAAAAAGCTACAGAAGAAATTTGTCAGGATTTGTGATGTCAGAAAAGGACTTGGACCATTACTTAAAAAAACTCTCTGAGCTGAAGGATGTCGGCTTCTCTCCCAATTTTTTTGTCAGTATTTTCCAGTCTTCCTGGGTAAGCTTATTATTTTATTTTTATGGTCTTCCCTGTCAAAGCTGGGTATAAATTGACAGGCAACAAAACACCCTTTATCTATCAAATGAGTTCTTCCAATCCTATATGTCCAGTTTCATATTCATTGAAAGTATGCAATAGCAGAATAGTTCAATTGAGAGTTGAGGGGTGTCAAAATTAGAGCCTTATCCATTTGTAGCACTTTTGGAGCTTATTTACATATATTCTAGGCCCAAATCAACCCCTGAAAATACTATCACCCCTTATGTTGGTAGGCTATTAAGCTGATCTAAACAGCTAAACTATTGAAAGGAAGTGACTGATGTTACAAGAACCTGGAGTCATAAAGTTACAACAGAATCCCTGTAAAATCTGGAAATTTGGAAAATTCATAAAACTAATTATTGAAAAACGTTTAATCTTGATATTAAGTGTTTTTCAATAGTTAATTGTATATTTATATTTACTAAGTTTTTTGGAATTATCGGATTATATAAGGATCATGTTATGTTATTTATGACACCAGGTATATCTACTGATGAATATATGCTCTTATTGGCCAGGTTTAAAATTTTATGTTCATTCTAAGACATAGTATTCCTTTAAAACACCCAAAATGATCTCCCTATAATCTTTCTGGATATCTTTCATTTACATTGCAAGTACCAATGTACATCTCAATATCATTTTGATACACATGAGTCATAAAAATTGAATCAAATTCCATTTATGACACGCGCTTTGTCGTTTATGGCTAAAACATAGCGGCTAATTTTAAGAGGATTGGTCAATATTCAGCTGTCCATCATTCTAGCAGATCTGTTGGTTTGTTTTTCAAATGTACTTCTTTCTTTTCAGACCAAGAAAGATCTGTCTGACATAGAAAAGACTCTGGCGGGTGTAGATATATTACGAACCAAATATGGTATGCCAGTTGAATTGATCCAGGATTTGATCCAAGATAATGTGGATGAGCTCCTTAAGAAAGTGGCAATCCTAAATTCATTCAGATTTCCGGATCCCTTGGATTACGCGGAGTATGGATTTTTATTACGGTTGCCCCTATACAGTCTTCAGGATCTTTACCACGATTTGCAGGAATCTGGACTAAGGGAATACAGGGTGACAGATATTCAAAAACATTTAGAAGAAAAAAATTACGGAATAAAAAATATCGCACTGTTGTCAAAATTCACAGGCGTGACTGTATCGGAAATACAACGACTAACAAAACATTTTAATCACAAATTTATACCTATTGGCTCACAAAAGTTGGAAGCGAAAATCAAATTGATGAAATGGTACGGACTAACAAACGAAGACATCTGTCAAGTATGCTGCTTCTTAAACCTACAAATGAAAGTTTTAAAATCTATTCTGGTTAAGTATACAAAACTAAAAGGTGATGGTGTCCTTCCATGGAAGATAAAAGTGTATCTTTCAAATCCTTGTGTACAAAAAATGATGAGTGTTCGAACAGTAAATACATTAGGGAAACACATAATGGCTTTTAAATCCAAACTGGGGTTCAAAATGAATCTCTGTCCACAAACGTTGATTTCTTTACTTGTTCTGAATATGAAACCATTTACAACCATGCTGGAAAAAATTGAAATTCTGAAAAGCGTTCTACCAATTGAAGAAATCATAACACCAGAGGGCATTCATTTCCTGACCAAATTGACTAAAGAGGGGTTAATCCAAGGCGTGAAACGATCAGAATCTCTTCCAGAACTTTCCATCGCACATTTTGAGAAGTCCTTCTTTTTCAGAAAAGTTCAAATTTTGAAGAAAGAACAGCGTAGAATCATCAGTGAAATGTTAAATCTGTCGTATGTCGACGTTCGGAAAGTTAGCCAAATGTTCGAAACAGAACACAAAGACATACAGGCAAATATAATGCTACTACAAAATTATGGATTTTCAGTAGCGGACATTCGAAAGTTGTTTATCGTCGTGTACGCTGACACAGAAAGGCTTAAGTATCAACTGGATGTTCTGAGTTCAAGACCAGAAATACAAGACTACAATTTGCAAGTCACGAGCTTCAAGGCCTTAAATTACGTCCAGTATTTTCTAGAGAATGACTGTAAGTTGGAAGGTGTTGATCAATTTGGCATCAACGATATTGATGATGATGATGATTTTGAAAATGAAAGTGACTTGCGTTCTTAATCGTGTTTTTGATTGACAGTAATGGACAATTTCATTTGGCAATTCTCGACAGTTTGTGTAAAGCTGAATCTGTCTCTGTTAAGACACAAACAGACTTGGTCGGCAATTTTTGTCATTGACTAGAGTGTAACCGACTACAGGAGGACAAAACAGTCGGTCGTTTTCCACTGTGTCGATAATCATATATTTGATCTGGAGTAGTGATCATACTTTATCATGTGTGGTACGATCTTTCGAATTATCACCTTAGACCATCAGTAAATCTTGTTTGTAAGTATGTTTTTGATCTGGAGTAGTGATCATACTTTATCATGTGTGGTACAATCTTCCGAACTGGCACTTTCGACCATCAGTGATAAATTACATGGCAGACCATCAATATTGATTGAGGAATCTCAATAAGAAATTTAAGAAAACGCCAAAAATCTTTAAATGGTTCATGTGAACCTTTTCAAGTCGCCATGTTTTTGGTTGAAGTTGAAAAAGTAATGGAGAGATTTAAGAAAAATTAAAATATTTTTGAAACTTTAAAGCTTACATGTTTAGTTATAATTCTACCCAGATTTCTTTGCTTGAGGTTTTCAGCTAGAGAATCAGCAACATATAAGGATTTTTGAATTTGTCCATTATTTTTGATGAGAATTGGAATAGCAGCCTTAAAATAGTACTATAAGTCTTAAAAAGTCTTTGTCTAATTTCTAGGAGAGAAACTTGTTTATTTTCAATGTAAACTTAAAAAAAAATTATATTTTTATCAACACAAAGACATTCAGACTAACAGTACTATTTTTGAGGTAATATTGCAATTTTTTTATGCTTCAGTCAGTCTTCTATTGCTGATGTTCATCCCCTCCTACCCTGGCAATTTCTATGGTCAAATTGCCCCTCTCCCCAATATCATCACAACATTCCATACAGAGAGTCCACATAGCTAACTTATATTCAATATCCGGGTTTATTATAACAGCATCTCTTGCGGAGAATCCACATGGCTAATGCTTATTTCATTTTTTAGTTTATCAACGTAGCCAATTTAATATTCTTAGGTTAATCTACACAGCATATGTCATTGAGAGTCCACATAGCTTATGCAATTTGACATCCCTTTTAATGGAGTCCACAAGGTTAATTGGTAAATATCCACTTGAGGGGATCATTATTGGTTATTATTATGAGCACTACAACTAAGTCCAATGAAAGTTATTTGAGAATCACTTGATCTATATCAAGCCAAGTCTGATAGCTAATTTGATATTCAGAGAGTTCACAAAGTTTATAGCATTCCTTGCAGAGAGTCCACAAGGTTAATTAGTAAATATCTACTTTAGGGGATCATTATTAGTTATTATTATGAGCACTACAAGTCCCATGCATGTTCTTTTAACACGGCTTGGATAATTACTACACGGCTGCTGAAGAATCATAGGTGGCGCTCAATTAGAGTTCTGAACAGGTTGCGTCTGCTCCAATTCTGCCCACAATTAAATAATATGAAAGGGAATATGTCACATGGAAAATTATCCCATCTATTTCCTTCTCTGCCATTTTGAATTCTGTCCACCTAGTACTTTTTTCACGACACGTGGAAAATCATGTTCTGAACTCTGTTCCAACTTGTTTTGTTTATTTCATAAATACGTGCATAACTGACCAATCGAGTGGCTCCACACATCCCACGCTAAATAAAGCTATTTGAGAATAAAAAGACCATCAAAGAGTCTATTAAGATTCACTTCTGAATAAGAACTGGAATTGATCCAACGATCCACAGAGTCCTTAATATATTTATAGTCACTTATATACTCCTTGATTTTTAGCCGTGCTGAAGCTGAAATAAAAAAATTTAGGATAAGAAAATGGCAATGGCCTTCCCTTCATGCTTGTCATTGGTCTTATTTTGAAGTGAAAATTTATCCCTCTAAAAGCTCAAAAATCATCTGAAATCCGTTGGCTTGTGGGGGCCCTGGCAGCTCCGAATCCCCCAGCCGCTTGCCTTGGAGAGACACCTCATTTTTAGCTTCCCCCTCAGACATTTTCGAGAGATTTCAAGTTAAGATAAAATCAATATTTACCTCTATCTCTGTCAGACATTAAACTCATAGCTTTCTCTGGATCAAATAAATATTGGTAAAAACTTAACTGAGTGTACAGGGCTGAGTCGCTATACTGAAAAAAAACAAAAGAAATAAGTTAAAGGGATTGTAAAGAGGTTTTCTACATTTTTTATGTGTATCGGGTACACTGATAGCATCAATTTGCACCATTCCAATTTTCATTCCGACGTCTGTGGTTCTTGCAATTTCACGAAAACTAACGCATTTTATGACGTCACTAGAGGGGAACTACATAGATATTAATAGTAGCTCCCCTTGCGTGAGTTTTAGTGGAATTGCAAGAACCACAGACGTTGGAATGAAAATTGGTATGGTGCAAATTGAAGCTATCAGTGTCCCAGATACATGTTAAAAATTAACAAGGTGCGCAAATGTTGGTTTCAACTCCTATAAATCAGCCGCATATAGAATCATATACAGTTATTTCCTTTGAACGTACCTCTAAATGAAGAATTCCACGATGACAGGCCGAGCAGAAAGGATGTCCCCGTTGAAACATTAACGGTAATTTCTTGGTCCTCGCTCCACATGCCGTGTCCTCACATTTCATCCAGCCCTAGAAATACAAACGAGAAGGTCTTCAGATTCATGTCATGGCAACCAAAAGCCTGGGAAATAATTTTTCCAAGATTGTCTGTACCTATTTACATGAACATGGGAAGGTGAAGTAAGTTCTTATTCAAAGCCAAGATCATTGCCATGGATTATGCTCTTAAAAACATTGCCTACAGGACCAGCTGGTAGAATGGATACTTGTGAACCTAAATTCTTATCCTTGTAAGAATAGTTGTATCTTTCTCACCTCATAATATTTTTTAATATGTTGCCTAATGACCATGGTGAGTTGGTTTTTAATACGACCTAAATAGTCTACAGGCCGACTCTCACAGGCTGGGTTGGTACATTTAGCTAGTGAACACTCTATATAGGCTTCCTGTTAAAAATAACACAAGTGGATGAGTTCCAATGAGAGAAAATTTCACATCAATTGATAACACAATCATCAGGACAGGTAGGTTTGGAAAATGGAGATTATCTTTCAAAAATATGATTTTAAGCACAATGATTGAACAGGAGCGAAAAGTGGAATATCTAATACAGTACAAATGCTCTTATCCGCCTGCTGACATCTGTTTTGGATGCAAAATTCTCATTACGACAGCTTACTGTGAAAATGGGTTGGATTTCGTCTGCTTATGGAGTGGGATAGCTCAGGTATTATGAAATTGGATTGCCATCTGCAAGGTTAATCGGATAGCTTAGTCCTTTTCAACTTGGATTGTCGTCTGCCAAGAATTAGGTTCAAATCTTGAATCCCAATAAGGCAAGAAAATTTTCTGGCAGCATGGCTAGCTTCCTCTCAAACTTACCGAACCACTGAAGACACTGTCAAATATAATTTCTTTATTACAAGTTGGTTGAGGACAGATGAATTTCAACCTATCACAATCCTTGTAACGTTCCTCCTCTGTCAGTTGGTCGCCTAGTAACGCGTCCTCCTCATCATTATGATGAACTGCATGACGATAACCTGATGGGTCTAAGCCTGTAAGTGAAACAAAATGGAGTCTTATGCACTAGTAATGCCAGAAGAAAGAAGCAATGCAAGAAGCGACAGGGACTATATCATCCAGAATGGCTCCTAGCTTCGATTCAAAGCTAAAAGACATTCAATGAAATTCTGACCGCCATCTTTATTCAGGCTCTCAATCTCTCAAGGGAGGTAACTCTTAATACAACCTTGATATCTTCAGACCACAATATGTTAGACCAAGATATTGCAATCTTAATCAAGTGAAATAACTATAGAATAAAATGAATAACCAACCTAAACATTCAGCTAGATGAGCTGCGTCTGTTCCTTCTATAGGATCACACAACCTAGATACCACAGGATGGACTTGATTAGATAAATAGTACTTTACATCTACAATAGAAAGACAGTAAATCAAGTCCAACTATTATCAATTCTGCATTGATTTAGCTACATTCACATACAGTGTAGTAATAAAGCACACAATTTCAAAAAGTGCTAAAATGGCTGAAAATTGATTTGATTTCAACATGGCTCGCCTTTGAATCCCACAATGCTGCATGGAACTTTGTGAAGATGCACGGCATACATATCAAAAGTGCCCGATTTAAAAAATAATGCTCAAATCCAAAAGAAAATTGCTTTTGTGTGTAAGATTAGATCCCAAAGATCTAGAATAAGTTCAATTTGGGTATGATTTAACAAATATTGATTTTCAAATTTTGTTACATTCTTACCAATCTTGAGTGTTTCTTGCTTGGCCAACTCTTCTGGGTGATAGGCACGTTGGGAAGCTGGTAAATTGGAACCATCTTCACAGATGATATATGGTATAGTATCACCACCGCGTAACTTCTTACCACCCTTACTGTTTAATCGTAGCGCCACCTGGACATGTGGCAAACTCTTCTTGTCTGGGTAATCTTCGGGGTTCTTGGTTAACGACTAAAAATAGAAATGTTAGTCTCTGGTTAATAACTCCCTAGAAGGTACTATCGACCTGAGCTAGGATCAATAGCTAGAACTAACCGAGCAATATGAAGGAGGTATAGACCTTTGTCAGGATTGAAACTAGAGTTCACTGAGGCAACATTGATCCTGATGAACCCCTAGTTTCTAACAATATGAACCTATGCCAGGATTGAAACTAGAGTTCACTGAGCCAACATTGATCCTGATGAACCCTGAGTAGTTTGTAACAATATGAACCTATGCCAGGATTGAAACTAGAGTTCACTGAGCCAATATTGATCCTGATGAACTGTAAGTTAGTCTTCCTACCTTTGTAATATGAAATAGTTCAGTAGATATACCATCATTTCTAACTTGTTCTCCAACCTCTATAAGTTTAGTGTGAATATTTTCTACTATCTCTTCTCTAGACTCTCCAGATAATATTTGACTCACTACAAAACTACAAATATAATAATAAATCATTTACTGGACACATGGTACCAGTCTGCAATTGGTTTACCAACTTGCTATTTCTTTCAAAATGAAATACGCTTTTAAAGGGATTGTAAAAAGATTTTCAAAATTTTTTATGTGTATCCAGGACACTGATAGCATCAATTTGTACCATTCCAATTTTCAATTATACGTCTGTGGTTCCTGCAAGTGACAATTCTGAGGTACATTATCTAAAACCTAGTATTAAAAAATCCTTACTTTCCCGCCTCTTTTGCTAAATCTGACCAATCACGTCGCACAATATCTAAACCTTTCAACTCCTGGGTCGTTGTGTAGGTGCCATCACTATTTTTTGAGACGCTCAATGCAGCGTATTTCTTTTTCTTTAATAACAACATGGACTTGAACACACCATCAATATCAATCTCTAGTAGACGATATAACTTATTGACTTCTGCTTTCACCTACAAGATATCAAATGAAATGAATGGAATTTTACATCCTACTTTTCTGCAACTAATGGTCTAATAAAGATTGGAAGCACCGTGCAGTGTGCAATGAGGGAAATTTTACCAGGACAGCGGCATTAGCCCATTGTTTTTTATGTTTCCAAATGTCAAAGAATCTTTAACATGCACAACCTGTAGCACACGGGGCCTTGGTTTAATGTCCCATACGAACGACTTGATGCTTTTTCTTGTCAGTCAGTCGTACATACATCACTGACAGGAGGAAACGAATTACCTTATTGCCAAGTTTAAAAACAGTATCCATGTCTGTAGAATTAGTATTGATCATAATAGAATCTGTATCACCATAAATAACATCTAAATTCATCATCTGAACTAAATCTCGCGTCTGCAGTAAGATCTGAAAAATGGCAGAAAAACCAAAATTTTGACATGTTTTTTGATAGGCGTTGAATGTGACACTTGATCTACTTTCAGAAGCATTGGCCATGTCATTAGAATTTTTTTTACCTTGAGAAGGAGTCAAACACACAGCACCTTATGGCCTAGCAGACGACAATCCAAAGAGATTCTTAATATTCAATATTAAGCCAAATCCATGGTGATGTTTCTAACCAAGCAAAATAATAATCTACTGACCTCTCGACCTTTCCCTGTAACCATGGCAGCCAATGGTTTAGCGTAAAATCTGGAGTGGGAGAAACCAAGGCAACCATACATACTGTTGGCTGTTAATTTCAACGCTTTCTGTCGAATATCATACTGAAATGAAATCAAACGAAATATTATTATATTGTGGTCTGAAATAGTTCATGATCAACAAGAGTTACTTCCCTTTTAGTCAAACAGAGTAGCTTGCCCCTGCTATCATGTGACCAGGAGGAGAAAGATGGCCTTAGAAAATAAAATGGAATGAAATGGAGTTTGCCTTGAAAGCAGCATTAGCCCAATCTTTGTCAATATCCAACTATTGAGGGATCATTAATGTGCAGTTTCTTTACAAAAAATCTTCCTCTGGCCAGCATCACAGAGCACAGGGGAGTCCAAATTTTTTTCCATTACCTGCATTTTTTGTTCTGGAGATAAGTTATCTACTTTCATCAGCTGTTTGACCTGTTTCCTAGATTCCACCAGTTTCCTGATTTCTGTGGGTAGAATTCCAGGCTCCAGATCTTTATCAGGTAATTCTGGCAGGGCTTCTTCATCTTCTTCCTGAATAAAGTGAAAGGAGAATGTATCAATGTATGAGTTTGTCAGTCCACATTCTTTTGGAGTGTACACATGGCTAACATAGCTGATTTAAGTTTTCAACTCAGCATCTAATTTAAGAGTCCACATAACAAAAATTGTGCATTAACATTGTTAATCATATTATGCTGAATAAATTGATTTTGGAGAGTCTACATAGTTTTTGTCAAAGAATAAGTCGTTCAACTGGGAATACCTTTTAGAGAGTCTACAAAATGTATGATAAACTGTAAATTCTAGAGGATTTACGAGGAAATGTGAACAATATGCCCTCATGGTTGTAGATAAAAAAGTTCCACTTACGTTGGTCTGTGCTACAGGTGTTCTATTAATAGTAGTAAAACAAATGTTATATTCTTGAATGATTGAAGGATATAAACTGTTAAAATCTAGCAGTAAGATAAACTTGTCATAAAAACCTGAAATTATTTAAATTAAATGAAATGAATGGAGCTTTACCCAGCCCCGTCACCAGGAATGAATTGGTGCTGGGCTCAGAGAATTAAAGATGAGGTGCTAAAAAGTATCATAATCTATATCTTTTTGATTTTGTTCAAAGACACTGTAAATGAATCAATCTCTGTTGAACTGAAGAAAGGTTTTGGAGTCAAAACTGAAAATACATCCTACCTTTCTTGGGTTCCAGGACTAATCCTCCAGCATAAGCAGGCTTCCTCTTTCCTTGTGACTTCTTAGATTTGGTGGTGTCCAGGTCTTCTTCATCTTCATTATGATGCTACAGTCAAAGGTTAAAGTGAAGGTCAAGGTTGAACGTGGAGGGTCAAAGTTGAATGTAAATTAATGGTCAAGGTCGGGATGACAAATTTTGATTGACCATTTTGAAAATAGTTGTAAAAATTTGAAGGTATTTTTACTGATTGGGTCAAGATTGAATGTGAAGGGTCAAGGTTGAATGTGAAGGGTCAAGATTGAATGTGAAGGGTCAAGGTTGAATGCAAAGGGCCAAGGTTGAATGTAAAGGGTCAAAGATCAACATTAAATTAAAGGACTTACCACAACAGGTTTTTTCTTGTATTCTTTATCAGGGACCAGAAAATTCTTCTCTGTAAAAGCATGGAGTAATAGATACTCATTTCGTTCAGATCTACCTCCCATTAATGTTCTACCCTGAAATTTTGGAGAAAAAAATTAAAGGACCCTTTCCACAAATGGTTCTATGGGTTTACAAGAACCCTGTCTACCAGTTAGTCCTTGGAGTTCACAAGGATCCTGTCTACCAGCTGGTTCTATGGGTTCACAAGGATCCTGTCTACCAGCTGGTTCTATGGGTTCACAAGGACCCTGTCTACCAGCTGGTTCTTGAGGTTCACAAGGAATCTGTACACATTTACAGCTGGGTTGACTGGAATAATGAAGATCCAGTCTACCAGCTGGTCTTTATCCAAACCTCTAGGCAATGATCTTTCCAAAATTTCACCCATTTGCAGCTGGGTCACCAGAAATATCCATAACAGAGTAAAAGAAATGTCATCTCACCATAATGTTACCACAGATATTGGTGATCTGAAGAGCTAGTGGTATTATATTCAATTCATACATAATACGTAAAATAAACGTAGAATCTACTAGGGTCAGCTCTATCAGTTGTAAAAGATGCTTGGATGAACTGAAATCAAATAAAGATTGTCTTAATTGTAGGGCTGCAACGCTCCTAGAAGTTGCTATTTAAAAAGACTGAGTTCGAAATGAATAGAATGGAGTTTTACATCCTACTTTTCTGTACCTTATCGGCTAATGAAGACCGGCAACACCATGCAGTGTGCAGTGAGGTAAATTGTGCCATGACCGTGACATTTCCAGCTGTCGAGGGATCTTCATCATGCATAGCCAGCCTGTAGCACACGGAGCCTCCATTTATTGTCCCATCTGAACGACTAGACATTTTTTTCCCATGTCAGCACCTCTTACCTACATCACTTACAAGAGGAAACCGTGTGGAAAATTTGAAGATATTATCTCGACCTATGCAGGAATTAAACCCTGTACCTTCAGGTTAGGGAGGAAGCGTCTAACTCACCGAGTCATTATAGCTTTGTCATGAAGATTTCGTATTCTTACAAGAGTTAACAAATGCAGCATTACATCTAGATATCCCATAATTCCTCAACCTACCTGTACATATTTCTGATATCATCGTAATCTATTTCGCTACGTTTTTCGTGTAAAATATGTTGCACGAGTTCCGTGAGATCGTAGCTTCGACTGCGTATTAATTCTTTAGCTGATATTTGTATATCACACATCATACGCCCACACATTGCCGATTTCTCACCATGTGACCTTTGACCTGGACCATGCTACAAATAAGACGTCAAATATTACAGTTTATGCTCTCCTGTCTTTGAAGTCATTTTTGGTCTGAATACAGCTGTAGGTCTGCTACAATTCGTAAATTTTATTTGGTCTTATCAAATATGATTTGAGACCAGTGGTAATTCAATTACATAAAGACTTCACTTACCGATAATTTAGGCATAACTGATCGTTTTAGTCTTCCAATTTTGGACCAATGAGGGATCTTGTTGGCATTAATTCGGTGTAACATCACATCTAGATCAAACCCATATATATCATGACCCTGAAGAATGCAAATACACAAAATGAAATAATCATAATGTCACATTGTGCTCACAAAAGTTGAGTGTGCCATCATAAATTTTGTCAAAGCAAAGTTCAGCAAAGATGTTGGTGCTCTTCTTCTACTTTAGCTGAAAATCAGTGACAAAGCGAGAAGTATAACAAAAGATTACTATTATGATGTTGTACAAGCTTTTAGGCAAGGTAATAACTAGTGTAGAAGTTATAGTGAAGGGCTCAGTAGAGAAACGCAGAAGGATTCTTTGCAAAGGACTGGAAAGGAAAGACAAGATGTGCTTTAAAAGAGTGTCAGCTCAAAGAGTATTGTGCAATGGAGTACAATAATGATGTTAATCAAGTCTTTAGGCAAGATAATGAGAGTTAAAGAACTTACAATGATTAAATCAGGATCTATTTTATGTATTTTGGCCAGTAAAAATGCTAATAACGCTCGTTCATTTGGTAAAACTTCAGTTTTCATATTTTTACCCTAAAATAATTAAAATCAAAATGGATTCTCAAACAAGGAAACATCTAACTCCTACAAAGTAGTGTCCAAAACTCCTTGTCACTCGCAATGGATGTCAGTTTAATATTCTTCTTAATTGCTCCTGGTTTTGCAGTGTGCAATCAGGGAAATTTTGCCATTCCAACTTGATTCCAAATACCAATAGATCTTTTACGAGCAAAGCCTGTAGAACACAGAGCACATCCTAACAACTACAGACATTTTTTCCATGTCAGCCCTGCCACTGACAATCTTAAAAGAAATTGAAATAAATGATTTTGTTCACTGTCAACTTACCTCTTTAGAAAGTTTGTCTTTAAAATCAAACGGGTAAATACAATCATTAGGTTTAGATAACACTGAAAACAGAAAAAACAAAATTTTTACATCAAATAGATGATCAAGTGTTATTCTCTGTTGGCGTGTGAAAGTCTGGCGACCTTCAATAAGTAATCTTTTATTCTTATTCCAGTCAAATAGTGAGTTAAATTTTTAGTTTTAAGTATTTTTAAAGGAATTATGCAATTTTCTACTATTTCTAGTACTATTTACATATTTTCAAGACTCAAATCAACCCTCTAAAATGGCACACCTGTCCCTTTAAACATGGATGATGCTTCCTAAAACTTGGTTTTGCTTGTTAAACTACCTACCACAGAAATGTTGCTGAAATTGATTTTGTTTCGGGGCAGGTTTGTCCATGTTATAATCATTATGTATCAACCCTGCAGCACCAATAATCTATAAATACACACACAAAATATAGATAGCTAGGTAGGAGATTCTAACTCAAGGCGCTGCTAGTTCTTATGCTGAATTTCTATAGGTCAGACTTATTTCCAACCAAAAGAATATTCTACTTGATATTCCAGTTGATTCAATTATTTAAATGACCTAGAACACATGTTGGGCATAAATTTCATCTGATCATGGATGGCAAGTGTAGTCACCCACAGCAAAAACATGAAACCATTCATGAAAAGTTTCATTTATACTCAGGCAGATGCAAAGCCTTGGTGGCGGTAGTGTACGATCTCTTTAATTAATCAGGTGCCTTTCTTCAAGTTTTTCTACAGACCCGAGTAAGAATGCCAAAATAACAAAGCTTACCTCATTTTGATGTGTTTTAGGGTTGGGTAAAGTGCGTAGATTCAACGTCATTATCACAAGAGGGGGCGGAGCTAAGCTGTCTCGTAAGACTGTCACATGATTAGGACTTGTGACTACAGCTTCTACTTTACACCAACTCACAGGCCCTGGCGGCAATTCTGAAAATATAAACACGAAATGAAATAGAGTTGTACATCCTACTTTTCTGCTCCAGAATAAGACAAGGCAGTGAGCAATGGGGGAAATTTGATTTGCCATTGGCCCACTCTTTGTTTCTTAACTGTCTAGGGACCTATACATCCAAATTTTCCCCTACATTACGTTAATAAAGACAGGCAATAATATAACCATGCAGTGAGCAACAAGGGAAATTTTGGCTTTACTTCAGCATTACTCTTCTTGATCTTAACTTGCTACAGGGATGGGGACTTTTACATCATCTACATAAGGCTAATGAAGACAGGCAATACCAAAACAATGGTGGAAATTTTGGCTTGACTACAGTATTAGCCTACTTGATCTTAATTTCCAACTGTCTTAGGACTTTTTTCATGCACACCCTGTGGCACATCAGACCTCAGTTTCTTGTCCCATTTTAATCGTACCCATTATCATACTTACGTGGTGTTTTTAAATCTAGCCAACCAGGACCTTTCAATTTTCTATCTATCAAAAACAACTCTAAACTGAAAATGAAAATTATGAAATGACAGTTTTATTTGGTCACTGAAAACAGACAACACCATGCAGTGTGTAATGAGGGAAATTTTGTCAGGAAACTGGCATAACACTTCTTAACTTTAGAAGGATATACATCACGAATATTAACAGTAGAAGTTTAAATAAGTATAGTAAAATCCTGATATATCTCACTTACCTAGATTTATTAGCTCCAAAAATATGGCTGAAAGTCTCTCCGCAGAGATCTGTTGGCAGCGCTGGTAGGTCTGCCTGGAAATAAATAAAAGGTGACCTTAGGAAGCAACAGCAATATATCAATCAAAATAAGGCGGATTAACAATACGGGTAAGCCAAGAAATCCTGGATATTTGATTAGTTAACTATTAAAGTGATCTAGAACTCAAGGTCTCTAACAAGGTCATAAGATCATACTTTCAAGTGGAGTAACCCACAGAAAAAAACAAAGCAAACTAAAAAGAACTCGAAGACACTTCTGAAAAATATTTAAAACTTACTGCGTAGCGAACTTCTAAATATTCAGATTCAACTGGTACTTCTATTTTCTCAAATGCATATTGTTTTGTTACTTTCTGAAAACAACGAGCCCAAAATAATTTCCATTTGAGCAAAATGAAAAGAAATTGAAGCTGACAGATAAAAGGAGAAACAAAGATACAAAAAGAAAATGATGTAGTTTTGTTTTAATAAAACATTGCCTAAAAGCTTACTAAATAGTATAACAGAACATGTTTCATAAAAAGCACATTTGAGGTGCCCTGCTAGTATGTCTGGTATGTATGGTATGTCTGGTATGTATGTATGTACCTACCATTGATTTAAATTTCATGATTTTATGTTTATCAGCAATCTGCTCGTTAAATTCAGTATAAACATCCACCATACTGATTTCTCCTTCAGTTTCTTCTTTAGTTTTCATGTTATATCTCTAAAATATAAGATTTGAATAATAAATATACCCAATCAACAATATACCCTGCAATTACACCATTCAGTGTGCAATGATGGAAATTTTCACAGGTCAGCAGAATAAGGCTACTCGTGTTTGTTATCCAACTGTCGAGTGATCTTTAAGATGCACAGCCTGTAGCACACAGGGCCACGGTTTATTGTCCCACCCAAACAAATCAGGGTAGACCCTTAAGGAATAACAATACTTACATTTTTTCGTGGTAATAGATAAACACGTCTGTCGATATTTTTAACGGTGACACAACAACTAACATGTGACTCAGCTGATTCGATAAAAACTTTACCAAATAGATATACTGTACCTATAATATACACCAATATATGTTTTAATTCTCTACTCTCAACTCTTTCTCTATACCTTCCTGTCAAGACCAGTGGCAGACGGAGCCAGGTTTACGTCCAAGGGGGGCGAAATATCTGAGGTTGCATGAAAAACATGCTTTCGGGGCTGCTGCAGAGATACGGACATTTTCAAGTTTTCAAATGCAAACAAGATTATTTTTACCTGGCTGCTTCCAAGGGTCTTCATAAGCATCTAACCAATAAAACCTCATGATCTGTTCTCCTTCTTCGTTAGTAACCAGGGGCAACTTAGATGAGTCAACATGGATATCGCCTACAGGCTCAACAGTTTCTGATTGGACGTTCTCCCATCCACTTGACACAAACTCTTCACTGTAAAAAAACAAATACATGAAACTTAAAAAAACAAGGATAACAACTTAAGTACGGAACAGGTCACATTCAAAATTTATCCGTCTTTCTCTGCCATTTTGAATTCTGTCCCTTTTTTGGCACCGATGGAATGCATTCTGAACACTGTTCAAACTTGTTTTTTTGGACTTCTGGTTGATTCCATTAATCCCAAAAGTGAAAAACTGACCAATCAAGTGCTCCCATGTAGAATACACTTACCTTTTGACCTTGACCTGAGGCTTGTTACTATTTTTAGGTTTTTCAGCTTTCACCGAGTCGGTCATGTCAGGCATCTCTTCATCAAAATCTATATCATTTAATTCTAACCCTGATTCATCTACAAACAAAATTAAATGAAGTTTTACACCCTACTGTTCTTTATCTTATGAAACAAAATTTCTGACTAAAATGAAATTTGTTACCTCGGTGAACTCCCTTCAGTGTACAATAAAGTAAATTTTGCAAGGACAAAAGTGAAAATTCGCCTACTGTAAATGCATCTTAAATGTTAAAATTTTCTAGCCTTACCTAAATTAGCACCTCCATTTTGTTGCACTTGATTTTCAGTTTGGATGACATCATCATCGTCATCCATATTGGTATCGAACTGTTCAATCATAGGAGAGTCTTCATCAACCGGTTCTGGTTTAATCTCAACTGGTTCCTTCTTAATTCGAACCGGTTCTGGTTTATGTTGTTTCTTGATCTTGATAGCTGGTGCTTGAGGTCTTTGAATGGAATGGTCTGGTTCCTGTTTTATGTTTCTTGGCTTCAATGGTTTAACGCTGAAGGGATTCAAAGCCGCTCTGAAATTAAGCAGAGTATTTTTTCCTCATCAAGGAATAGTGTATTAGGGGTGAAGCCAACAACAGGAGCAGACTGATGCACAGGCATTATAATTTTTACCTTGATTTGAACCCACAGCACCTAATTGCCTAGCAGATGACATCAAAATTGCTACCGCCTGTTTCAAAATCTGAGATAGATTAATGCTATGCCAATGTGTATGATTAGAAGAAACTCATACGTAAAATTAGAGGTGTTCTTTGATGCCTGTCATACTATATCTGGTAGTAAAATGGCCGTTTCATCAAGACTTACTTGTTAGAAGGTTTATTTTTGTTGATTTTAACAGGAAGTGGTTTGGCTTGGGAAGATCCTAGTTCTTCCATTAAATCACCCAGTAATTCATCATCGGCTAAACTGACATCTTTCTGAAAAACAAAATATTGTCATGAACACATGATGTCACTCTGAAATGAAATGGAGAGTCACATCCTCCTTCTGCATCTGATTGGGTCATAAAGACAAGCAACCCCATGAGGTGTGTGATGAGGGAAATTTTGCCAGGACTACAGCATAAGCTTACTCTTTTGCGATCTCCAACTTCCGCAAGATCTTAACGTGCCTTTAGTATACATGTTTCGCTTTATTGTCCCCTTCCAAACAACAGAGGCTACTCTAAGATTTGGCAGGAAATGAGATCAGACCTGGGGCTGGATCACCAGACATCTTACCTCAGGTTTTTTCTTAGTAACCATGGAAGCAGCAGCAAACATAGATTTAATATTAGCTTTAGGTTTCGTTCCAGGTCGTACAATATTCTTATTCTTCTTTTTATCTCCAACTTTCTTCTCTACAAAAAAAAATTAATTTCAAAAATACTCATGATGCCATTTGGAACCTTGTGATGATTGATCTATGTCAGCCAAATTCAGGAGATTCACACGTAAATTGGCACATAGGGTTTAACATTCTACTTTTCTGCACCCGTTTGTGTCAATGAGGTCTGGCAAGGGCATTAGTGTGCAATGAGGGAAATTTTGCCATAGGCATTAGCTTACTCTGATCTTTATCATGCACAGCCTGAAGACCGTAGGGCCTGGGTTTTTCGTCACATTCGAACGACTAGATGCTTTTTCCTTGTCAGACCCTCCGACCTGCATCATTGACAGAGGGGATACAGCATTGAAAAGGGTCAAAAATAAAGGAATGTTAACTGAGCCTACTGTTTTTATCATTTTTAGAAACTGTTTCCTCATCCATATCATCATCAAATATTTCTCTTCCATCTTCCACATAGCCTGCTCCATCTACAAAATACACCTCAACTTTCTCATCTCATTCTTTGAAAGGGATCCAATCTAATCTATCTAATCTTAGTTTGTGATAGGTGTTAAAATGCAACACGAACACTGGGCAGAAGTACTGGCTAAGGCATCAGAATTTTACCTTTCAAGAGAAGGGTTTGAAACCCATATTACCTAATAGCTCATTTTCGAGATTATTCATTCAGGGACAGCATTCATTTGCATCATTCCAGTTTCCAGTCAGACTTCTGTGGTTCTTGTAAAACTAAGTGTTTTATGATGCCAAATTGGCTTCAAATTGATACTATTTGTGTCTCAAATACACATAAAAGTTTACAAAACCCCCTTAAAATGATGGTGGTTTTTCTTTGAACCAATGTTGCAGAACAATTTGATACTCAAATGAACAGTGATATGGATGTAGGGCTAGTTGCTCAGCCCCATAAGAACTAGAAGGTAAAGGAAACAGAAAATGGCCCACCATCATCAATAATCCAGTCATCTTCTTGTCTTTGTCTGACAATTTCAGAATAATTATCTTCATCCACTATCTCATATACTGACTTCTCTTCTTCTATCTGAAAATATCAAATTACACTCATACACTGACTTCTCTTCTTCTATCTGAAAATATCAAGTTACACTCATACACTGACTTCTCTTCTTCTATCTGAAAATATCAAGTTACAATCATATACTGACTTCTCTTCTTCTATCTGAAAATATCAAATTACACTCATACACTGACTTCTCTTCTTCTATCTGAAAATATCAAATTACACTCATATACTGACTTCTCTTCTTCTATCTGAAAATATCAAATTACACTCATACACTGACTTCTCTTCTTCTATCTGAAAATATCAAATTACACTCATACACTGACTTCTCTTCTTCTATCTGAAAATATCAAATTACACTCATATACTGACTTCTCTTCTTCTATCTGAAAATATCAAGTTACAATCATATACTGACTTCTCTTCTTCTATCTGAAAATATCAAAATACTCAGACCTTGGCATCGCTGGGGATACGTCTTTACAATCTTGTTATATTTTCTGCGCCCAATTAGGCTAAGGAAGACAGGAAAATCCACTCAGTGTGCAATGAGGATAACTTTATGTAAGATTACGGCACAGATGAAAAATTACAAGAAAAAAGAAAACAAAAATGTTATCAAAATTTGAATAGATTGGATCAACACCATACCCCATGTTGCTGGCTTGAGCTAATCTATCTTTTACAACCAACAACTATGATAATTTGAAAAAAAAAATGACATTAAATCCAATTAATACCTCATATTTATGCTTCTCTCCCCTTTCTTTAGCCCTTTTCAATTTTTCAAAAGCTGCAGCTCTTCCTGTTTTCTCTTTCTTCTGCCTTCTAGATCTACTGGTTGCCAACGGCTCAGCAACTAAAACATTGAACAGAATTTGCTAATTGAGTTTTTTGTTATTTTAAAGATTGAATTTGATTTTTTGCACACAAAACGTCATTAGGCTATAGAAATTACTGTCAGAAAATGGAATTTTATTTGGCTTTGCTACCAGTAATAACTAAATAAGTAAGATCTGTAAATTGACACCTTAAATAAACGTGATGTGTCCTTTGACATCAGTAAAACAATTATTTAGAGCAATTACAGTACATCAAATCAAAGAAATGACACTGACAGAATTTCCAACATGAAAGCAAGCTAAAGATGGGCGTGGCCTTTATTTACTGAACGAAAATCTAATTTTCTTAGAAAGGGGTAGCTCAAAATAATTTTGATCAGATGCAAAAGATGGCTGTTGTTGATTGAATTATGGTTCTGGTAATTAGTTAATCATCGCACCTTGTCCAGAGTCGTCACCTGAATTATTATCGTCATTTTCTTGCGCTGGAGCCATGATTTCCCGCACTTTGTTGTATTTATTTTTTTGGCGGGTAAAGGTACGTAACTCTTTTGTTTACATCCGGTTGGAGTCAGACCACAACTTTTTATGATTTTCAAAATATTCTTTAAACACAAAATGTGTCAAAATATGGCATTAAATCCCCAAAAAGCATGACCAAATACCAAATGAGTGAAGAGAAATGATACCAAAGACTTCATAAGCAATTTAACTGAAAGTCATTTTCGATGCCATTTTTAAAGGTCATGTCTTGTGACTGTGCAAATAGGTCAACAGGTCAATTGATGAAACAACAACAACAAAAGTGATGACGTGTTACACAAGCCATTACAAAAATGAGGAGAGCAAATTTATTCGTGAGATAATTGCGACAGACGAAATCTAGAAAACATCTGACGTATGGTCACACCAAGTTTTATTTGGTAAGTAGATTAATGTATTTATCCGTTGGCTTTGATTCAGAAACGCAGAAGCTAAGTTGTATCGATTTTTGTGGAGTTTTGGTCTCTCGGGTCGTGTAAATCAAATGGGACATTTTTATTATGTCAATTCAAAGCCATGCCTTTTCAATTCGGAATTTAAACAATTCCCCATTGTTACTGTTAAATAGTATCAGCTACTAGAACTGAAAATATTGTGTTGCAAGAATTGTGATTTATTGCCTGAAATTGATAGAAGAAAAACAAAAAAACTCTCTTTAATTTTGATGTAAATTTTCCGAAAGAAAAGGTGGGTACCGTATCTCTTTAAATTTAAATTTATTTGGTCTAGCAACCAGTAGATAAGAATTTGATAAGATAGCTTTAGATTAATTGATTTTTAAATTTTTAGATATCCAATATATAAGCATTGAGTTGATCCCATAGTTAGAGAAAGGGTCATAGAAGTGGTCCCCTTTAGTTTAATTACTGAAAAACTTGACAAAATTATGATGCTAATATTACAAAATATGTTGATGTTTTACTTTCCGGAGGCATCAGAAAGAAATCAGAATTGTAACAAAGGCAATAAACTCTTTTTTCTTTTGAATCCATTTGATTAAAAATTGTGAGTTAATCTGGTGGTGAGAGCTTGTTGATCAAGGGTTATGTATAGAAGACTCACCAACCTTTGTTGCATCAATAAGGGTTGTGGAATTCGCACAATAAGCATATAATAAGTTTGCAGTAGCAACAATTCATAAATTGATGATAAACTGATGTGAGTTTGAGGATAAAGGGTTACTATAGATTACTCATCAACCTTTGTTAAATCAATATGGATCCTGTAATTGACATCATTAGTATTCTATAATAGTCTCTATAAGCAATGTATAGATTAAACAACAATTGTCAATGTTGATAGAATGGTGCCACCTGTTGCAAAAAGGTCACGTGACCAGAATGAATATCTCAGAATATCTACATGTTGGGTGTCAGCTAGGCTGGCTATGACATCAATTATTTGGGTTGGTGAAAATGCCCTTACTGCCTTAAAATCATGGCTTTTTTTCTGAATTTGGTAATTACAACACTGCCGTTTGTGTAACATTCACCATTGAAGGAGACAATTATGTAAAAGATGTATTGTCTCTTCTTGTGACCTTGGCCAGTGCTTCTATGGGATAGTATCTTCTGTATCACCTGATACTAACCAATTTCAATCATTACATTTTGGAAGATTGTTATACTAGTGTAGCATAATCAAATAGCATTCAAACCAAATGGTAATTTCAAAATTGGTAGCATCATGCATGGCATGGCTTTACAATGTTTTTCTGGAATTGCAGGAATCAGAGATGTTGGAAAATGGCATCAATGTATAGAAAATGAATTGATAAGTGTTTACATTGTATATTTAAACCAAGTATTATCAATTCAAACCGCAAAATGAAACCTGAAATCCAAAACATGGGCAATCAGGCATATCGATGCTAAAATCCTGTTTTAAACTTTGATATCTGCAATCAGTTGGACTTTAACGCTTGAATTTACAATCATGAAAAGTTGAAACAAAGTTGACTGAATTTGGGGTATTCTGAATTATTTTGCTGAGAGTTGTTGTCCAATGTTGTGCTCTAACTTAGATTGTGTCCTGGATTTTAAAGTGATATAAGACTATTTGTTAATGAATTGTGTACTTCAGTAAAATGCCTAAGGGGTAAATATTTTGTTTTTGAATTAATTGATTGTTTTGTTTACAAAAATATAAGGGTACTAAGAAATTTATTGAGGCAACTATTCGTCTTTTGTCAATCACTTCTTAAGTTGTGACAGAGACAGGTTCGCCATCCGTTTGATCAATCATACTTTAGTCTCAGAAACGTGAAGTCACAGCTCACCGTTGAAATTTGAGCCTTCACATCCTTGTATGTCCAGAATTATCGCACTTGAAAGTTAAAATGACGATTGTCTTGAGACTGTCATTATGTAGGAAAGACACTTTATAGAAATAGACAGTGAAATTCCTAGTTTCTAGTACATTTGAAGACTATTTACATATATTCAAGATCAAATCAAACATTAAAATGGCAACTCTGACCGTTTTTAATATAAGAAGGGATTAATTGTCGGGAATAAAAGCTTTATGCCTAAGGGGGTCTGTAATGTTTATGAAATCGCTTTGGGTAATCTATTGTTTTGTTGACAATATAAGAAGTACTAAGAAGAAGTAACTGTTTTTTATTTTTGTCAATCCATTATATAGTTGATATATGAAGGGTAATGATTTACAATAGCTCTTCTTTAACTTCTGTGACACATGTTGCGGATATAACAGCCTCATCAGGACATATAATGCCTAAGGTGTCTGAATGGTTTATTGATTATTTTGTTGACAATATTAGGAGTGCTAAGTTATTTATTGAGAGGATTTCATGTAGTAACTGTTTTTCATTTTGTTCAATCCATTAATTTAATTGACTATAGCTCATCTATTGCTTTGACACATGTTGCGGATATAACAGCCTCATCAGGACATATAATGCCTAAAGGGTCTGTATTGTTTATGAATTGTTTTTGGTCAATTCATTGTTTTGTTGACAAGTGGATTATGGTTATTGAAAGTAACAAGCTTAAATTAATGAGATTTTTCAAAATAATTGTTTTGTTTTTTGTCCTGCTTATGTAATAAATCGTTTTTTAGTTTAAGAAAATGCTGGGCGGGGAATTTCAAATAACATTTTTTTGTTGTCATCCAGTAAACTATTAATATACAATAGTTTGGATACAGAAGCTCCTAGATAAGATCATTGGGCTCTGAATAGAAAGGATAAGGGTGGGTATAAAATTCAAACTGACATCATCCAATTATACCTCCAAGTACAAAAGTTTTTTTTGTTGTATGAATTATAGTTTCTTCTATTGCTAATTTATAGCAATACATGTTTTTGTGCCATATTTAACCTTCCGTTGGAGTGGTTTGTCAGTTTGGAATTTACACTAATGTAACAGAAAAATATCAGTCTCACTCTCAGTAGACTATAAAATACTATACAGTGTTTTGTTTATAGACTATGATATATAGTGTTACTGTGAAATAAGAATATAGGTCTACATCTTGAACTTTCTGTACTGATCTATATACAGTAGAACTTGGTTTAAAGTTTTGTAAAACAAGCACGTATGTGTTTTTCAAATGACGATATCATAAACCTGTTTGAACTTAAGGTTTATGAGGTTTGATCCTTTTCAAATGCACGTGTAAAATTATTGAATATTTCAAAAACTATTCATGTATGTAACCTAAGTTTGGCTTCCACTCCACCCCCCAAGTAGCCTTGGAGAGACACCCCCTCCTGCCCTTACAGGCATGTACTAGGTATGGACCTGCTTAAGTGAATGCAAACAAGGTGCCTTCATAAAGTTTAACACTTATAGTTATGTAATGTCGGTGGCAGAAATCATTCTGCATATCCTATTTTTAGGCGTCAAGGTGGAACCACATGTTGAGTCTGGCGGCTGACATTTAACAGGTACTAGATAGTACTTCAACCTTTGAACTTTGAACTTTATCAGAAGTTAGCAGTGGGTAGAATTAATGCCAAGGCTTGCACTATTTAAAACAAATTTTGATAAGACAGTGTTTTAAAGTAAGCTGTAAATTTACACCATTTTGTCTGAAATGCATGTGAACACTCTGTCATCAAAATAATTCAAAACATTTTTTGATTTGATCTCCAAAATGACTAAGTGAAATTTGCATTAAAATCTTGTTACCTTAAAAGGTTTGCTGTAGATGTCAAATTTCTTACAGTCTATTCCATAATAAGTGTTGATAAGACTAAAGAGTTGTTTCCTGGTAATTATATAATTCTGATAACATTAACTCATATTGACCTTTAGACTTATTGAAATAGATTTCTTATAATTCTGTAACTAGTTTAAACACTGTAACTTTGAAGTTAAAGGGATTATTAAGAGGTTTCCTATAAATTTATGTATATTGGGGACACTGATATCATTTTGCATTGATCCAATTTTCAATCAGTGGCCTATGGTTCTTGCAATTGCACTAAAACTAGCTTTACAATCCCTTAAAATGTAAAACAAAGGTACGATATTTCTTAAAGAGTGGATCTTTTTTTCCAGATCGAGAATGTCCTCAAGGAAAAGGACAAGAAACGGAGATATGGCGGAACAAACAGAAGAAAATGGAGGACTGAGAAATGGACATGAATTCAGGAGACCTGTAAGTAGCTAGTTTGATATTTAGTATTTGAATCGTGTGATTTGATTAGTGTGTGCTTTTAATCTGTATTGGAATAGCCAATCAGCATTGAGTATTGTCATTCTGGATTATTCATGAATTCAGAAGCCTACTTTGTATCTTCTGCATCTTGTGGGTTTGAAATTCAGTCTTTGAATTGTTTGATTTGATTGGAGTGTGCTTTTGATTAGAATTGGAATAGCCAATCAACATTGAGTATTGCCATTCTCGAATGAATATGTGTTCCACTGATGAAACCCAGTCATAACCAAATTATTTGAAGAGGTGATCTAATTCCTCAATTTGCAGCACTCCAATTTACAATCAGATGTCTGTGGTTCTTGCAATATCACAAAAACTAAGTGTTTGTTGACGTTACTAATTGGCAATTGCCATATATTTTTGTATCATATTCACGATATGTGACGTCTTAGTTTTAGTGGAATTGCAGGAACCACAGACATCTGATCGTAAAATGGAATGGTGCAAATTGATGCTATCAGTGTCCTTGATACACATGAAAAATGTAAAAAATCTCTTTACAATCCCTTTAAGATATAACTGTGTGAATCTAGCTATATTTTGAAGTTGATATTTGTGTAGTCTAGCACATATCAGTTCATTTTGATTGATTTCAATTGATTTTTATAAAATTATCAATATCCATATCCTAGACTCTACTTGTATTCAATCAACTCTGTTAAGCACTCAGTATGTACATATTTGAGTTTCATTTATAGAAATAACATTCCTGTACCAGCTGCAGGAAATCTTTACAATGTCAAGCTATCATGAGCTGTGTCTAATACCTTGACTATTATAGCTACATTTCTTGTATTAAGTTTGTAAATGCAGCAATTTGATTGGATTGTACGCTACGATATACAGCCAATCAGTGCCCTAGCTGTGCGTGTATCGAGGCCTGTGATTTGCTGTATTCAATAACATACAATCTAATACAAACTTCTGTAATACAAGAAGGTGGCGATTGCAGTCAAGGTATTAGACACAGTTCGTAATAGTCTGACATTGTGAAGATGGTTTTAGGGCAGTCGGTTAAAGCATTAGAATATTGATGTAATTTAAGTCATAATGGTGTGATGGTTGTGAATTCTAATCTCAGTCAGTGTGTGAAAATCTGATGACCTTGAAAAAGTCATCTTTTGTCACAATTCTCGATGGGTATAGATAATCGGTGAAAAAAGAGAAAAATTTATATTTATTCTGAGATTTTGTGTGCCACAGAATAATTTCTGTTTTTTTTTGTGACTAAAATGAATCTCTGAATGCAGCTTTAAATAACTTACTAATGGACAGTATAATTTGCACAAAAAGCTTGTAATTTTATATTTTTTGTGTTATAAATTTATTTATTTACTTTATTTTTTATTAGAGGCCGCGTAGAACAAGTCTAAAATTGAGACAAAATTCACACAAGGTAAAATTTACCTCAAAATGAATATCTAATTCTTCAACTTCAAGTTGCTTTTTGGTTTTCTTTTGAATTTTTTCAACCATTACAGCTACCATGAAATAAAAAATTAAAGCTACCATGAAATAAAAAATCTACATGAAAACTGCCATGCAGTCAAGATAAGAAGAATTATTGATGCTTATGTACAAAAAATTATGAAAAACATTAAAGCTACCATAAAAAAAAAACCCATTAAATATAGCATGAGATGAAAAAAAAAATATTAAAGCTACTATGAAATGAAATAAAAATAAGTTAACCTGAAAGCAACTGAGTATATCTTTGGAATGGATTCTTTGGGATTATCTTTTTTTGAATATTCATAAGCTTATATTTAGGAATGTTTTTTTTTTTTTTTTTTCTTTGCTTTGACTGTTTCATATTTGTTTAATATCAAAACTTTAGGTAGAATTTAATTTTTGCCCTTATATGGCATGGTCTTTCACCTAAAATTAAAATTGACATCTGGATGTTATGTTTCATATATTATATGTGGTTGATTCCATCTGCCATCAATGATCTGACATTATTGCTATATAACACATGTTCTATAAGTTGGAATATTCAACCAATCAAATTAGCGTCCATGAGATGAGTATCAGCTTCAATATGTGAAGAATTCTGAAATATTCACAACTGAACCCAAATTGAATGGGAATTTTGTCAGATCATTCTTTGAATCTGGTTCAGAAATGATTAAGGCTTGTTTAAAAACTTTGAATAATTATCTCTCTTACATTATCTGTTTTACTCGACCTTTCAACCTACTTGAACTTTGACCTTACCATGACCTATCAGTTGCTCATCTTGACCTTCATAGATAACCTCATGTTATCGGGGACACTGATAACATCAATTTACATCATTCTAATTTTCAATCAGACTTCAGTGGTTCTTGCAATTCCACTGAAACTTGGCGTATTATGACGTCACTATCATAAAAGCTGCTAATGATGTATAAGTCCCTTTACAATAGTGATGTCATCAAACGCTTAGATTTAGTGGTATTGCAAGAACCATAGATATCTGATTGAAACTTGGAATAGTGCAAATTGATGCTAACAGTGTCCCCTGATATACATACAAAAAGAGACAGCCTCTTTGCAATCTCTTTAAATGTGGCATGACTCTACTTGCCTCCATAAATGTTTTTAAATATTTTCATAATGTCAATGATATGAAAAAAATCAGAAAAAGTAGGTTTATGGGTTATCAAAGTTTGTTTTTAAAACAAGAACAGAGTTTAGGTGTTATCTTGTGACATTATCAATAATGGCTTCTCTTGAACTTTCATTTCCTTGTCATGATAACTAAATATTGAGATATTGCCCACCCTTGACATTGATTATTTTGGGTGGCAATAGAATTCACCTTTAAAAGATATATATATTTTGGCTTTGCTATGGGGGATGGGGGGTGCAATGCCTCCCTCCGGATATATTACTAGCTAATAAACCAATTACCTGTATTGCTTATCAAAAATTAAATTTGCTTAGTCCTAGACTACAATTCATTAATGTGTATCCCACATGGCCTACTGTTGAGGTTTTGCGTTGTTTTTTTTAACTTTTTGGATATTTTTTTTCGGTTGTCAAGGACAAAGGCTTACAAGGGCAGATAACTCTCTGACCTCATGATATTCGTGAAGACAGTCAGAGACATTAGTAGTAAATACTTTCATCCAAACAACAGTAGCTTGGATTGGTATTTTTCGAGTTTGTTTCTCAAATTTTAAGATAACCATTTATTGATAAATCTTTCCCAACAGATTTCTTCAACGCAATTCCCCCCTACAAAGATCCCTTAACAGTTGGAAATCAAACAATGAGTAGGCTAATGCCACTGTCTTGGCAAAATTTCCCTCATTTCACACTGCAGGGTGTTGCCTGTCTTCAATGTGCAGAAAAGAAGTTCTAATGTAATGCCTCTTTCATTTTTTTGATTTGATCTATTTTAAGAACTATGGTCCAGCACCGTTCGATTATGAAAAGTTAGCAACAGATGAAAGAGAAATAATAGATTATTCTCAGAAAATTACACTAGAGATGGCCAGATCAGGAGAAGGTAGGGAATGGGTGGAATTTTAACATCGTTTGTGGCCATCAGAGGCCTAATGCCTGAAAAATAAAGCAACAGGCTACAACTAATAACTCAGTTGTTAGTGGCAACTCACTCAGGCATGCTGCCACCAATCAGTGGATGTCTGGCTGTCTGTGACTACTTTAGATAACATCAACACCTGATTATATGACTGGGGCTGCCCCCTAGTGAGTAGAGAGCCAGTTCCCTTTGATGCTGTAGAAGTAACAGACGACTTGTTGCTCCCAGTTGCCGCTATTCCGATGAACGAGCTAAGCTAAAACTGATTGTAACTGTTCGATCTGTAATCTTAAACTGTCTAAGTCGAAGTACGCTGGGCTTAAGCTTAGATAAAATCCAGAAATACAGTTATAAGATTGGATGATCCAACCTTTAGTTAACAATTATACGGACGACTGTATCACTGTAATCCCTGTTGTATTTTTAGTTCCGAGACCAGTAAGAGTTTATGCTGATGGTATTTATGATATGTTTCACTCAGGTCATGCCAGGCAGTTGATGCAGGCTAAATTAGCATTCCCTAATTGTTATTTAATAGTAGGAGGTAAGTTGTCTCCCTTTATTTATTTCTCAATGAGAATCAGAGATATTAAATCTTTGTGTCCCTTGTAGATAAACATCCAGACGCTTTTTATACTATATCACCTTGACTCTCTTTTAGTCAAAATTTTTTAGGTCTTGCATTTCTGATAACACTTAGCAATTTATGAAGTTTTAGTGGAATTGCAACAGAAGTCTGATTGAAAATTGGAAAAAACCTCTATACAATCTCTTCTAAGACTGTTTGATTCTCCATTCCAGTATGTAATGATGATTTAACACACACTATGAAAGGAAGGACGGTGATGGATGAAAATGAACGCTACGAAGCCTTACGTCACTGTCGCTATGTAGACGAGGTGGTTATTAACGCCCCCTGGACGCTGGATATTGAATTTTTAGAACTTCACAAGGTAGGTCTTTCAAAATGGTGGTTTAAATTATCCGATTAAGATGCTGTTCTGAATGTTTGACTTACGTTCTGTTTCTGTGAGTTAATCACCTTGCTATCCATGATCTTACATGATTGAAATGCATCTCTCTAGGTCATTTAATATTCAACCAATCAAATGCTCTGCTCATCCCTTACAATATGGTGGTTTAAATAATCCATGCAGATCTGAATTTTTGTTTTCCTTTTTCTGAGGGTTACTACACTCAACAACCATGATCTGACAAATTCTTCTGTACATTGGGTTCAGTTGCAATTTCAGATCTGCATTTTTGTTGTTCAGATGGGGAAAAAGACTGTGGCCCCAGTCGTGCATGTTAAAACCCCTTTGGTTTATATTTACAGATAGATTTCGTAGCCCATGATGAACTACCCTATACAACAGGTTCAGCTAATGATGTTTATAAATTTGTTAAAGAAAGAGGCATGTAAGTATACATGACAATTCCTTTAATCAAACTGGCCTGAAGTATGGCAAAATCGAGAGTAAAAGTAGTATAGTAGTGAGAAGTACCATCAGGTGTTTCGAAAAGATTAATCAAGGTCTGCTTCGCATGCAACACCCGCTATTTAACATAGGGTACAGAGATTTTCTTAACTTTTTATGTGTATCAGGGACATTGATAGCATCAATTTGCACTATTCCAAATTTCAGTCGGACGTCTGTAGTTACTGCAATTCCCCTACAAAAGGTGCATTTCTATGATCACAGGAACCACAAACATGGAAGGAAAATTGAAATGATGCAAAAAAAAGCCATTTATGGCCCTGAAAACTTCTTTACAATCCCCTGATGCCCAGCTTTTCACCACTAGTGTTGATTATGGATTATATTTTGTAGGTTTTTAGCTACTGAGAGAACAGAAGGTATATCTACGACTGATGTAATAGCTAGAATTGTTAAAGATTATGATGTCTACGTAAGACGGAATTTATCACGAGGTTATACTGCTAAAGAACTTAATGTCAGCTATGTTAAGGTTGGTAGATACTTTTCTTTCTGAAAGGCAAGTTTGATTTAGACAAATATCAAAACACAAAGCGAATATTATGTTGTTTTGGAAGAAAAGATGGAAGAAACAACTATATTTTACCAGGATAACAACTTAGGTTCACGAAGATCCTGTCTTTCAGCTGGTCCTTGACCTTAACCTTTTGGTATTGATCTTTCCCAGATTATGTATACCAATTATCTGGAAGTGAGGAAAGATGATTTATTATAAGTCAACAGCTGTTCTGTAGGTTATAAATTTCACATGAGTGTTGCCAATTGTTTTCTGGTTATATGAGATAGATGATGGTTGTGGGTTCTAATTCCGACCATACATATTCAGTATGCATGTGTGGAAGAGTTCAACAGAAAGTTGAGGGGTGTCACATCTTATTGCCGACATTCTTGATTTTCAGGAAAAGAGATTAAAAATCCGAGAAAATTACGAGAAATTTAAAGATAAAAGTAAAGAATTTATGGACAAATGGAAAGATTCGATGGACAAACAGAGACATGATTTATTCAGTAAATGGGAAGACAAGTCAAAAGAATTTATGGGAAATTTTTTGGAGATGTTTGGTCGAGAAGGAAAAATAGTAAGTTATAACTTTTACTTTTTCAGAATAGATTTTTGACCTGGTTTCCCCCTTGCAGTGATGCAGGTCGGAGTGTCAAATTGTTCAGATGGGACAATAAACTGAGAGCTCATGAGCTACAAACTGTGCAAGTTAAAGATTCTTGGAAAGTAGCGATCTTGGTCGAAGACTTTTGTCGCTGATTAAAATCTTGTCTTGACAAAAATCTCCAATCGGTTGTTTTCCACCTTGTCGATAATCACCTACGGAGTATGCAATTGAGAGGAAAAGGAATCTGATTGGATGATGACGGTCTGTGTTGCAGACAATAAAACTATTGGAGACAATTATCAAACTTGTTTGAAATTATAAATCCTGTCGGCGACACGATAATCTTGTCGTGGAAGCACGGGCACACGCGAGAGTTTACTCAAGATTCTAGTCCGCGACAAAAATCTCTGACCAAGACGTTCGTGTACCCGCACCTTTAGAAATCAAAAAAGAATAAGCCAATGATGCTGTTCATCAGAATTTTCCTCTTTGCACACTGCATGGCACAAATATTCCACTTCATTTGAGCAGAATAAGAATATTAAAGCAACATTTCAACGAATATAACTTTTCAAATGACATTTCTGATTTTCGTCCGTTTTCTATTTTCAGTCAAGCTGGATACATGAAGGACGTGAAAAAGTAGCAAGGGCAATATCCCCCTCACCCAGCCCTGGAATTAGTCCCCCTAGTACCCCCCCTTCCGCAGCGTCTGCCTCTGGTTCCTGGAGTCCGCCTGCCAAACGTGGACGCTTTGTGGAAGAAGACTTTGAAGACGAAGATGAATTAATTTAGTTCTACCAGACTCAACCAGTGCTTTTGGAAGTCGGTCAAACATTTTGTAGTGCTGAGGATTCATTGCTTTGAGTTTTTAGTTGAATTTTGTATTTTAGCGACTTTTTTTTGGAAAGACATGGTAAAATTTTATTTGGTGTTGCCAATAGCAATAACCTAGAATTTCGGAACTCCATATTGGATTCAGCATTGGCACTAATTGCTGCTAGTACCATAGTTCCAGGAAACAAGATTCATCTGATTACTCAAAGACTATAACATCCCAGGAATCTTTCCAAAGAATTTTTACTTTATAAACATTGTATTGACAATCCATTTGTGATTTTTAGTCACGGAAAATTTCAGCAAAATTGATGGGTATAGGCAACTTCGACATAAGCAGTGCTTTTCATGTCCATGTTTCGCTTTTTGCTTTACTTTTATTTTTATGTTTATATTTTTATCGATTCCAAGTCATTCTAAGACAGTCAGTAATATTTGGAAGCTGATATTCAAATTGAATATTCAATAAATATGATTAGTAAAGTGACCAACATCATAGTAATCACCAGTTGCAAATAAGAATAGCGGATAACATTTTGATTGCAACTGACCGCTTTTAGAACTCATGACCACTTTCAGTATTCGCAACTGGTAATGACTATGGTGTGAGAGCACCTTAAATTCGATTAACAAACGCATGTGCAAAGACAGTTGACAAAAGCTTAATGTATAGCACGATAATTAGATATTCGAATTAAGATATCGCGATATTTTAGTATTTTAACATTGTTGTATTTAAACGCTTATTCGATATATCCCCAGCCAGTGCTTTTAGTTATGAGCCTAAATAAGGAACTTTTGTATGGTTTTAATTTATGATATATTTTAAGTATATATAGCCTTCACTTATATTAGGTGAATTATATATTGTTAACATGATTTTTAATTTGTTTTTGTTGATTCATGTTAAAAACCTAGGTATTATGTTATGAGTTGCTTTAGTACCTCCATGCTTCGCTTTTTTCTAACCATGGGCTAACGGAAGGACACGTAGCCCCCCACCAACATAGATTTGCTGAATTGTATTGTATCCTATGTTATATCTAGCGCAGGCATATTTAGCGCACTGACGTCTGCTAGGGCTAAAGATTTTGTCCAGGTGGCGCTATTAACTTTGATGGGCATTATTGGTATTTTACTCAAATCCAATTGACTCAGGCATTACTTTCAGAGAGTCCACATAAGTTTAGGTGATAGGTCAACATGGGGCTGACTCTCAGAAGCAGTGGCTGTGGCATCAGCTATTCTACTGTCCCACCAGATGACAATCCACCTTGCTACTGACTGAGCTTTTCCACTGTCCTAGCAGACGACAATCCAACTCACTACCGACTGAGCTATTCCACTGTCTTAGCAGACGACAATCCAACTCGCTTCTGATAGAGCGATTCCATTGCATTAGTTATTTATTTTATATATATTGTGTTCTGCTGAGAATTGTAGGTCTCCATTTTATTTTACTATAGGCAAAGATGTATTAATTAATATGCGCATATCATTAATTGTAAATAGTATTTATTGTTCGAAGCTTTGGACTTTCTTATGAAGTGGTTGTCAGTAATATTCCTCGATGAATTTTTTTACAAATTTTTCTTTGCAATATCTGGTTATTTTTTCAACATTTTTTGCAAATATAAACACTGACAGAAATACCTTTTTTCACTAGTAAATTAAATGAATAAGGGAAGTAACTCTTAGAATAAAATGAAACAAAATATCTGGAGTAGTTTCATCAAAACTTTTAGAGAATAATTTTCACTGACCAAAATATCTTTTTGATGAAAATAAATCTTTAAATATTTTATTTCATATTTTTGCAGGTTGCTTCACTTTTAAATCGAATGAATGAGAGAAGTAACCCCACTGAAAAAAATGAAAATAATTTAATAAGTAATTTATTCCAAACCTAAATTCTAGTCTAATTTATTCAAATTCAATGGTTTTTAAAATTGTTCATTCATTTTGATACATAATCATCTCTGTTTTAATTAGACCATTAAAGTATTCATCATCTTAGGTTGATTTTATGAGGCAGGATGTGCTTATGGCCTCCTGAGTAGCAGCTACCAGCCATACTCTAGCTTGGCTGGGGAGGGAGGGTGGCAGGGTGTTTCCCGAGCAGCAGTATACTGTATTCTAGCTTGGCTAAGGGCAGGGGGGGCAGGGGTGGAGGGGGGAGATGGGCTTATTGAACCCCTAATACCAGGCATCACCATACTGTAGCTTAGCTGGGGGAGGGAGGGGGGCAAGGTGTGCCTATTTCTTCCCAGATACCGGGAATCGAGGTCGTGGCGAGGGAATGCTTATTGAATCCCTAACACCAGGCATCACCATACTCTAGCTTGGTCAGTGACATGTTATGCTTACTGTTTCCAACAGAAGGTATGCTTACTGCCTACCAGACATCAACAATGTTGTGCAGTATGCAATGAGGGAATTTCGCAAGGACAATTGCAATAGCCTAATTGTTTTCTGCACTGCCTTATTATTCATATTGACTAGACACTCCATCATGTGTCAAGCCGTTTGGCCTGAATCAATCACAGAGAGCGGTTTGGTTTAAATGTTTGATGGTGTTACATGTACTTGGATTGAAGTACAACCAATTTTAAGGAATTTTCAGACCACAATTACATAGTGATAGTGTCCCTTTAACTGCTGCAGATTTGAAGCTACAGACTACAACTACATTCAAATTATGTCCCTTTGCCCCCTCTACCGTGACAACAAAAGTTGTTTGAAAATGGCGTCCAAAAATGAAGGAAAAAGTTTTACGTAGTTAATTTGTGGATATTTTGGAAATAAAGGAAAGAAACCAATGTAATTTCAGAAAATATTAAAGTGCTAACCTGTGAAAGTATTTGGAATAGTTTTAACGCATTGTGAACACACATAAAACAAATTTATCACGAAAATCTGCTTGTTTATATTATGATGGTTTCAGACCACAACTAATTCTTCCATTAGAACCATAATAAGGGTAACTTTTTAACAGATCTATTTTGCCTTAGCAAAATTTATTTTTAAACAAATTGTATTAAATGTCAATGCCTGATCTTAGTGTTCCCAATAACATTAATTGCTATCAGCAAAATTTCATAAAGTTATCGTACTTGATTAACCAAGTCAAGGAGTTGAATCAGGTGCTCAGTTGACCTTGGCATGGCCTGATGTATACTGTGGTATAGATGTTTATTTACCAAAAAGAAATTTTAGGTCTTCGCTAACTAAAAAGAAAAAAATATTGACAAAAGTAAGGAAAAATCATCGAAAATATGACACCTTAATATCATTTCTTTCAGATATTAGCATTCAGATGTAGTCCCCTTATCAACATTGTCCATCGCCATTTTGTCCTAACTGTCATCATTCAAAATGGCCAACACGAGTGCTCGAATGTCACGAATTGCCATGCCTCTGGGTTCAGTGGACTATATCCTTCTTCAACAAGAGAAAATGGCGCGACTCCACAATCAGATAGAGGCTGTAGAAGACCAGATGTTTGAACGAGGGAAGCTGATGAGACAGATTGAACGGCTGAAAGATGAAGAGGATGCTCGAACTGCTAGAGTTCTGGTGGGTTAAAAGTTCAAAAATGATACATGGGGGGTGGGGCAGAGGGTTAAGCTGATGAGACAGATTGAACTGCTGAAAGATGAAGAGGATGCTCGAACTGCTAGAGTTCTGGTGGGTTCAAAGTTCAAAAATGATACATGGGGGGTGGGGCAGAGGGTTAAGCTGATGAGACAGATTGAACGGCTGAAAGATGAAGAGGATGCTCGAACTGCTAGAGTTCTGGTGTGTTCAAAGTTCAAAAATGATACATGGGGGGGTGGGGCAGAGGGTTAAGCTGATGAGACAGATTGAACGGCTGAAAGATGAAGAGGATGCTCGAACTGCTAGAGTTCTGGTGGGTTAAAAGTTCAAAAATGATACATGGGGGGCGGGGCGGGGCGGAAGGCTTAACCTTCCAACATCTTTTCTGGGGGGAAAATGCCACTGAATCGCCATTGCTAGGTTATAGTTGTGGCAGGTTCAAAGTTTATTTTGATTTATAAATGTCGTCTGCAGCAAAAATGCAGAATGCCAGTATGACATGGTTGGGTTTTGATCTTTAGAGTGTGGGTTGTAGCGCAGTTTGTTAAGAGTGTTGATGTTATTTGTTTGATCGTGTCGAAGAAAATGGCGAGTTTAAGTATAAATGATACCAATAGGATCCTATAAGTCTGGTTTGAACAGTTGATTATATTGCTATTTATTTTTTCAGTCAAGACTAAATGGTCGAGAGTCGGTACTAAGTGATGAAGTAGCCAGATTGTATGGTACCAATACAGCTATAGACTATAGTAGGTTCATTAGTTTAAAAACTATTTAACTTTTTTTGGCCCCCCCCTCCCCCTTTGGACGTAAACCTGGCTCCGCCACTGCTTCTTTCTCCCTCGAATCCAATGTATATAAGTTTATCAACAAGCTGTTATATTTGACAGGTGATAGCCCAGTACATGCTGGAGTTATAGATGATATTTTAACTCATAGAACTAAAGAACATTCCCTACAACAACAAGATAAAGCCATGCAAATCAAGTAAGAATTTCAACTAACATAAATACATCAGTTGTCTTTAGGTCATAGGTCACCAGGGGGTGGTAGAATTTCAACTAGTATCCAAAAATCAGTTGACTTAAAGGAAAAATTATCCTCATTCCACACTGCATGACCTTGCCAGTCTTCATTATCTAATTAAATTGAATGTGTTATGCAAATTCAGAATTCTTTTTATTCTTTTTCTAGGTATCTAAATCTAGAGAAACGACGTCTGCAAGAAGCTAGAGAAAGGCTCCACGAAAAAAAACATTTCTTAGCTCGGAATCCTTCTCCAATTGGTAAGAGACCTCCACTCAGTGATCGTCAAAAATCTTTCAGATCCAAATACCAAATTTACACCCCACTATCGTACGACGATGATTTTCAAATCTATTCCCCAGTTTTACGCGATTATTACGATGAAGACTTCACCCAAGACAAAAATGGCAACACCATGTTGTTTTTACATCAGCGCCCTCTAGTATCACGTGAGAAAAGACGAACCTTGTTTATTCCTACTTACTTATATCAATCTTGGTGATAGGTTCTCTGTAAAACTGAGATTTGGACTTGTAAGCACTTTATATCTGCAGTAGAAGTTAACAGAAAAGTCGAATACATATGATGCTTAATATTTAACCAATTGCAAAGACGGTCCATTTCATTTGTAGGTAGAATTAATAGAAATTCAAACTAAGCAAACAAGAATTACTCCACCCTTTACTACTTATACTACCTAAAAATGAATTGGACTGCATGTGTTAATGTTTTGAATCATGCCTGGATATTCAAAAATATCTTAGCTCTACTTTTGCTTTCCTAAGTGTAACAAATTTTATAAATTGATAATTGATAAGAAGTTCTCTTCTTGTGATCTTGGCCGGTGCCTCTACAGGAGAGTATCTTCTATAACGCCAACAAAATATCCAACGTTTTTAAGATGTTTCTCCAAGTTTTTCACCATTTTTCTTTGTGTTTTTGTATCTTTTGTTATATTAAAATATAGTTTATCTTGTATTATTTGATGAAATTATATTATTGATACTGGATTTGTATGCCAGTCATGTCTGAATGGTTAACCAAAATGAGTGACGATGATTTTGATCTTTAGGACATTTTAATGTTAAGATCATCTGATATGGTAAAAATCAGAAACCTGTATTGGTTGAATTTAACTTGGTTGAATTTTAATATTATCTTGGATGAATTTTTATTTTAACTTGGTTGAATTTTGAATTTAACTAGGTTGACTTTTAATTATAACCTGGTTGAATGTGGATTTTGAATCAAATTTGACAAGATATACTTTTATAAGAGGACCAAGCTATGAGATATTGCATACAATGGATATCAAAACCCTCTTACAAAAAGGCCTATTGATGATAGCAGGCAGCCATTGAATACAGTCATTATCCATTTAAAACATGCACAAAAAGCCTATTGACTATGTCAGGTGGTCATTAAATAGAGTCATGACTATCATAAAGACTCATTATTCCTTCATAAAAGAGAAAATAATATTTAGGTTATCAATAGAATCTATTCAATTCTCTCGGCAAATATTTGGCTTGTGTCCAAAAAAATATTTTTGATAATGTATGACTTGACGGCTTGTCTCCCTTAAAGAGTTGAAAATTTTGTGGGTTTATTTTAATAAATATTACAAAAATGTTTTTATCTGAAATGGGGTCATCACATTGTTAAAAAATGTCTTAAATTGCTTAACTAGAGCTCAATCTCAGCCAGCCGTAACTCTTTTCAGAATTGAAATATAAGATCATGTTCATATGCAATTATTTCAATTTGTACTAACGCAAGTGACAACAATATAAGTTAAGCAGTTAATAGCATTTTCTCATGCAGATATAATTGTTGTAATGACATCATCACAAAATTTCACTTCATTGCACACTCCAATTATATGCTTGTCTTGATTAGGTTTACCAAAAACTCTTGACAATTTTCTGATTTTTTGTTTTTTTAGAACGGAATTTGAGTGATCTAGTACCTGAAATTATAATGGCGCCTCCCAAAGTTAAAGCCAGGTCCAACAGTCTTCACAGTGTCCATTCTCAAGGCTCATATGTCAGACGGGCAGTAGAAAATCTTCCTAAATCTATCAATAGAATCTGGAAATTGAGGTAATATTTTTTAATTTCCTGGCCAAGTATTCTTGAAACCATCTTAGCTCTAGGATGTCCTAGGTTCTTATTTTCCAACATTGATTCTAGGACATCCTAGCGCTAAGATCGTTTCGGAAATACGTGGCCTGGGCATTCGGGCAGTAAGCCAAAAGGGTTAATGAAGTCACCATCACAAAGATCATAAGATATTATCTGCATCTTTTGCATTAGTGACGTCATCAAACACTAAGTTTAAGTGGAATCGCAGGAACCACATACATCTGACTGAAAATTGGAATGGTGCAAATTGATGCTATCTGTGTGCCTGTTACACATCAATTTTAGAAATCCTCTTTACAATCACTTTAATTTTTGTAATTTCTCTGGAACCAAATTGAAACTTCTTTTTCAGAGAAGATATCGAACGAGATTATCAACGTAAATCAAAACCTTACACCGGCCATCTTGGATTAGAATCCTATCTTCCATATCAGTTAGAAGACTATGTCATAGTAAGTAGACCATCTTGGTAAAAATGGAGATTTACATCCAGCTGTGGTTCCTTAACATGTAACACATGACAAGGCAGTGTGCAATGAGAGAAATTTGCCTGGACAATGTTGAAACTTGGCCCACCTTTCCCAAATAAATGTGTGAACACCTGTGTAACTTTCTGAGCATCTGCTGAACTTTCATGAAGTTAGGTGTGTAAACATGCAGTGTACAATAAGGTAAATTTTGTGAGGATAATTGCCTAGTCTTTATAGATTAAGAGTGTTCACGTCTGGGTTTTTTTTTCTCTGTAGGTTCGTAAACTAGTAGAAGATTTTGTTGATGATTGTTTAAGATCTCATATTATACCTGACCCTGGTTTTAATAACAGTCTGAAACAAAGGTACAGTTAAAAACTGAGTATATACGATCCTAACCACTAAACGAAACCTGAAATCCAAAACAACATTTTGGCAATGCATTAGAAGCAGCAACGAAATTTCAATATCATCACAATTATCATCATCATTATCCATAATCATTATCCATCATCATCATTATCACTCATCATCACCATCATCATCATCACTCATCATCATCATCACTCATCATCACTCATCATCCCATCATCACTCACTCATCATTACCATCATCATCATCACTCATCATCACCATCATCACCACTCATCATCATCACTCATCATCACTCATCTGTCATCATCATCATCATCTTTCATCATTTGAATGGGTGTGAGAAGGTAGCATCTATGTGTAGATAATTATTGTAATATGATTGTAGAGCTGTACAGAATGTAGATATTGGTGGTGTCTGGAGTGATTTATCAGGATCTTCAACTCAGAAAAAAATTCTACAATTAGTCATGGAGGAGCTAGTACTAGAGGTTTGTCCTCAGTTTTATTTTTAATGCTTCTGAAATTTTTCCCTTTTACTCATGACTTTCAATGCAAGAATGGAAACTTTATCCATTTTGTAAGAAAAGCAATGTAGTTCTTATGGATTCTATCTACGAGCTGGTCCTTGACCTCTAGGCAATGATTTTTCAAGGATAACAACATCGGTTAATGAGGATCCTTTCTACCAGCTGGTCCTTGGCAAAACTTCTTAATTGCCACTGATTTTGCAGCTGGTCATTGGCAAAACCCCTTGCCACTGATTTTACAAGGATTACAGCTTAGCCTTTCGAAGATCCTGTCTACCAGCTAACTGGTCCTTGGCCAAACTTCTTTGCAATGATCTTATCCAGATTATCCAATAATCAGAAGACAAAAATCTTAATCGTTAATAATTTGTGAATTTTAGCAAACTCGAAAGTTTACCAATGAAATCGTAGAAGAAGTGATACATTTAAACGGTGTGTTAAGAAATAAAACAGATTTTACTCTCATGAATCAAGCAGAGGTAGGAAGCCATTTTAATCCATACACAACACTCACAGAGGGCCATCTGCATCTGCCTGAATTTCTGGCTGCAGGCTAAAATTGCGCTGCTATTAGAATAATTTTTGCCTTTACTTTTTTCCACAAGAAAAAGAGTTCTTGTCCACTATGGTCTGTGCACATTAAAGTTCCCTTGACAGTTGGGGAGTGAAAAAGAGTAGCTAATGCCACTATCCTGGCAAAATTTCCTTCATTGCATCCTCATTAGTCTAAACAGCATCTTTCACTTCTGCATCTGTCCCTTATTATGACGTCTGTCTTATACTTTTTGTAGAGAATCAGTACAGGCAAGAGAGAAGGGAGACAATCCAATGATCCAGCCTACAATACTATAACTAGAGGTTATTATAGCATGGTGGATGACAGAGATAAACACAGGTAACGTCCAAACTTTTATACTGACCCCTTTCATTGTCCCTGTTCAAATAGTTCACAGAGGGCCATCTGCATCTGCCTGAATTTCTGCCTAAAATTGTGCTGCTATTAGAATGATTTGCTTTTACAAATATCCTTCTTTCTTCTCTTGCAGAAAAGATGTATGGGGTCATTCTCAACATGTCCACATCAAAGCTGATGGAGAGGGTGAGAGAGGAGGGGAGAGAGACAGACAAGGCCCTACCCCCATAGTGTAAGTACCTGCTTACACCTTGACATCTTTTAACTCTGCATGGCTCTGAACTTTGATTTGGCCATTTTAACACTGCATGGCTCTGAACTTTGATTTGGTGTTTTAGCTCTGCATGGCTCTGACCTTTGATTTAGTGATTTTAACTCTGCATGGTTTGGAATATTTCATGGTGTTTTGGAGCATTGATTTTCCTACTTCTAATCTCATGTATATTATTTAACTAACAAATATCCTCTGTTGTTTTGTGTTGACTAATTTGAGTTTGAATTCATGTTTTTTTTATACTTTGATATTTTATATCACTGTATATGTATTTTGTCTAACAAAGATATTATGCACATGCAGTCCAATTCAAAACATAATCTTGATTAGTCCATTTTATTTTAAGGTATTATAAGTAGTAACAAACACAATATGTCTGGCTCGTGTTGGGCCAATTACTATTCATTCTCCCTCAAAATATAATAGAGTATTCTTGTTTATGCACATGCAATCTGATTCAAAACATAAACTTGATCAGTCCATTTTATTTTTAGGTAGTATAAGTAGTAACAACCACAATATGTCTGGCTTAAACATGGTCATTTACTATTCATTCTTTTTCAAAATAAAATAAACTATTCTTGTTCATGCACATGCAGTCTGATTCAAAACGACACGATCAGTCCATCTTATTTTGAGGTAGGATAAGTAGGTTTGAACACATTCTAAATCAAAATATAAACTGTTCTTCTTTTTGTTTTGAATTGTCCCCAAATGTTCTGAAATAACTTTGCCCTACTTTAATAATTGTTTATGTTATTGTTTATGTTATTGTTTGTGTTATTGTTTATGTTTTAATGCATGTTATTTTTTCTAGCGAGCCTGATAATCCCAGGCCCTATAGCAACCCTCCTAATCAGACGGTCTCTAGTAGACCCAATAATAATCCTCCAACACAGGGGTATGTCTTTTCAGTTCATACATAGGCCTAGATAGTTACCTCCCTTGATACTCTTCAACAAAATAACACAATTTAAAGGGATGCAATCATCTAAAAGCGGCCTCATTATCAAGCTACATGGATCTATTTCTGTTATTTTGTTGAAGAGTCTCTTTAAATTTAAATAAGTTTAGCTCAAGCCCCCTTCACATTATACTATTAGTTTATTTTTCATAGTATATCAGTAAATAGAATACCATTTGGTATAACTAGTTCCCCTTCACATTCAAGACACCCACCTTGCAAGCACCGATACCATCCTCTACCTCAAATTTTTGACTAGAGCTCATATCACTGCTTTGACTAGAGCTCATATCACTGCTGATATAAAATTTGGATACACAATCCTCATCAGGACAGCTAGTGTTGGAAACTGGGTTTAATAATTTTGTTGTATTGTTAGGCATAGTCGGTTCCAAGAAAAGAGGTAATGTACAACTATTCCACAATTTTTTTTGTATATTCTTTGTAATTTTTCTAACAAATTTTGAATTTTTTTTGTAATTATTATTTTTTAGCTCTTTTTTCATTCTCAATTTTTTTTATTTCATTTTGAGTCATCAACAACATTTTGTCTGTTATATTTTTTACTTTGAGTATCAAATTTGAATTATATTTGAATTTTGATATAGAATTCATTTACAACTTCCATTTTCAGAGAGTTCACAAGAATTTATTCCTATTAGTTATAAATTGTTCATTTTTATGTAGTTAGTTTCCTTAATAAATTACAAATTTTCTTTTGAATTTTTTTTTTCTTTTCCTTATGAAAACTATTGTCATGCCTAGTGTTAATCTTAAAACAAAGTCTTCATGTTTATAACACAAAGATATTGATAGAAAGACATCAAATTAGAGAACTGTTTGCTCAAATATTCAATTTTTATTGTTTAGAAATTACAGGAATCAAGGTTTTTTCAACCCTGTCCCAGTTGACATGGAAATCATTAAGTTTGGGTGATTCCAGTGTGCTACAGGCTACGTATGTTAACGATCCGGCCTTGACAGTTTGAAATCGAAAAAGAGTAGACTATTGTCATTGTCCTGGCAACTGCAAACAACATTATGTCGGTCTTCTACTTTAAAACAAACTAGACCAGAAAAATTGTCCCTAAAACTTCCTTTCACATCTTTGGAATGTCCACAAATTATGGACCACCACAAAATCTCTGTGGGGAAGGGCTTGCCCACCCTCTGAATGTTCTGTTGAAACTGGATTTATCAATATGGCATATCTTTCAGAGAGTTCACATAGTTAATAATTATAAACTGCTATTATTTTCCTTTCATAGTAATGAACCAGTAGATGCAGACACAGAAGTCTTGAATTTCAATCACATCACCCCTACCAGCCTGCGGAAATATCAGCCAGTTAAAACAGATTCTAAACAAATCAAACAACAGAAGGTTAATACAGAGAGATATATCAATAGAGAGATTAGATACTGGCAGGTAGGTGACATGGATTTTGAAAGATTAAAGTGTATATGGGCCAAATTTTTGGGCAAAGATATCCAATTAGACTTAAAGGAAAAAAGAAGTTCAGCTGAATTTTAATCTAGGGTTTGGATTGACATTATAATTTAAACTAACCAATGAAAACCTGTGTCCAATGTACAGCCTTATGAAATATTTGTAATGGTGCGCATAGTACTTACAATTATACAGTATACGCTTCATTCCATAAATGATTAAATCAATTTGATGTATGATCAAAAATTGACGAATCCATAACAGTTAGCTTATCACTGCCTGGCTGTCCTATCACAGTTTCTTTTCCCTATTTTTGAGATTCAAACTAGGAGATTCATTTCTTCAGAAAGCAGGTGCATTCTTTGAATTTTTTCCCAGATTCCCTTTCTCCAGAAAGGGAGCGGTTTCTTCATTTTGAATTTTGTATTTTTCTATGATTTAGAATATGAAAGAGGATATCACTAAGATTACTCTGAGTAAGAAATGTAAAGGAATAGAAACAGTGCGACCCTCTCCTGATAGCAGTATGATAGCTATTGGTACTGTACATGGTAGGTAAACTTCTGCCTGTCTCCCTCCCCCCTTTCTTCCATCCTCTGCCCTTTTTCCATGTTTTTATCCATGTTTGCGTTGATCTTCCTCCAATGCCTGTTTATAGTTAGTTAGACTGGGCTGGCCCTCTCTACTGTCAACCTTCCCTCTAAGGTAGTAATGGCTGACTCCTACCCTGACTCTCGATGGCAGTGAATGCAGGTTGGGGGACTGACATGCAAAAGCATCAATTTTTTTAATTAGACTATAAACCAAGGCCCTGTGTGCTACAGACTGCATGTAAAAGATCTCCTAAACATTTGGAAATTGATAATGGCGAATTTCTCTCATTGCACACTGTATAGCATTACTTGCCTCAACTCAATCTTAGCAGAAAAATAGGATATGAAACTCCACTCCATTTCATATCATTTGTCGTTGCCAGGTGATGTGATAGTATATGATGTAAACCAGGAACCATGGCGTGTTGTAAGATTAATACATAATTCTAGTGCCGTAGATGATGGTGTTATTGATATAGCCTGGACTCTAGATAATTCTAAATTAGTCACCATTAATAAAATGGTAAGTCCATGTTCTTATTTTACACGTGCAGCTACGGCACCCACCACTCATACAACCAATATCTTAAATATGAATAAAATGAAAGTCCATGTCCTTGTTTAACATGAAACTCCTGCCTTTTCCTTAAAACTCAAAAACTCTGATTAGTCCTTGTCTTTATTTTACATGCAACTTGGGCATGTATTGAAAAAACGAAAAAAATCCAACCAGATATTAAATTATAGTGTTAAGGATAGCACAAAATGTATATTTTGTTTTGTGTTCCAGGGTTCCATGCAGGTCTGGACATTTGATGGTGGAGGAATTGCCAGAGCAGACGCCAAAGGCTTGGATATCCAGGCTGATCCTACTGGTTTTTTACCATTACAGTTAGAAAGACTGGTTGTTCTGGATGATGATATGAAAGACTTCTCTTTCAAACAAGGTACATGGTCGATTAGAGAATTGAAAACTTTTCATGACGTCATTTGCTTGGATATATGGAACAAATGGTGGTTGTGAGTTCTAATCTTTGTCAGTGTGTAAAAGTCCTGTGACCTTGAACAAGTCATCTCTCCTCATTATTCCAGTCGACCCATCTGTAAATGGGTACAGATAATCTGAGAAAGATCAATGCCAACAGGTTTGACCAAGGACCGGCTAGTAGAAAGGGCCTAAGTTGTCACCTTATTAACAATGGTTATTTGTTTATTTCTCTTCTTAGGTCCATTTTCTGAGCAAGGAGTGTTAGATGGTACCAACAGCCCAGTTAAAGCAGCCTTTTATCCCAGTTTTTCCTTTCTCGGCTCTCAGGTATGTTTTTACATTCATCTGTCATAAATAAAAATTTGGGTAGCTAAAGTGGAGTCTCTATGAATCTGGAGATTGAGGGGCTAAGAAGAGGGCACAGATTTTTCAAGGGGGGCCCCACAGACAGTTCTTTCTTTTGTAAATTAAGTAGAAATTGATGACCGCCATTTTGTTTTTTTTCATCTCTCATTACTAAAATGGAGGTAGCTGCAGTGGCATTTCTATGAGTCTTGATGATGGAGGGGCTGGCAATTGTTAAAGCGGTAAAACTCTGTAAAATGAGTAGAAATTTGTAGAAATTTGAAAGTAAAAGGGGAGGGGGACTCAGAAGATAAGAAGAATCCTGAAATTGAAAAAATTGATTAATGGTCACAGTTTGTATTAAAACCCCTAGTGACGGCCACCATTTTGTTTTTCAGCACTCAGTATGTGTAGGTTTAAACAATGGAGACATGTTAAAATGTAATCTAGAGCCACTGTTAGCTAAAATTGATAACGTACAAGAACAAGATGTTGTTTTTCTAGAAGCTCCTAGAATTTATCAAGAGAATATTTATGTAAGTAATAGGGGGAATGGGGAATGGAGAGGGAAAGGGAAGGCAAGGGGAAAAATTAGAGAGTGAAAAGAGGAAACTCCAATTAGCAGATTGTGTGCTACAAGATCCATCACAAGTTCCAAGTTGTGGCAATATTCCCACTATTGTACACTACGAGGTGTTGGAGGAGAACAGTAAAGGGTAAATCTGGTATTTGGAATTGAAAGAGGATAGGATTATGCCACTGTCCTGGCAAGATTTACCTCAATGCACACTGCATGGCATTGCTCATTTCATTACTTTTTTTCTACAGGATGAGAAGTTTGGAGTGAATCTAATTGGAGAAAGTCTGGAGGCAGAGTTATACAGACATCATAAACACCCTGTTATATATCTAGGGTTTATACATAATATGACCAAGATAGTCACTGTAGATCAGAGAGGATTTATTAATATCTGGCATTATGATGGGTTAGTGGGATACTTTGGGGGATTATGGGGGGTGGGGGAGATTGGGAGAGCACCCAGACATCATAAACACCCTGTTGTATATCTAGGCTTTATACATATACATAATAGGACTAAAATAGTTACTGTAGGTCAGAAAGGGTCTATTGATAGTGCTCAAGGGTGGTTCACGGTTGTATTGAGATATAAGAGTTTGAATCAGTGGCCAGACTCTCGAAAGCATGTGCTGAGACAGTTGTCTTAGATCACCGAAAGTAAAACTCAAATTGTTTCACATTTTGTTTTAATATTCTAATTTTAGTAAATATATAAGTAATTTTGGTTGGTTTACTCCATTTAAAAAGTTAAAATTAGATCTGGTAAAAAAAGTTTATACTCCAGCTGATACTGGAGCACCCAATGTAAGTTGTTACTATTTATATTTGGTCAAAAAGGTACACAGGATCCTGTTCTATTTAAGAACCATTCTTCATTATTCCTGTTTACAAAGGTAAATAGGTATGGATGATCTTGGAAAAGACCAAAGATGTTTGGTCAAGGACCAGCTGGTAGACACAATACTTTATCCTTGCAATAACAGTTGGTATTCTGAAAAATTATCATATGGATGTGATATGAACTTTTTTTGATATTTCCAGATCAAATTCACAGACAGAGAAAAATCCAAGAAGAAATCCAAACAGGACATCGCTCGAGAAAGACAAAGGGTTCAGAATTTATTGAACAATATGATGTTAGGAGATCCGTGGCATGAAGAGGAACTGCTGGGCCAGGGATTAACTGTAAGATCTTCTTTTAGATTCTCAAAGCACATCAGCTTATTTCAAAGCAACCTTCTGTTGACTCCCAGCAGCATTGATTGTGGCGCCAAGAAAAATTACAATCTAACCCCATATTCACTGAGCTCTCCCACTGACAAGAGAAAAATCAGGTCTCTGACTAGGTCCAGTCAGCAGGATGTTCAGACTTGGTCTAAATTCAGTCCACTTTTCCAATATAAGTTGTTTGAAACTTTAAAAAGTGGTATTAGATTAGCTTGTGTTGGTTTTATTGAAGTTTCAACATTCCTGAGTAAGATGAATTCAATCTGATGGAAGGACATGTTGAAATAGAGCATGGTGCTCTCAAATTCTTATTTTTGTTTCAGACTTCTATCTATGCTCCCAAAGGAGCAGTAAAAGACACTGGATCCTTGTTTAATGTTATAATAAAACATACAGCAACTGATCAACTCTCCTCCTATCTTACTAGAATGTATAAACCAGTTAAGGTAAGGGTGCTCTAGAAAAGATTGACACATCCCCTTCTGTGAGGGGATGAGATGTTATGAAGGGGGACAATTTCAGGAGGGCACATCCTCAAGAGGACACATACTCAAGCTGTGAGAGAGGGGACAATTATTGTTCAATATCAATGAATAGAGCTCATCTTGTGCTGTTTCCAAAATTAATTCTTCATCCGGACAGCTAGTTTTGGAAATGAAGGTTAATTTTCAATACAGGACTTAAAGTATATGAATTTAGGAAGCAAACTCACTTGACATGGCTAGATTTATGAAGATGGAGGGTGGACATATTTTCTAGGGTGGGGCTCATATAATTATGGGCTAAGAGATGATATTCTGTAAATACTATTCAATTCTTTCAATATTTTTTATTTCTTCATCCCAGATTCCATGTAAAAAGTTGGTAGAAGTCCAACAGTCTTCCAGTGGTACAGAACTGATCTTCATGTTACTCTTTCCAGAATTTCCTCCCAAAGGTTGGTCTATTTTTAGGAGATATCTATGTTAACTTTGTTGTCGTCATGGTGATAGCGAAGTCTCAGTCTCAGAACAAAACTCTTTGATGTTTCATGCAACGCCAAAATGTCAATGTTTTGCCTGGAATATTATATACATTGTATCACTAGCTAAAAATATATGCCTCCACCTGTGCTTCTGTACACCTGTGCATATGATTATGTTTAAATTGTTGATATCTTTCTGGGGAATATAGCTATGTAAATCTGAATACTTGTAGATGCTCATCTAACAATATTGGTGCTAGATTTAAAGACATTTAAACTCAGAGATATCAGAAAAGATATTAAATTAACTAATAAAGAATATAATGAACTGATACAGCAAGATAATCTTTCTTTTGATGTAAGTATAATGACAGATGTGGCTCTCCCTTTCTGAAGCCATGGTGGCACAAACAGTAAGACTTTTGTGTGCTGACTTGGTCCAGGTTAAATCCTTGCATCAGTCAAGATAATACCATGGGATTTTTCAACCCAGTTTTCAACCAAGGCCCTGTGTGCTACAATCTGTGCACGTTAAAGATCCCTCAACAGTTGGAAATCTAAAAAGAGCAGGCAAATGTCGGTGTCCTGACATCATTTTCCTCATTGTACACTGCATGGTGTTGTCCGTCTCCATTAGCTCAATAAGGTGCAGAAAAGTAGGATCCATGCATTCCATTTCATTAATTATTTTCAGGTAAGCCATGTATTTGGTACCACTGGTGCTGATTATTTGTATCTAACTATCAATGGTCAAGTCAGAGTTATCTCCCTTAACACTGGTAGTATTGTCATGAGGACGGACAATACAGATAGAGTAACTAGTAAGTTTTTATTCATTCATTCATTCATCTGTTTATTTCTTCATTCATTCATTTATGTTTTGTCTATTTATTCATTTTTGTATCTTTTATTTTACATCTCAAGTAATTCATTTTCGATTTATCTTTTCTACACAAAGTTTGCATTTGCATTACCGAGTTTACTTTTTCTTAAAGAGTCCCCATTGTGTTTGTGCCTAAAAAGGATGATGGTATCAGTTTTTGTGTAGACTTTTGTTTGAAATGGATCCTGAATTTGATCTGTTGACATATTTTGTGAAAGGACTTAACCTCTAGAACATTAGTTTACAAATTTTTCAATATATTTGACTTTTGATCTCTAGCATGGGTTCTGGCAGATGGGGTTTTTCAACTTCATTGTCCTGTGCATAAAGCTAAGAATGTCCACTTTTGATTTGACACACTCCTATTGTAGTCTAAATCTCAGGCTCTTAATGCATACCTCCCATATATTTCAGCTTTCCCTGGTCTAACAGTAGAAGAGAAGTTATTGTCACTAATGAAGAATAGTAAAGTGATATCTTGGTCAACCAATACTCAACTTAGTTCTATTTATTACTCACAGGTAGGGCTAAAGATTCTAGATATCCTGTTCAGCGAGTTCTCTGTCTTTCTTTTATCTTATGCTAGAGCTAACCATTGGATTCCTTTTCTTGATGTTGTAGCTGTTGCTAGCTAAGGTCAACCTATTGATGCCACTTGCCATTTTTGTGTTACCCAAAAAATATTTTGGATAGTTTGATTACTGTATTAAGTTATAGATTGGACAGTTAACCTGTGACTTCGACCCCTTACTTGTGCCTTCTGTTAGATAGTAACTGATCCTGATGCGGATTTTGTATCCTAAACATGTGTTGGCATGAGCTGCTTCCTGTCAATAAGGTATACTTAGCATTCTTGATAAATGACATATATCTTTCTTGTTGTAGAAATCTCCTGTTCTAAGTATCATGAAATTAGAAGATCAAAATACTCCAACTAAGCGAAGAATGATGGTCAAATCTTCCCAAATGTGGTAAGACAGAATTCTCAATTTTGGCGTATGGCACAATGATGCTAAGATCGTTTTGAGAATACATGGTCGGTATTTTGGGGAGAGTTGTAGCTTTATTGGATAGAGCACTTCTGATGTCATATACCATGTTGCATGCAGATAAGCGTGGTGATTAACACCTGTACCAGGTCCTAATCTAGAATATTTGAGTTGAAACTGTATTAAGAGACAATAATCAAAAACAGTCTCTTAATGAAGATGGTCTCTTAGAAGAGCATTGTATCAGAATAGCCACCAGAGCTATTTTGTTTTGAAAGAATAATAATAATATTAATTTTCAACAAAAATTCTTTCACAATTTCAAAATTTCAGGGGTGGCAGAGAAAAAGCTCATGCAGAGCAGAGGATAGACTCTGTACAATATTATCCCAGCAATAATCAACCTATTGAAGTAGATATGAGGTCACTAGTACTAGAATTGGTAGATAAGGCCTTGGTTAAGAAAGGAGTGTTGACTCCTCCAGATAGCTTGCTGGTGAATAGTCAGGAAGCTTATAAAGAGACTGCTAGACAGGTGGGTAGAAATTTGACCTTTTCTTGATGTGAGGGGCATTATGGATTTGAGTAAAAACTAAGCTGAACATGAAAAATGTTTTGTAGTCTAGAGTCTGGTCTGTAAACCCAGGAACTGTTTTTATTTGATAATATTTCAGGAATCTTCGCATGGACATTTGAAGATGATGATACTCTCACTAACAGTTTATGAGTTATTGCCCTTGAAGTTTAATATTGTCCAAACCTAAACCTAGACCTTGTTATTTCAGGTTCAGCAAAGAGGAATTTTATGAAGTTTTAAAGATCTAAGACCTTTTGATATCATAAATTTAAATATTACGTACATTTCATCTGGGATGGTTACTTTAATTGCTATGAAAAATTCTGGTATTTTATACATTGTTTAGAACATTACCAGGGCTGTTGATTCAGCCATGTTTGCCAGACATGTTCGTTTGTTTGTCTAAAATGTCCGGTTGGAAATAGCGTCTGTAGGACATCATGTATAGATCCGTAACATAAAACTTGGCAAAAATTTGAATATTACTGAAAATAGATCTATCTGGAATTGCTACTTTAAATTAAGTGTTATATTTTTTGAATACTGTCTCTGAAATTATTCATATCAATTTTTATTGATTTCTTGTTACTTGTTTTATGTTGTTATATGCATATAGTTGTTAGGTATATTATTTTTATATGTTATTAATGAAAGTTATCAACACATGTGTATTTTTTTTGGGGGGTAGGCCTTCAGCTTGTTCATCTTTTAACATTTGTAATAGAGAGAAACGTTACTGTACCAAGTACTAACTGGTATCTAGTTGGATAGCTTAGTATGCTCCAGTTTCATAACATAGCTAGCTACTTTTTGACTCAATAATTGCTATAATGCCATGAGAAATCTGCTAGTTGGACAGGATAAATTATGTGAAAAACAGTAATTAGACTCTGCTGGCAAATTTGTTCCTCATTGCACACTGCATGGCCTAATTCAATAAATGCTGCAGAAAAGTTAAGACCTGTCTATCATTGTTCTTAATGGGATTCTTCAACTTGAGTAAAAACAAGACTTAATTCAAGAGAAATTTATTTTCATTCTAAAGTTCAGGTTAGGACAGAATAATAATACGTGACCTTCAAAAGCTTGCACGCGCAACCTTTGTAGGAGTCCAAAACCTGAGTTTATGCGCAACCAACCTTAAATAGAGTTACCTCCCTTCATACGGAGGAAAATGGCCGGCTTTTAAAGCATGAAACAAATGATGCCGTAGAAAGCATCGTTTGGATTCATACTTAATGTTGTTTATGTTTGATAGTAATGAGTAAACCTAAACGAAGAGTAACTGTAGAACACGAAAATTCAGACGACGACCAGCACAAACCCAGTGTTTTTGAAAGACTTGGACCTGGGGCTCGACCCAGAAAATATGCAGAATCAAATGAGGTTTGTTTTGATTTTGAATATTGCGAAGATTAATGATTGAAACAAAGGCAAGGGATATGCAAATTTTAATCTGCTTTGCAAAAATGAAAGTCTAATCAAAAGCAAAGCATCTTTTATGGGACGTGAAAGCCAAAATAACGATTCCTTATTTCCATAAAAAGCTGATCTATTCTAATTTCTAAATATGTACGTTGATGGGTTTTTCTAGTCTACTCCCGACTCCTGTGTCTCTAGACTGCATAAGATTGGCTTTGCTACTGCTTTGGCATTTAAGTAATCAGGGCATTGTCAACTAAGCTTAAAATATCAATTTTAAATTTGATTTTACAGACTGAAAATTTTCGGCCAAAATTTAGGACATTTTCATTTCAAATTTCTTGAAGGGAAGTGTCTTTACTTCAAAATTTGTTTTAGATAGTTTGTATACGAGTCATCTGTAGGTTGTAAAAGAGACATAAATCTAAGGACAGGTGCAAAATATAGCGTAGATGAAGTTCTACCGCAAGAAAGGAATGTATCATTGCTCTTGTAGCCCTTAATCTTATGATTTGTTACATTGTTATTTCAGAGGCCTATAGTTTGTCGTAACTGGCAAGCTAACAGTACATGTTTTTTTGGTACCAAGTGTAAATTTAGTCATCCTCAATCACTAGCTAAATCTAGAAGGTGAGCAAGATTCTATCACAGTCCAGAAATGCTTCCACGTGTGTTTGACACTGTTATAAATGACACTACATAGTACAACTGAATCAGTTTGAAGTCCTTTCAATTTGATGATAATAATAATAATTATAAAATCTTTATTAGGGTGAAAGTTAGGCCTTGCCTTTTTACAGTTTTGCCTTTCAAAGGAACACAACATAATATAATACAAAAGAAACTAAAAACAACAAAACTACAATCACAAAACCAGTAGAACTTTTAACAGTTACATTTATCATTCATCTGATTATGTTGTTCTATTTTTTCAAGAAAGAAAAGAGTTGTTTTTTTTGATTTTGCCAAAACATTCATAGAGCAAAATTATCTCCCTAGAGCTATTAGTGCATTCATTTGGTTTATATGTCTGTATTTAATTTCAATATGAAAGTAACCAACATATTGTCATAAAAAATGTCTTGTTAATTGGCAAAAAGTGTGCTATTTTGATAAAGTTTGCAATTTTGAAATAGTAAAACTTATAAGAAATTACCAAAGATTTAAGAATTAAAAAGAACATACTTGTCTTGCTGGCAACATCTACCACAGTACTATTTATAATGGAACCAAAATTCAGTTTTTTTTAACATAGTGGTGACATTTTGAAATTCGATTTCAGAAGCCAAAGTCCAGACAATAGAAGACGTGGTAGAAGTTCAAGGTCACGTAGTAGAAGCAGCAGTCGGAGTCGTAGTCATTCTCAGAGTCGTTCACGGAGCGAGAGTCAGAGTCGTCGGCCAGAGAGGACAACCAATCGTACAGAGAAGATGAAATCAGCTGTAGTGGTACGAAAAGCAAAACAGTTTGAGGCAGAAGAAGATAGCGAAGATTCTGGGAGCTGGAATCTTGACAGTAAGTTATTGGGGTGATAAGGGGCAAAGCTTAGGGGTGAGGCTAGAAAAGAGAGTCATTTTAGAACATCATTATATAACATAAATTCAACTATGATTTAAAAGCTAAATGCTTTCTCTTTATTTTGATATTTTATTTCAGAATCTAACAAAACAATCTAAACAAACATGGTTTTTACAATATGAATTTACTGTATAATGTATGGTGGCAATAGATCATTTTGTAAAATTAAGGGGCGATTCTTTTGCCTTTAAATCTTGTCTCTGCATATTGTAAAATTGTAATTAGTCTTGTCTCTGTATATTGTAAATTGTAATTAGTCTTGTCTCTGTATATTGTTAAATTGTAATTAGTCTTGTCTCTGTATATTGTAAATTGTAATTAGTCTTGTCTCTGTATATTGTAGAGTTGTAATTAGTCTTGTCTCTGTATATTGTAGAGTTGTAATTAGTCTTGTCTCTGTATATTGTTAAATTGTATTTAATCTTGTCTCTGTATATTGTAAATTGTAATTAGTCTTGTCTCTGTATATTGTAGAGTTGTAATTAGTCTTGTCTCTGTATATTGTTAATTGTAATTAGTCTTGTCTCTGTATATTGTAAATTGTAAATTGTAATTAGTCTTGTCTCTGTATATTGTAAAATTGTAATTAGTCTTGTCTCTGTATATTGTAAATTGTAATTAGTCTTGTCTCTGTATATTGTAGAGTTGGATTATAAGAAGGAACTAGAACTAGAAAAAAAAAGACAACAGTTACAAAGAGAGCTGAGTCAACTAGCTGGTTCAGAGGAGGAACAGGATAATATTAAAATACAGAAAAGGGTGAGTTATTTCAGTCCAAACGCCAAACCCAAATCCAAAATCTAACAAAAGATATCAAAATGCAGAAATGCACAAATTGTGTACCACGATTTTAAAATGATGCTAACTTGTTTGATAAAGCTTATGTGCTTAGTTTTAAGATTTCAATCACTTTAATAATAATAATTTCTACTTTGGTAATCTAAATTTTTTTTCAGATTGGTAAAAATCATTCTGATTCAGACTCAAGTCCTGAAAGGCCTAAAGTAACAAAGAAGGTTTCTAAAGTATCTCCTTTGTAAGTATTGGTTATAGGTTTACTGATTGTTGGGAGCTTAGTTTTCAAGCATAACTTCTAATCACCATCTTTTTTAGGCTCTCCACATCTCTGTCAAGGGAGATAATTCTGAATACAAACTTGATATTTAAAGACCACAATATGACAAACCATAATATATCATAATGTACTATATTAGTAGCCACAGGTGTTGTGTATGAAGCAGACCATGCGTAAATTTTTTCTGAAGACCTAATGGTACTTCTCGTTTGAAGAGTCAACCAATATACAACTATTGCTCCTGATTTTGCCATGCTGTGGGCAAGATTTTTGGTTATATAGTATCTTGCCTTTTTCAGTAAAATGAAATTGGACAAGAAGAATAAGTTAAAGCCATCACCCATGGTCCTGGCTGCCGTCAAACAACGACCTCCTAGTCCTCAGAGAGGGGCGAAGAAGGAGGCAAAAAAGAAGTAAGCTCTTTTGTTTTGAAGTCCAAAACCTTCCTGCACTGATTGATATTACTGAGTGAAATTACAAGGCAGTTGTTTTTTTGTTGTTTTTTCTACCGAGAATAGAACCCATGATCACCATTCATTCGACGTCACCATGCAAATAACATCTTATAAAGATTCAAATGTAACAACTACAGGGTAAAGCAGATTTGGTTGTTATATTTTTGTAAAAAAAAATTTATTTTGACACTTTTTTCCAGATCAATTGGAGGGAGTGATGATGAAGACAGCCCACGAGCCAAGTTAAAGAAAGCCAGCAAGCTAGCTATGAAAATAATGGCGGAGAAGGCTGCTGAGGCAGAAACCATTATGAAAAAGAAGAAACATTCCCCACGAGCTGACAAAAAGGGTGACAAAGTCCGTGTAAGCAGATTCTCAGATGCGACATCGCCGCTGAAGAAACACAAGTCAAGGTCACCAGGTCATAGATCAAGGTCATCCTCGTCTCCATCGCCAGTTAAAAAGAAGACTGTATCTCCTAAAGGAAAGGATAAGGGTAAAGCTAAGAAAAAGAAGGCTGAACTTCCTGTGTCATTTGATCGCAGGTCCCTTTCTCCAAAAAGAAAGAGCAGATCAATCAGTAAAGGCAGGAGAGGCAAGGGAAGCAAGAAAAAGTATGACTCATCCTCCAGCTCGGACTCTTCGAGTTCCAGCTCAACCAGCCCTGACGTCAAAAGAAAGAAACGCCCATCCAATAAGAGTAAGGAACGAGAAAAGGATTCATTGAAGAAGGGAAAGAAGGGTCGAAAGAAGAGCTCTGAGTCACCACCACCTCTGAAAAGAGGTTCCCCTCCTCCAAGACCCTCTAGAAGAGAACCCAGCCCAGATAAACGCAGAAGAGATGAAGAACCTCCCAGAAGATTTGAAAGAGGTTCTCCTGATTCTTTGCGATCTCATTCATCTTCACCTGGACGTAATCGTGGAAGAGGTAGACACCAGTCGCCAGACGAGAGGCGTAGGAGGGACAGAGATGAGATGATGAAGAAAAGACCAGAAAGATCCCCAGAGGAACGTAGGGGTAGAGAAGAGGGTAGACGTCCTGACCCCAGAGAAGAAGGGCGGCGTCAAGATGTTCGTGACGATTCAAGACGACCTGATCCAAGGGATGAGATGCGAAGACCTGATGAACGAGAAGACAGAAGGAGGGATATGAGCAGAGAAGGACGTGAAGAGATGCGCCGAGAGGTCCGCGATGATCCTCGGAGGATGGATGGACGTGATGAACCCAGACGGGAAATGAGAGAGGACATGAGAAGAGAAAGGGGAGACAATAGAGATGACCCTAGAAGACCAGACCGAGATGAGATTCGCAGAGAACGAAATCTGGACCCTCGTAGACCAGAGAGGGATGAATTCGACAGAGGTGATTTGAGAGATCCACGAGATGAGCTCAGACGACCTGAGTTTGATCACAGAAGATCTCCACCAATTCCCAGAAGATCATTGTCTCCAGATTTGAGACGGGACAGGCCTGGGCGTCCTCAAGAGTTCCGACCAAGCCCTGTAGAACGAGGCAGGTACGAAACCTTCCCGGATAGATTTGACCCAGACAGAAGACTTGAAAGAGATGTCTATGTTCCCAGAGACAGAAGACTGGATCCTGGATTTGACAGAGAAAGAGATCATTTGGATAGATTCCCACCTGAAAGACCTCCCTTGAGAGATGGTAAGTAACTAATTGTTATCTAGTACCCCTGGTTCTGGTTTTGCTGGTTGTATGTATCTTTAGCATCCTCTTCTAGTGGTAAAGGATCGGCACCATTACCCACTCTGATGCAGAAAAGTAGCACTCAATACTCAGCCTCATACAGAGTTATTTAGATAAAGTGAAACACGGTCTCATCTATTTATTGCTAAGGATTTTAAATCAACTCTAAGTAAGAATAAGTCTTCTCAAATTTTGACAGCAAACACTACAAAATCTGTACCTTCAGTTGAAGCAGCTATAGAATCATTAACGTCTTTTCAGACCCCAGAAGATCACCTCCACCCTATGAAAGACCAGCATATCGAGATCCCGCCTGGGATAGAGGACGAGGCAGAGGATGGAGAGGAAGAGGTCGTGGCCTGGAGGGTTAGTATCTGTTACTATTTAAAAAAACCAGATCAAGATCATGCCTTTATTTGTTGATCCAAATGATTTAAGTTTTAGTTCAAGACTTCAGACATTAATCAATGGATTTCCTCTTTTCAGCACCAAGAAGTCGCTATGTTCCTCCACCAACCTATGTACGAGGTAAGAACACTCTTTCTGAGGGCTATCATATCCATTGGGGTTTTGAATAGTAAAACACTTTTGAATTTGAATTGGTCTCATAGAAATATACGTATCATTACCTGTCTTCGTTAGCCCATAAAGTTAACAAAGCACATTCATGTAAATCTTATCCTTGTAAATAAAAAAGAGTTTATTATTAATTTTAATCCATGCTTTGTATATTCATGTTCAATCTGAACTTCTGTTTTGTAGGTCGTTATGCAGCAGAAAGAGAACCCATTGGCAGAGGTGGCAGGAGAGAATGGGATGAATGGGAGGCAAGACATGATGAACGCCTCGATATCCCTCCTCGCGAGTTCGACCGACGATTCGATGACAGAATGCTTAGAGATGAGGGCAGACCACGAGAACCTTGGCCACCTCGAGATGACAGACGTCCAGATTTTAGAGATGAAAGACTCGATCGTAGAGACATCTCGCCATTTAGACGACGTCCTGAGGACAGGACCAGAGATCCAAGTTTTGACAGAGGTCGCGAAATGAGAGATCGAGAAGAAGGTCCTCGTATGGACAGAGATGGTTCTCGTGACAGAGGTAGAGAAGATTTTCGAGGACGTGATGATGACAGACGTGGACCTCCAAGAGATGAACTCGGAAGGAGAAGAGAGGACCGCGATGATACTAGATCCGAAAGAAGTATGGATTCACGACGAGATCCTGGACGACTTGCTCCTGATGATGCTACTGGTGATCGAGCATCCAGGTCTGGTGATCGTCCTGCCGAAGGTGGACGTCTAAGAGATGATGGTAGTCCTAAAAGTGAACGTAGAGCTACCTCCAGACATTCTGAAGATAGAGGCAGCCATATTGAACGAGAGTCCAGAGCTAGTGAAAGAGGACGCCCCAGAGATGAGGATGGGAAAGACCGAGATGACAAGTCTAAAGATGGTGAAGGCAGCTTGTCAAGGTTAGTGTTGAAATTTTTTTCTTCGAAAAGTTCTAAAAAAAGGTCGTTCTGGTAAGATTTCCCACTTTGTACACTGCAATGGTTATCATAAGTTAACTAACACGCATGAGTTCAAATCAATCTATGCTTAAAGCCATAATGTGGTCAAAGAATATTACCATAAAGTTAAATGGTTCAATATCTTCAGCTACAGTAATCCTTTTCAGAATTAAAAACTGACATCCGATTTGTGTACAATTTGTCTAGAAATGATATTTTCTTCAGAAAGCGTCATAATGACGAAGAAGACAAGAAGTCCACTGGGAGTTCCCCAGCTCATAAAAAACCAAGAGATAACTCTCCAGCCAGATCTCAGAGAAGTGTAGGAAGTGCTGGAGCCAGGAGTCTGTCCAGCCGCTCAAGGATCAGGACTCGAGGGGAGGAGCTAAAGAAGGAAGACCGGAGAAGTAGGAGTGGCAGCCATGGCAGACGAAGAGATGTTCCAGATAGGGTAAGTCTGGCAATAAAAGGAGATTTGTCTTTGTATGGCTTCCATTTGTATCATACATTTTATATGTCCAATGCTTTTGGTTCCTTCAATTTCAGAAATGCGTAGCTGTATAAGACCCCATATCAAAAGCTTTTGACTCTTTATTTTAAGTCTGAACCACAGACATCTTACTGAAAATCAATTTATTTCCATTGCAGCCTGAAGAAGCAAAATCAGAAAAGGGAGATAACCAATCTGAGAAACCTCTGCCCAAACGCTCCAGATCATTGTCCAATGAAAAAGAAGCCGGTGTTGATGATGTAAAAAGGCAGAAGACCTCAGAAGATGGTGAGTTTGCTATTTCTATATTTTGAAAGGTTTTTGTATCTTGACTAATAGATTACCCATTAAAACAGTCAAAAAAGAAAGAAACTTAGTGTTCCAGCAAGCATGCAAATGTTTTGGATAACAATCCTCATCAGGACAGCTGGTCTGAAAATATGTTTGTGGTCCATAAGGTGGCCCATGTGACTGTCACCTGCCCTTTATAAATGATTTTATTCGTGGTTTCAGACACCCCTCAACTGCCAGAAGATAATCTTGGAGTTCCTGATTTTGAGGGTCAGTTTTCACCAGACCATAAATCTGACAGATCCTTTGCTGCAGATAGTCCACCAGACCAGCCTCCAGAGTCTCTGGACCAGTCCAAGGAGGTCTTCAGTGACTGGTCTGATGATGATGCAGATGAGATCCTAATCCAGGTGAGTTGGATGATCTTGGGTGTTGTTTTTGGATTTAGAGATGGGAAGGGGGATTCTTGAGGTTTAAGGTCTGTAATATAGTCTTGGGACCAGTCCAAAGTGGTCTTCAGTGACCGGTCTGATGATGATGCAGATGAGATCCTGATCCAGGTAGGTGTTTTCTAGAAGGAGAGGTGAGATCTGAGAAAACACAAAAGTCAACAAAAAAAACATACTCAAGCCTTGTGAATATCTTAAAAGAGTGGTTGGATGGAACCAAACATTTGGTAGCTTGTGATAAACCACATTTTATGGATTGCTTAAAGGTCTTTGATACACAGGACATTTTCCACTTTCTTGACAATAGTCATAGGATTACCATCTTGTTTTCCAGGAACCAGCCATCCGAAGTATCAAAGAAGAGGAAAGAAGAAGACGCAGTCTGAGTAGAAGTAGTCGTGGCAGCAAAACAAGTCGTCATGACGATAAGAAATCGGAACGAGGTGGAGAAAAGGGACCTGACCCAGAACCACAAGAAAGGTCAGTAAAAATTTCACTTCAATGGTTCTAGTGTTCTAGTTTGGACCCTAAAGATAATTTTTAATTTTCAAAAAGAAATGCTGTATGCTTCCTATTAACCTTCTGAACAGCTCAACTCACGTTGTTGTGTTATATATTACAGACCAAGAGTAGACTCGTTAGAATCTGGTGCTCTAAACAAACCAGAATCAACCGTTTCTGATGATCTCACTAAGAAAGATTTGGATGGAATAGGTAAGCTTACCATGTGTTGTAACAGATCTTTCAATAAGAATTTCCAACATCATCTTAAGGGTACTGAACCTTTGAACACCAAGTTTTTGTACCAACCACTCTGGTCAACATTACGCAACAGCAGTGGCGGGCTCAGCTTTCCAATACCAAGGGTGCGAGGAGGGGACAGGGTGATCTTGTGGGAGGCCATCTGTTGAGATTGAGATTTTAAAAGCTGCAGCTCTCTGGAAACGTCATAAACTTCTGTCTCCCGTTGAGTGTCTGAGAGGTTTCTTCCAAGAACATTTTTGAAAAATGCTTCCTGCTGAACGTTAAAAAGCTCAATTTCAGCTACCATAAGTTTTTTCTTTTCATTTCTGTTTTATTCAAGTTTTATGTTATTATTATTCATAGATGATGAAGCTCTAGATTATGATTCTATCTCATCTGATGAAGGAAGTTTTCTGGATGAGGATGGTGAGAATAAGAAGAAGGAAAAACAAAGTGAGTTCTTTTGGCTTTCAATCTATCTTAAGGTGACATCTTAACTATATTTTATAAGGATGAAAACTTAGGTTCACTAGGATCCTTTCTACCAGCTGGTCCTTGGCAAACACACTTGGCATAGATCTTTCCTGGATTCTCTATACCTATTTACAGCCGGGTTAACTGAAATGATGCATTGCCTCATTGGTCAGATTTTTCAACCTGGTTTGCCATCTCCCATTCAATGAGTTCTTTGTATCAGGATAGTTGCCTTCTTCATAAGCAAATTTGTTTTTCAGGCATTGTGGATGTTCTTGATATTGACTGGTCAAGCTTACAAACTGACACCAAACCAAAACCGTCAACCGGTTCAGCTTTGAATCGTTTCAAACCGCACAATGTGCTGAAACGTCTAGGGGTGTCTAGAGAGTTTGCTGGAGAAGAATTGTATCAGAAGGTACAAGAGACGATTCAGAAGGGACAAGAAGAGGAAGCTACTGTAAATGGTGGTAAGAGACTTAAGCCCAAGGATTTTGTTACTGCCCATTATTGATGCCCATAGATTTAGATTTGCTTAAGGTCATGGGTTTCGTTTTATATTTAGGATATACATGTACCTCATTCAACAGCAAGAGGTGTATAACAGATTGTGCATGTTAAAGATTCATTGACAGTTGAAAGTAGAGAGATTCATATCCTATCATTACCCTCATTGTACACTGCCCCTCTTCATCAGCATTGACAGATGTGTCTCCTTGCAAATCCTTGCGCACTTTCAGAAGCTACAGAAGAAGGTAAAGAAGCAGAGAAACCAAAATTCAAATTTGAGCATGATGTGGCTTCATTCCACTGTGCAGCTTTATCAAGGTTTAAAGAACGAACTAATCTTTTTAAAAGTGTTGGACGGTTCCGTAGAGCGTTGTGTGCTCGTAAAGATTTGGAGATGCGAAGACAGCTGTGCAAAGTAGATAAGGTAATAATCTTTTTTGTTATCCTACATGAATGGCTCTTCAGTCATTGCGAATTGGATTGTCTGCTAGGATAGGAAAACAGCTCAGTCATCCTAGATTAGTCGTCTTCAAGGGCTGTGGATTAGCTCAGTCATTAGCAATTTTGATTATCTCAATCGTTTGAATCTCCAGGTGTCAGCTAATCCTCCTCTAGATATGATGCCACAGCCAGTGCTTCCAAGAGTCTGCCTGGTGTTGGCTTTCATCCTCTTATACATACCAAGAGTTTGAACGAAATCCCATTTCATTTTTGGAAGAGGGAGTAGTGATGTCACAAATCCAACATGATAAGAGGCGAGTTATCAGACTTATACCACTTTTTTTCTTTGCAGACTTTTGATCTGACAACAGATTTTTCTTCCCATGGGGATCCTCAACTACAGAAACTCAGTATCCAGTATTTTAAGCAGCATAGAGAACAAATGGACAATCCAGAACCAGTAGAAGCTTCAGGTTAAATCTTTGGGAAGCTGGTTCTTAGCACAATTCTAATAACATATAGACAATACTGAAACTAGTAGAAACTACTGGTTTCTGGCTAGATCTTTGTGAAGCTTATGAGCAATCATTGGTTGGGTTCATTGTTTCTTATTTTATAATTGTACAGGGAAAGTATGAACAATCCTGAAGAACTAGTTGAAGCTTCTGGTTAGATCTTTGTTCGGTGCTTTGGTTCGTATACCATTATTGAACTGTTACCCAATTGGCAATCTTGCACTTTGTGAAGCTTATGCTAAGAACAATCATTGGTTGTGAACTTTGATTCTTATTATAGAGCTGGAAACACATGGACAATGCTAGATTTAGATCTTTGTGTTGGTTTCTTTGGCTCATCAATTAATATTGAATAGGGAACGAATGGACCATCCTGAACTGGTGAAGTTTCTCACTGGATCTTAGGAAAGCTTGTGCTGAGAACAATCATTGGTTGAAGTCTTTAATTCTTATTATAGAACTGGGAACACATGAACAATCCTAGATCTAGATCTTTTGTTGGTTTCTCTGGTTCTTCAATTGTTATTGAATAGGGAACAAATGGACCATCCTGAAGCTTCTAACTGGATCTTGGGAAAGCTTGTTTTAACATGGAACATAATATGAACAATCCATAACTCTGGTTAAGTTCTGGTTAAATCTCCTTGCTTTTGTTCATATATCATTAAGGAACTGGAAATCTTTAACTTTTGGAGCGTGTTGCTAGATCTTTGTCAAGCTTGTGCTGTGGACAATCATTGGTTGGGTTCTTTGGTTCATCTTATATAGCACTGGGAACATCTGATAAAAACATCTGCTTAGATCTTTTGGTATTCTCTGGTTCATCTATGATTTTTTAACTGGGAACTAATGGACCATCCTGAACTATAGAAGCGTCTAGCTAGATCTTGGGAAAGCTTGTATTAAGAACAATCATTGATAAGGTTCTTTGGTTCAGCATTTTACTTTTAAACTGGTAACAATCCTGAATTCCCTAGTAATTCATGCAGCACCTGCAGCCATCTAGACCTAAAACTGAAGATTAAATGGTGCAAAATCTGCAGAAGCAGGAGCAGCTGTCTATATATACATCCCTGAGTGTTTCAAAAGAATACATGCCTTTCATTGTCATTGTCTGTCATATGTTTTCTTTAGTGCTACTACCTATTACAGTGAAGAATTTCTCAATTGGTAAGAAGAGATGCGCATTATACTCGCAAATATACAATACTTGAGCGAGTTGAAATTTCTAGCGTTGTATTAGTTAAATGTGCTACAGGCTGTGCACGTTAAAGATCCCTTAGCAGTTGGAGAACTGCTATTGCCTCTGTCCTAGCAAATTCTTCCCTCATTGCACACTGTAGTGAGTTGCCCATCCTCATAAGCAAACACAAGTGCAGAAAAAAAGGATCTTAAACTCGTTTCATTTCATTTCTTTAGTGTATCTATGAATGATTCATTGTACATTTTTTTGTTTTTCATTTTGAATGTAATTTTTTGTGTATATGTGATTCAATAAATTGTAAAATATGAAAACAGTGGACAGGGATACTATCTATGTATGGTGGTTTGACCAAGGACCAGGTTGTAGGGGTGGGGTAGAGTGCAGTTCAAATGTGAACTGCGGTATGTGCCAGTGCATGCCAATCGTGTGAGGCTGATCTGATAAGATTGTAGGCAGCCTCTGATAGATATTTTCGGACTACGGAGCTTTTGCACTATAATCCTCGGCACTTTCCGTAGAGTTTTCACGGGAGACCGTATGCGTTTACACCAGCAGCAGTGGCATATCTCAGTCGGTAGCAAGTTGTCGTCTGTTGAGCGGTTATGTGCCGTGAGTATGAATAGGGACTCCTTTCAAAAAAAAGATTTTTTCGGCAGCAAATGAATAACATGCACGAAACAACAAAAATTTATCGGTTATCAGTCTTTAAAGTTGAAATTATTTCATGTAGTGCAGTAGAGTGAATACACCATTGACCGCATTGTTTCAATTAAAAATGTATCATATTACTGACCTGCATCTGAAACTATTGACACGGGGGTCAAAAACTGTTATTTTCTCACACTTGCTTTGGTAGATTAGTGACTGAAATACCGTGGTCTGGGGGTTGTTTAAGGAGGAGGAGAGGGTGGATTTGGCTGCAAAGTTCAGCTACTAAAGTTTAAATTGGTGTATATTACTGACCTTCGTTTAAATATTGAATATTGACACTGGGGTCAAAAAACGTTATTTTCTCACACTTTTATTGGCAGTTTAGTCACTCAAATGTCATGCACCTAATGGCAGTGGTGGACTAGACGCAGTGTGGTGTTGGGGTTGTCCAAGTATGCTGGGGATTGGGGTGTTGTAATACTGCAATGCATTAACTACATATTTATCCTTCTATGATCTCTTGATTATCCAAGATTGATTAAACCCCTGGAATATAATGGACTCGTCCCCGGACGTGCATTAATGCCCTCTTTCTTCCGGCCTACATTCGTTACAATACAGGTGAAATTCCGCAGAACTTTTGTGAAACGTCTGTGAAAATAAAACGGAATTTGGCTACGATCTCATCTGTGCCGTGAAATTCTTTGCAAACGACCGACATTTTGAACAAATACTGCAGCGTTAATGCTGATATGGCACTTCATCTTTGCAATGAACGATCCAGACGGCACACTGCATTCAAAATATGGTGTCTAACTAGCCAGCAGATTTGGAATTTCAACAAAAAATGACACCCCAACTCATACGAGAAATGATGTGTTCAGCGACTCCATGCAACCAGCTAGCAGATTGTGAACTGTGTTTGGCACAAGGCGGGGTCTGTACAATAGAGTAAAACAGGGTGGTAAGTTATAGATTTGTTTATCAACACAGATAGGAAACTCAATATACTGTTTATCTAAGAAAAATTAGGCTAAATTATCAGAACATTTCATTTAATTGGAGCTAATTAGACCCGTTGATGATAATTTTAGTTCATGCAATTTGAATAAAGTTATTGGTGTATATAGTCGTAGTGTACATGTACTTGCTTTGATAATGTATCTCCAGAGTTCAACGAATGGTAGGGAATAGAGTTCTAAGAATGGTAGGAATAGAGCTCTAAGAATGGTAGGAATGAAGCTCTAAGAATGGTAGGAATAGAGCTCTAAGAATGGTAGGTATATAGCACTAAGAATGGTAGGAATATAGCTCTAAGAATGGTAGGAATATAGCACTAAGAATGGTAGGAATATAGCTCTAAGAATGGTAGGGAATATAGCTCTAAGAATAATAGTGATAGAGTTCTAATACTGGAACGACTAGAGCTCTAAGAATGATAGGAATATAGCACTAAGAATGGTAGGTATATAGCACTAAGAATGGTAGAAATAGAGCTCTAAGAATGGTGGGAATATAGCTCAATGAATGGTAGTAATGGAGCTCTAAGAATGGTAGGAATGGAACTCTAAGAATGGTAGGAATAGAGCTCTAAGAATGGTAGGAATATAGCTCTAATAATGGTAGGAATGGAGCTCTAAGAATGGTAGGAATAGAGCTCTAAGAATGGTAAGTATAGAGTTCTAAGAATGGTAGGAATATAGATCTTAGAATGGTAGGAATATAGCTCTAAGAATGGTAGGAATAGAGCTCTAAGAATGGTAAGAATGGAGCTCTAAGAATGGTAGGAATAGAGCTCTAAGAATGGTAGGTATAGAGTTCTAAGAATGGTAGGAATATAGTTCTTAGAATGGTAGGAATGGAGCTCTAAGAATGGTAGTAATAGGGCACTGGGAATGGTAGAAATATAGCACTAAGAATGGGAGGAATAGAGCTCTAAGAATGGTAGGAATAGGGCTATAAGAATGGTAGGAATAGAGCTCTAAGAATAGTAGGAATAGGGCTCTAAGAATGGTAGGAATAGAGCTCTAAGAATGGTAGGAATATAGCTCTTAGAATAGTAGGAATAGAGCTCTAAGAATGGTAGGAATAGAGCTCTAAGAATGGTAGGAATAGAGTTCTAAGAATGGTAGGAATAGAGCTCTAAGAATAGTAGGAATAGGGCTCTAAGAATGGTAGGAATAGGGCTCTAAGAATGGTAGGAATGGAGCTCTAAGAATGGTAGGAATGGAGCTCTAAGAATGGTAGGAATAGAGCTCTAAGAAGGGTAGGAATAAAGCTCTAAGAATGGTAGGAATATAGCTCTAAGAATGGTAGGAATAGAGCACTGGGAATGGTAGAAATATAGCACTAAGAATGGTAGGAATATAGCTCTAAGAAGGGTAGCAATATAGCTCTAAGAATGGTACGAATGGAGCTCTAAGAATGGTAGGAATATAGCTCTAAGAATGGTAGGAATATAGCTCTAATAATGGTAGGTATAGAGTTCTAAGAATGGTAGGAATAGAGCTCTTAGAATAGTAGGAATAGAGCTCTAAGAATGGTAGGAATAGAGCTCTAAGAATGGTAGGACGCCCTCATTGCACTTCAAAATAAGAACGCAATCTTTCGGAA